GCTTCGCTTCCTCGCAAACGCACGCGCGACCGACACGCCGATCAGCATGCGATCGAAGAACGGACGAAGATCCAGCTCGTGACGTCGTAGATCGGCAGATCGGGCAGGCAGCTTTTAGCAAAAGCGCCACAGTGATCGCGCGTCCATCAAGCTGATTTACCGCTAACGCGAAAAAATTGCGCGACGTTTATCGCCACCGGGACACGACAATCCCACGCGACTTTTTCTTCGCGCTCGCGAGATTCCGTTAATTCGAGCGCCAGATTTTTAAACGGCTCAGCTGGCGCGCGCCAAGAGCTAATTAATTGGCCGACGTCGTTCTCGCGGCTAATTGACTCGCCGCGTCGGACGTTTCTTTCATTCGGAAAGCGATCGATCAATCGGTCGCGCCGGCGTGCGCTGGCTTTCGCGCCTAACCTCGTTGCGGACAAACCCGGGCACTTTGTCTACTTTGTCAATCGGCTGCTGCAAAATCAATGTATTCCTGCGAGCCCGCTCGCTAAGTGCATTTCTCGGAGAGCTGTCGAGCGATCTCTTACCAATTGCCGCGGAACTCCGACTAGACTCTCCGACTTTGGATTCACTTGGCTCCGAGAACATTATTTCGGCTGCCAGGCGGAATTACGCATTAATTACGAAAATTTGAAACAAGAGGTCAGGCGTCTTTGGCCAGGAGAAAACCTTCGCACAACCAACAACAATACACGTGGCGAATAGTTTTAAAGCCAAATGCCGGCAATGGGATTCCTTAACAAGCGAAGCTCCGGCAGCAGGTGCAGTGGCCTCCCTACTTGACTATATTCGAATAACAGACAGAGAGGGAAACGTCGACGATATCAGATGCGAGAGGATGCGCAACAAGAACGGGCTAATGCCGCGGTGGCTCTGTGCTCTTGCGACGATTTGCATGCGTCCACTGCGCCTCTCGCCTCTCTAACGATCGCTCCCTTCGCGAATTACAGGCGCCGAGTTAATATTCATTAATTCGAGGGCTCGCGACCTGCGAGACTTTGCCGTGTGAGCTTTTCTCGTAACATGCCTGCCAATTATTTGCGGCAAAGAATCGCCGCCGAGATTAGAGCCGAGAGGAGTAGCTTAATAAAGAAACTTATCGCGATGAGCGTACAGTCGATCGCCGGATGTTCAAGGAGAAATCGCACGCTGGCCAGGGCAAAAACAGAAGAACACGCCGCGGCGAACAACGGCGCAGCGAGGTGTGCGCCAGACGACTACACAAGTGGCCAACCAAAGTCAGCAAGCTCTCCCGGCGGATGTAATGCAAACAAGTTGGCTACTCTTCCGCCGCCGGAATTCCGTTTTTATACTCTCTTTTTCACCCTTTGTTCCTTCTCTTTTTGCATGAACAGTTCAAACTCGGATTTATGAATGCGCGCGCTGGCGCGAGGAACAAGTTTTGCGAGAGAGAGGCGCCGCTAGAAAACAACCATTCCCCCGAGGATTTTCCGCTTGAAGGAAAAAGAGACGAGAGATCGTGGGTCAGTTTTCTACTGAATTCGCAAGTGCATGCCCGGGTTCGCCTCGCTCCTGCGTACGTATGTATTGTATCACTCGCACTCGACGGCCTGTTTTTCCAAAACAACGCTCGTCGTTACCGCCTTGTCCTGATGGGAATACCCGGCGCGAGCGCTTGCTCCCAATAAGCGTTTAGCCGTTTGTTCTCTCTTTCGCCCGTATCGCCAGGTTTGCATTTGGACGGGGATCGCTTTGAGCGTCCTCTTTCTTCAAATGCAGTGCCTCTTATCGTCCCTATAACCCTATTCCGAGGTCGTTCGCAACTCGCTCGAGACGCACACGCTAGTGATCGCGCGGAGGACTGATTAGCGCTAGAGAATTGAAGGAAAAGCCAAACCTGTAGCGGCAATCCGCGGTGCGCCAAGGGCAGCTGAACACTAGCACGAGAAAACCTGGATCACCCGCACAGAGCACCTGCACAGAGAGCAGCTAAAGCACAGGACGAGAGGCGCTCGTGCGTTCGGGCGCTCGTGCGCTTATCTAAACGCGCGGCGACGCGACGGCACAGCTAGACGGGATCTCCCGCGGGTGTCGTGCCCCGTGTGACGCAGAGACGTTCGCAGGCCGAATGGGCTGCGCGCGGAGCGCCCGAGCTGGGCCCCTTCGCGGCAGCGGCAAAGCAAAAGGCGAGAGGCCGACGGGAGAGGGGGCAGATCGCTGCCTCCCTCCCCGAGCCCGCGGCCGTCTCGGCGATGCGATTGCCGAGCTTAATCTTCCAATAACACGTAACAATGTCGCGCTCGGAGCAGCGCCGCCCGCACAAGATGCACAGGCGATTCTCGGCCGATTCCTGTCGCGAGCGATGTCTACCGATGCCGCGATCGCCACTTGCGTCTTCAATTATGCAGGAATGGACGCGCTCCGGCTGTTTTGCGAATTCCTAACCGCGACGAGGGTCGATGATTTGTCGATGCTTTTCCGACACGCGGACCCACTCGTTGTCTCCTGCTCAACGACACCTTGAAACGAAGAGCTTGGCGAGGATTTTAATTTTTCGATGACTTGCTCATTAGCGAGTCTATTAGACGCTGAGAGCACTTCGAGGAGCCGTGGCAGAAGAAACGGGACGAGGAGGCTGGCGCAGAAGCGCGCAAAGTCGCCGCTCGGAATGAGAATGACTCACTCGAGGCGCTGATTGATAACTTCACGGGAGCCTACGGTGACATGCAGACATCGAGTCTCTCCTGAAGGGACATCATCCGAAGAGCGCGCGCGCCGTCAGCGGCGGCGAAGAATGCGCGGAGAAAGAAGACACGCCTCGTTACAATTGACTTTTTGCCCTCGTCTCTCGCGAGCGCCTTTCATTTGATTTGCAACTGGCATTGTGCGGCTCGCGCAACGACCGTGCATTCCTCTTTCAGCGAGGCTGCGCGTTTTTGCCAATTAGCGCGGCGACTTTCCGCGCGAACATTCAAACGCGCGTTCGCCGCGAACGCGGAGCGTCGATCGATCGGCATCGGTAAGCCCTCGCGCGAAAACCCGGCCTCCAACCGCGGCCTCCGAAAGCCCTGCCCTTCGCGCCGTTGCATTTATTTGCCACTGGCCCGACTCCGCGCGAGCGCTCGACAGCGCGCCCTCGCCTCGCTCTTGCCTCTAAGCCGTCCGGCTGTTTTTCACTCCGGCTATTTCTACGTCCAGTCCACGACAGTTATTGCGCCACTGAATTTTCATTCTCCAAGTTTTCTGCGTAGTCGCGAAGGAAAGCTCGGCGACAGCTGCACGCAGCGAAGAAAGCTCCAAGTTCGATGGACGGACAGAGCGAGGCTGCGCCTAGACTGCACATCGATGACACGGCGGTCTAATTAAGCGCCTGCTTATTAATCAATCAACGTTCGAGTCTACGCACGCCCGAGAGAAAAAGCTCGCGCATCGATCGTAAGTCAATGCCAGCGATTGCCTGTATACAGATATATGCCGAGCTTGCTGCTGCAGCTGATAAATGCGAAAGAAGAAAATTATGCGCGAGCGGCTTTTTGCCCCGGCGCTTCTATGCTCATTCGGTGCTCGCGCGCGCATCGATCACATTGAACGGTACGGCGGCGGCGGCGGCGGCAGCTGCGGCAGCTGCGGCTGCAATTTATATGTTCCGTCGCGCCGCGTGAGCACTCGCACTTTCGGTCGGTCTGCGTTGTTAAAAAAGCGCGTTCTAGAAGTGTTAATTATTTCGAACGCTGTCGGCGCATGGCTGTGTCGATCCAGGAGAAACGTCACACGAGAACGCCAAGTGCACGCCCACAAGGGAGCGACTCGGGCCGCGCAAATGGGCAAATGGCAAGAATAGCTTTGACCATGATTAGAGCGAGCTAATTATTTTGCCGGGCTGACGATCGCCCGTCTGCCAATAGCACTCGTCCCGCACGACATACCTTTGCAATTATTGGCCCGCGCGCGCTCGCCGTTTCTATGTATTTGGTGCTATTGTCATCATTTTCAAAATATCCTTTGCTCCATGCGTGTCAATTTGTCGGTAAGGCAAAATGACGAGCGCAGTCCGTGCTGCTTCCAATCGAATTGTATGCGAATTATCCAGTCGTTCATAAGAAAGGACGCCACCTTTAATGTATATTTTTTACGTATATAGCTATAGCGGTGCTCAAGCAAGCTTTATTTTATTGCCAATTGAAGATTCACGAACAATGTCGTACTCGATTGCAACGAGTAAATGACATTTTTCAGCTGATCTATCGAAAGCCTCATGTTTTCTTTCATACAGCATCGCATCTCGATTTTATACAAAGAAACATTAATTGAATCGTTACAATTTACTTGACTGTGTGGACAGTAGCTATACTATTCCCAGATTGACCTTAAAAAGTATACTGATTTTTCCGTAAAATTTTAACGATGGATCAATAATTCCTTGTATTTTACATGTTGGTATAAATATCACATCTGCAGTGATGAATATTCATCTCTATAATAACCTTTCCCGCATAATTTGGACGAGAATAAAACTTACAAGGATTAAATGCATTCAATTCAATTGCAAAAGTTATAGACTAACTACTAGCCTAATCTAAAACGCAACCGATCAAGTCAAGCAGATTACACGCTACTGTTTTCCGGGGATCCATGGCGATTGGCGCAGAACCACCAGTTACAAAACCTATATCTAGGTGAATCCTATTAGTTATTACCTGGATAATGATTATTTATCGTTTGAGAAAGCAATGATACTACGCCTACAATTAAAATTATCATTTAGTTAACTTAATATGACTTTTTCACAGTTAAAAATAAATTGCACAGATAATTTAATTAATTTTGTTAATTCTACTAACGATATTCAGTTTTCTTTATTATTTTTCTTTTTATTACTATAATGGATTCCTAAAATTCTGTTTCCCATTATATTGTTTTTAATTGCTAACTTCGAAAAGTATTATTTACCTTATGTGGTAACTGTAACAAACGTCTGTACCGGCTACTAATACAGTACGTGCATCGATGTTTGACAACATTTTTCACGTGCACGTTGATCATCGATGCGATCAACAATCCGATTTGGAACTATTGATTTTCGTTAAAGTTAACAAATGACAAAGTTAAAAATTATTTCATTAGGTCATCATAATTGATTCGAAATGTCAAAATCTCTAGTTAGGAAAAGTCTCGAGTTACTTGATTCTGAAACAGATTCGAGTAAAGGTAAATAAGGTTAATTATTTATATTTACTTCTTTATTGTCGTTATCTTGGTGGTAATTTTTTTATTCCATGTATGTTTTCAAGATAAAAAGAGAAAGAGAAATAAGTCGTCTGGAGCTCTCGATTTGATTCCTGTAAATCAGAGGATTCTTGCTAAAACTAAAAAACGAGGTACAAAAAGTAATTACTGCTAAGATGTGTCGCTTATATAAATTGATGGCAATACTTTTTTTTATATTTTTAGGTTGCCATAGTGTCTTAAAACGAACAAGTAAGTTAACTGTTGATGAAGTAAAGAAGCAATTGGCATTGAAGGCTGATCCTACGGATGAAAATGTACAAAGGCTTTTGTCTTTAAGTAAACATGCACTAGATTCGGAAACTACAGAAAAGGTAGACTATGTTCAAAATTTACTAACTGCCATTTCATTTCTAATTATTTTCAGTCTCTTATTGACATTTTAGATTTTAATGCGAGCTGTTGAAAAGCATTACGTAATCAAAAAAGAGAAGCCAGTTGAAGAAGAGAAGACAGTGTTTAACGAAGAAGACTTCCAGAAGTTTGAAGCTGAATACACTGGTTAAATAATATTGTTATTATTTGATGGAAAAGAAAAGATGTTAAGCAGTGATCGTGAAAGAGGACAAGTATTATTGATAACAGCAACTGTTATTTTCTTGTATTATTCATTGTGGGTAATTGGGTCACCTTTTATTGACGATGAAAGACTTCAGTTTTTCTTCTACTCTCATGAAATTGCATTAATGGTTCCTGCCATAAGTGGTCTTTGTTTTGTAGGTGGTTTAACCATATTTACTGCTTACCACATTTATCCATATATCGGTAGTAAAACAAAAAATAAAAAAAACTAAATATATAATTATTGCAAGTTTTATTATGAATGATCCATAAAAAAAGTAGCTTGCAACAATTGACACATTAGATATAAGTTATCTTTTATTTATTTTGTCTTGAGTCTCGAGATAACTTAAGTACTAGATAAACCTTGTTTAACTGGATCAGCATCTAATTAGCTGTTATGCAATAGAGAGATAAGGTTTTTATGAGCACACCTCAGAATAGACATTTAGTTTATCCAGTGGTTTCTTTCACTAACCATTTTTTTGATTATATTTTAGTTAGAAAAGTAGTTGGTACAATTAAATTAAAATGAAGTGGTTGATAATTGGTATTGCTGGACCTACATGCAGTGGAAAAACCACTATATCAAATAAATTAAAAAAAAGCATTACCGATTCAATATTGATCAATCAAGACCAATACTTTTTGCTTCAAGATGATCCAAGGCATACTTTGATTCCAGAGCTGAATCACTTTAATTGGGATATTTTGTCCAGTCTTGATATGGCAAAAATGTATTCGGATATAGTACAAATCATAACTCCTAACACTAGTTCCTCTCAACAGAATAAAGAAAAAAAAATCAACGTTCTCATTATAGAAGGATTTTTAATTTACAATTATAAACCAATAGCTGAATTAATAGATAAAAAGTATTTTATAGATATAACTAAAGAAGTGTGTTGGAGTAGGAGAAAAAATCGTATCTATGATCCTCCTGATGTACCAGGGTACTTTGATAAATGTATCTGGCCTGAATATTTAAAGCACAAAGCAGAAATTGTTGCAGATAAAAATATATACAATAGTATTAAATTTTTTGATGGCACCAAGAACTTGAATGAACTATGTGATGAAATTATTAATGAAATTAAATCTTTTTCGTGATGCATAAGTATTAATGTTAATAAACATTATAAGTGTTATTATGTGTGTTGCTTTGCATGTTTAGTAATATTTTTATAAACGTGTAAATAAGTGTTTAAAATTGGTGAAAAAAAGAAAACTTTCAATTTTATTACAAATTTCATTTTCATGTTGTTATTGTAATAAAAAGTCAATTTTTGAAGATTACTTTGACGACTACTATTTTATTGAATCTCTCAACTACAAAAAATTTATGGAATTTTCCAATTAACTAATATAGTATTAAGGAAATTAAATGTTATTCGTCTAAAAAAATACAGTCTAATTAATAGCTTTATATGATTCTAGCTGAGTGCTTTCAAATTTGCAGTGAAATGAATAACTTTGACTTTTATTTATGAAATTGTTAAATACTTATCTATACTTTCATACCCATGTTTTTTAATTACCACACAACTACAAACAACTTGTCTTCATAGTAAAATGTGAAAACATGGCTAATGAAACATTTTTTATAATGTAACTCACACTCACTCGTTACTCGAAATATCACATTCCTAATTTGTTCTTGATCATTTAATCAAAAATTAAAATGTTTTAAAAAAGTATTGATCAAAGTGAAAAGTTTCAATTTCTAAACTTCTAAATACTTGAAAAATAATTAGCAGACTGCTTAACTTTCTCTCATCTTACTATCCCTTACATGAATACTTGATTAATTATCATTTACATACATACATAATACAATCACCTTTAAACTATTTGTAATGCCTTGATTTATCCAATAAAATTTTTCCAAAAATTGACAGTTATTCAAGTATTCCATTCAAAGCTTTCCAAAAAGTAACATGAAATAATAGATTTTTGCCAAAAAAGAAAGTTAAAACAATTAAATTAAGAAGTTTTTAACTAACGTTTCAAAATATTTCTGTAATAATAACTTATTTGCGTTACATAGAGTATGTGTTGAGTTTTGGTTGATTTTGAGCATTTGTAAGATTGGTAGGTGCTGGGCCAGCAGCTGAGTCATCCTGATCGTTCTGTCCACAAGCTTTGCGTACATATTGTGGAGTTACAACCACCTCTTCTTCCATTTCAAGCACCTTTTTACCTAGTTGAGCACACTCTGCCATTTCTTTTTCAAGTTTTGCCAGCATCCTTGGTGAATCATATTTCTCTGGGTCGTCATGAAATATAACCATACCATCTTTTTGATTAATAGTAGCAAAAATCTCACCATCTTCAATCTACAAAAACGTTTATATATTAATCTTTTTAATTAGCAAAATACCATAACTGCCAAGAACTGCATAATTTTACCATATTCAAGATGTACTTTTCAGCTGCCTCTGGACCTGGTAACTTGACACGTGCTGCGACATCTGATAAACTTAACGTTAAGAAAGTGTTTGTGAGTCTTTGAATGTTTTTTTTGTACAGAAAGCTAAGCACTTGTTTAACTAATCCTTCATTGTTGTCTCTTGTAAACATTTCATAGTATTTAGTCATTATTCCCTGTACTTCGTCACAACTATTTGTACCATATGCTGTTGCAAGTTCTTGATAAGGTTGACTCAATCTTTTTATATGTCTATGAAAAACATTTACTCTTTCAGTAAAATTCATAATTAAATATTAGTATTCAATTCCAACTACCGAAGTTTTAATTACCTTTTGACTAAGTGAGAAGTGTAGTTAGGCAATGCTGAAATCTTTCCATTCAAAATAAGAGAAACTAGAATATACTTTTTATATGCCTCAAGCATGATGTGGCTGACTGCACTTGCCGGTGTCAATACACAGACTTCATAAAAATACAGTGCTCTCTCATAGTTTTTAAGAGCAGTATAGATCATACCTCCATAATAAAAATACAGTAAGAAATGCTTGGCGTCGTCATCTACACTAATAGTAGTAACATCAACATCCAGAAACTGTAAGGCAGGTTTAAAACATTTGGCAAGTAAGCAAAGTTTGCAAAGATCTCCGTGAATGGAAGTCAGCTGGCTATCGCAAGATTGTATATTGCGAATGGCTTTGCACATCAGATCTATTCCCCTTATCGGAGTTCTCAATTCTGTTAATGCTACTGTTACCTGATGAAACAACTCTGCATCTGTAAAATCACAAGAAAAATCCCTTTGTTATCTTCATAGTTAATTTATGAAATTTATGATAGAATTATAAACAAATTAAACAACAAATGAAAACTTACATAGTTCAGGCATATATTGAACTTGTACCTTGTTGCAACCAGCAACAAACTCTTGGACTTGAGCAAGCAGTGGCTTGAACCTATCAAGGGGAGCATTGCCATTGTTGAAAGCAGTAACTTTTGTGACAAGTACAGCAAGGATTCCAAGTGAATGTTGCTGGAGCTCAAAGGTTTCTAGAACAGTATCAAGATACTGCAAGTTCCTCAGCAGCACATCGCTAAATCTATTCAAAGCCAGACTCAATTCACGATAATTACCTACAAAATATTCAATTTACATTGTCGAAGAATAATAATGCCGGATAGGTTATGGTGTTTAATTGTTACTCACCTTCCGAGGATAATACTTGCACGTTGTTGACAAAGTGCTCCAAACCCGATGCCATTTTACTATCGGAAAGACAATCTCATCACCAGCGAAACCCAGCTCTTGTCTATTTCCAACAAAAACGGAAAAAAGGCAAATCTGAGACACTATACCGCAATCATACACGATCTCTTTTGTGTATATAGATAGATGCCGACAGCGACAGTGTTGAATGTACACGCATACATGTTACATGGATGTATATATTGCATGTGTCGCGAAACCTGGTGTTGCTTTTGCCGACAATTGCCGCGATGATCATTTACCTAAGTTGAGTGTTTTGTAGTATACAAAAAGTTTTGCACCAGATAAAAACAATAGATTGCAAGATTTTGCAATGAGAAAATCGAAATCGGTCGAACATTGTATTATTCAATTAATTGTACAGGCAATTAATTTTATAAGTGTTTCTTATACTTTTTTGTGCTTTGTTTTATTGGTTTTTAATTTATTTACAAAATTTTTCGGCTACAGAATGTACTATCAATTTCTGATAAAATCATTTAATTGCAAGCTATATAACACTAGAATACAATATTATTAACTTTACATTACACACTCAGCCAGCGGATTAATATACATACATCCGAATATTGAGTTGATCAAATGTACTGCAGAAAAACCGTTATTTTCAAAAACAAAAACAACAATATGTTATGAATTAATAATGATACAATACCCGGATTGTTAAAGTATGTATTTTCAAAATTAACTCTGACATGTCGTGAGTGTATATTACGATAGGCTTGCCTATACTTTTTTAATAGACAAGCCGATATTCGGAACTTATTTCTTATGTGATCATGTTAAATTGCATATACGTACATTGACATTCAAACAAAAACCAACTTATGAAAATGTAATACGGCGTTCCGAATTAAAAAAAGAGAAATGTTACATGGCAATTAAATAATAGTGTAAGAAAGGTAACTACTGTAATCAAATATCATCCGTTTTTTGAAAATCTAGAGCTACGCGCGTATCTCCCTTCCCAAAAAAATATTGCCGATTCGTTCAACCGGGCTACTTTTTCTTGTTCCAATAGTTTTATTGCTATCTATGCTAATACGTAAACATATCGCTTCAATTGCTCGTTTTCTTCGAAGATACTTTATTTCATAGATTTTTTAGAAACATTTTGAAAACCATAACATGAGGGTCCAAGAAATCACTGTTATGTGATATTGTCATAAGTATAATTGATTAGTTTGATAAAAGATCTTAATTGCCATATTTTCTGATGTACAAAAAGACATGGAGATTAAAAAGAGTTAACAGTTAATAAAAAAAGTGTGAATGAGGAGTTTGAAGTTGGTAAGAGTTATATCGAATATACTAAATGTGGAATGCTCCGAAGTAGCGTTGTAACTCTCATTTAGAACTCACGCTTTGATCGAATTGCTATATATGTTTAAAATCTATAAATAGAGCAAGAGCCTGCTCGCGAGTGTACATTATGATCCTTAAAAAGAATTCGTAGCTCCAAAATTAATTCGGTACGCAAATAGCGACTCAACCGTGCCGGTAAATTGATCAAACAAGCCTTCGCTTAGATACCAAAGCAAAACAAACACAAAGTGTTCGGCTTCAAATGTACCGGTCATGAGAATCTTAGTCTAAGCGTTTATCTACGAAATTACTTTGGTTCAAACAGAATCAACTGCATACCATCGCTGGCAAGTGAAAATTCGATTATTGGAAATCATTACTCATACACTCATCCGAATATAAAAGTATAAGCAATTATGAACAGTGAAAAATATTTTTTCTAGTAAGTGAACAATTGATTTTCAGTTGTTAACAGTAACTATTTACAACCGAATCGTCGCTAAAAATGTCGAATGCAATGTACGACGAGATATGGCGTAGCACGCAAAATCTACTGGAAGAGACAGTGCAGCTGGACTCAATGGTGCAACAAACGAAAGTGCCGCGAGAACGAGCCGAAGTTCGAGGACAATTAGCCGAGTTGTATGTACGTTACATTGACATTGGCAACAAAATCGAGGAGTGTTACGATCAGATTGTCCAGCCGCAAAAGCGGCCATTATTGAAAAGAATTTTGGATTCGCTAATCGGCAGAGTTTTAGAGCTCAAGCATGAATTGGTCGAGGTGGAGTTAAGCGAGTATAATTATTGCGATGACGCATTGCTTAGGTGAGTTTCACGTTCAGACATTTCGATAGCTGGTAACCATAGGTGACTTAAAAATTGTTAATTTCAAAGTCGAAAATTAACTCCGGACGAGATAGAACTGCGAGTGCCCAGATACTTCAGGAGGGAAAGAGAACAAGAAATTCTGTCGAGGCGAAAATTTATCGAGGAAACGCTGAGAAATCTCGGCGAACTAGAGGAAAAGCCAGAGTGCAAAAAGATGGCGGAACTCGAAGCAATAAGACTGATACAGGTAAAGCTATTTCAATCAGATGTATTTCATTCGAAAGAGGGTAAGCAAACGTTGAAATTGACGAAGGCGCACGAGCGAGCGAGACAAGGCCGCGTGAGATTCCAGTTCATGAAGGAAATTCTGGAGACGAAAGAGAGGTCGACGATAAGAGCCGAGGCAAGAGCTCCGGACGCTACGACCGGCATCGCAGCTGCTCTCGAGATTCAAAAGGTCTGGCGTGGCTACACGACAAGGCGTGGAATTCGTCAACGAAAACTCGACGAAATGCTGTTGATCGGTAAAATTGGATTGTCAAATTTTAGTTGCTTGGTTTTCACGTAATGTTTTATAGGCATGTTGCAACCGTCGCAAACGATTTCGAACAATGCGCGCAAACTGGAGAAAATCGAGAAAGAACGTTACGAGAAGCAAAAGGAGTTTCAAGAAGTTTACGACGCCTATACCGTCGAAGCGAAAGAGAGGATTAGATTAGAGAAAAGCGCGTTGATGGAGGAAAATATACGAATCGAAATTCGCAACTGGATCAACACGTACTACAAGCAAACTTGTAAAATTCCGGAGCTTCCGTCGGCTGAGAGCGGCGGTAGTCGCATAATTTTTAGCCGACAGGTACCCGGCGAGATTAGCTTTTCAATCGCTGTTCTAACAAGTCCAATGTGTCATTTTATTGCTGGAACGATAAATTTTCAGCTGCTAGCCTTTCCATTGTGGTTTTACAAAGATCTAACTTCCACAGGACACAGAAAGTAGATTGAGTAATTCGACAAATCGCTCGTCGTCGAAAGAATCTAAACGTTCGAAAAAATCCAGCAAGGGTAAGAAGGACAGCGAAGCCGAGCCAACGTCGGATGCCGAATCCGAGCCAGGCTTCAAGCCCGTCCCTTCCAATTTTCTGCCAGAATTAATACAAGCGAACCAGGAGTATCAAGACGTATGGCGCGACAAAGACGAGTCGCGGAATCTCGAGCAAGGGCCCTACCTCGACATGGTCGACGTGGAAAAGAGCCGCGAGGTCGAAGACGAAGTGCGCGTCGATGTCGATCAGGCTTTGAGAGGTGAGCTGTCCGCGCGTCACATTAGACTCGATCGGCCGGTCACGCGGCTCATCAGTTTCTGGACACGAGTCGCTCGCTGACAGCACTCCAATTGGTGGATACGCTGTGCGCTTCTTGCCGTCAAACGAATTATCAAGACTCGAGCGAAGAAATGCTCTTTGCGCATAATTGATTTGGTCGCGTTCACGAGATAGATGCCACGAGCGTTGCGCTCGGATAATTTTTATACCTTATAATTGTGCAATGTAATTCATTCGAATGCTTATTATTATCTTCGATCCGAGTGAAACGAAACGACTCACGTTTTGCGAATGTCACACAAAATATACTACTGAAACAACTGCTCTCTTGCTCTTTGCCAGCCGACATAGAAGCGCTGCAAGCGGCTCTTGATCGGGACAAAGGCACGAAAGGCAAGCGTGCGAAAAAGGCGCCAAAGCGAGTGCGACGTAGCGGAAAGAAAAACAAACGCAAGAAAGAGAAGGATTTGACGCCCGATCGAACGACCGAGTCCCTTTTCGAGGAGCTACTGCAGCAGGGCATTATCAAACTCTATCCCGAAGTACGCATCGACAGCTTCAATGGACAAAAGTCATATGCCAACTTTGACCTTAGAGCAAAAGGCAGTGATCCCTTACCCGCTATAGGTATTTCCAAGTAATATTTTCTAACACTACTATATCGAAGCCTAGCGCAAGTCAATCGAGCAAATTTTCAGGCGACACAAGACAAATCGTCAAAGAATACTGCATCCTTCCGCTGGGCAGCGAAGCACTACGAGAAATGACGCCATTGGTACGTTCAGTGCTGATAGCCGGTCCACGCGGAAGCGGCAAACGGATGCTAGTGCACGCGATCTGCACGGAGCTCGGTGCGACATTGTTTGATATTACACCGGCCAACGTTGCCGGCAAGTATCCCGGTAAATCTGGACTCATCATGCTGCTCCATTTGATTTCCAAAGTACGCCTTTTTTCAGCTTCTTTTGTTCTGTCGAGTTTCATATGTCGCTTAAAAAATACTCGCCTCGATATTTGCGTAAATTACGATCAGTTCAATGAAAAAATCTAAGTTATGTAAACCGTAGGTATCCAGACTACTTCAGCCGTCTGTGATCTTTATGGACGGTGCCGAAAAGCCATTCGTAAAAAAAGTGCCAAAGACAGATAAAACAGACCCAAAGAGACTGAAAAAAGATTTGCCAAAGTTCATTAAAAGCATAACGAACGAAGACCGTGTGATTCTAATTGGAACATCGCGCAGTCCTTGGGAAGGAGACCAAAAACTCATTTATCAGACGTACGACAAAGTTATTTTTATTCCAAGGCCTGATTACGGCTCCATGTCGCTCGTTTGGAAAAATCTTCTCTACAAGGTAATTTTACCAAAGCTTTCTTTTGAAGTGATATTTAAAATTCATCTTTATTTTTTAGTATTCAGGTATCAGCCGACAATTCGACACGTCGGGAATGGCAAAAATCTGCGATGGATTTACGATCGGAACTGTACTTCAAACGATAAATGAGGTATTATACGGCAATTTAAAACCAGTAATAAATCGCATAAGAACATTGCATATAACGAACTTTATGTCGCAGGTGATGACGACCAAGCGAATGGTGCAATTGAGAGTTCAGCCGCTCACGCACATTGAATTGATAAACGCACTTAGCTCTAAAGATCCAGTCTACCGAGAAGAGGAAGACGCTTTTCTAAGTAAGTTTTCACAGTCGACTCAAAAAAATGCATCGTTTATGATTATTACTATTTATTTATCTATCTATTTTTTAGATTGGTACTCAAAGACGCCGACTTGTAAAAAGAAGCAACGAGTCATCGAAATGGAACTAGCGAAGATGGAGGAAGCAAATGAGAAAAGAAAGAAAGGAAAAGGCAAGAAAAAGTGAAAATTCAGACGAGGCAACGTGATTTGTTCTGTTTCCCCGACTTTTGGCACGTCGTCTGCAGTTTGTATATGTAGATATTGTTATTGATACAGCGGCTCGCATAATGAAAACGCATATGTATACACAGTTAATTAGAGATCAGCATACAAAAAGGCTATGGGCGGTCACTTAATCCTGCATGTATATGTAAGAATTCATATAGATAAATCGACAAAGATCTAGAATGATCTTTCAAAATGATTTCTTTGATTAACATCAAAACGATTTTTCAGAGAAAAGCCGCGATTTTGCCAAAATATTGACCTCGAGAATAACTATAAAAGGCTTTACATTATAGCTGTTCAATGTTTTCGAATGCAAATGCACAGAAAAAGTTCAATCAGAATCAGAATACAAACGACGATGTGTAAACAAAGATTTGAACACATTTTGTTTTAACTATATATATGTACTATAAAGCACGTTACATTTTGCTTTTTTATGAATTTGAATATGAATAGTACGAATTAATTTGTCTACTCACTTGACGAATTCTTTAAGCTAGCTCTTAAAAAAGTTCAAGATTACGAATTATTCATTTTGTAGCGGTTTGTACAGCGAAAAAAATTAATGAATTATAAATTGTTATTGGTGCGAACATACTTCACTTGCCACAACTATTGGCGCTTCTAATTGACCTACTACCGTAATCGATATACAAAAGTATCGTACAATTTAACAATCTGCATAAAATTTACGGAACAAACGTGCAAAACGATTTCAAAAGATACTTGTGCAGAACAGAACGCTTCGAAATTTATAAGTCGTAATTTAAACAATAAAATTTATGATTATCAATTTTTTTCAAATGCCCACTGTTTCGGTTGGTAAACCATAAGAAGGCAGGACAGGCACGATGACATTTCCCCGTTTACTGTGCATGTATACATTTTTAGTTAGTTATATGCCTGAATTGTTACTTTGCTGATTAAGTTCATAGCAAACTACTGCCACAATATAATCAATACAACCATATGAAATTTTTCATAACTAAAATTAGATCGACTGAAAAATTCTATAACTACAATAAGAAAATTTTACAATTTAATTAATCACAAAAATACACAAACGCGTTTTCCTTAATTTTTGGATTAATTTATAAAGGGATTTCCCATATAAATGTATATGAGATACATGTCTAGTTTGTATAAATATTGTGTCCGAGCTGTTTACAAATTTTCATGAATTTCTCATCCATTTTTCAAAATGTAGAATCCTTTTATAATCCTTCTACTGATAATTATAATAATAGCTAAATCACGTCGATTCGTTCGAATAAGCGATCATAATAGTAATGAATTAGTTATAACTATAATCAGAGGTTTATCATACAGTAACCTACTTTAACATTAGGCAATATTTAAAAAAAATTTTTTAATTCACTGTGCGCGCGCGAAATCTGCCTTACCGACTTATACTTTCAATTTTACCTCTCATAGAAAAGAAAATGAATCTTATACAAGACATACGTATTAATTAAAATTTTTTTAATATTATTTTTTTCATTTTTTAATACATCGGTAAATAGTTCATTTTTTATTCATAATCAGCAGTTTTACCAGAACCTTTAGAATTTTCGTTGCACCTATTACGCTTATACATACAATATTCAATATCGTTACTTTGTTAATCACAAAAAATATGAGTCACTTTCTAAGTTAGTTTTAGAGTTAATGTTTTTTGGAATTTTAACGATTGAAACGTACAAATATAACGTACAAATAAGGGTAGTATATGAATAATGTGATTGAAGTAAGTTTACGCTGTTAGGTAATTGATATTGCGATCAATGCGAACCAATCTGAACTAAAATTTGAAAAAAAGCCGAAAGACATACGCAACTATATATTTACTTGCAACTGTTCTAATCAACGTTTCGTCATGAAACCTGATCGCCTCAATGCCGCGCCATCGCACTGAGTGCACATCTAATCCAAATAGGAAAAGTCTGTAAGCTTCTAGACGGGTAGCGAGATTCAAAAGATACGGCAATAAATTCTTGAATTTCGATGCACGTGCTCGAGTCCCCAGAGCGACCCTTTTGTAATTCCGAGTTACTGGGTTCCTTTGGAGAATAAGTGGTCGTCGAGTAAGACGGCTGTGGCTCATGCTCGCGCGCGCGCGCGCCTTTCCGAAGTTGCGTACAGTCACGTTCGGGAACACAGGCGTACAGTTCGGAGGGGGAACTGTACAGTTGAATATGTGTACGCCGGCCAGCACACAACACACCGTATGGGCTATGGTGAGCAATGTGAGCATACATCTACGTGTGATTGTGTGGGTTGTGGGAGTAGCCGCGACTCTGGCGCGCTCGGTTGTTGCCGTGGCGAAGCGCTCAGTCGCGCGTCCGCACTGCGCGAGCTGCAGTTGACCGAGCGAAAGATAAGTTGGACGCTTTTCGGAAAAGCGCACCTGCACGGCCGTCTGCGTGTGACAATGTCGGTCTCAAAAAGCTGAAGCTCCTGGCCTGCGGTTCGACTTAGCCTGGTGCTCTGTTTGCCGATTGATCGACAGAGCCAGAAAGAGGGAGGGAGAGAGAGAGAGAGAGAGAGAGAGAGAGAGGCAGTGACGCCGACGCAGGCGCAGGTCGCCGCCAGGTAAAGTCAACAGTCAGGTATTTTTGGGCGTTGACCGCGCCGCCGCCGCGACTGCAGCAGCGCAGGCTCGATCTCCGCTGCTACCACGCGAATCTCAACCAAATAAATCGGTTGCTCTCGCCTGCACGCTGCGGTTTTATATCTCAGCAAACTTCCGCATCTCCTTCACTATTGTCAAGAATAATATTTCTCGCGCGAGTGGCGTGATCGCGTGGATTTTGTTAGGGGTTAACCTGTTTCTTTTCTGTGATCTCCAGTCGCCTTTTATTGATTCTTCTGTGAATTTCGATGCGTCCAAGTAACTTTTTGAATAGACCTTGGTGGTATTTGTTGCTCCTTGGTATCTATGACTTCGTCAGCAGGTTTCACGCTTCGCTGGTTTGGTTTCTGTCCCTTTACCAACCTCTATCGCGGGATCGTATCCAATGCGTGTTTGATTATTACAATGGGACCAGTTTTGAACATGGTTTTTATGCTTTGTGGAACGGTATTATTACAGTATACAGTAAAATATATCAAACCTTAGCGCTTTTTTGTCGTTTTCCAGTTTCGCAAGCCTTCACAGGTAAATCTTATGAATGACAACCGAGAAACGTCAGCCTAGATGAGAATGTAACTAATTTTTCGAACGTTAAATTAAAAAGTTCAGTTTATTCACTCATGGCTACCAAGACGTTCTTTTTTTCAAAATATAGTGAGCGCGGCCCTTGGAAGAGAGGATGTTATAAGAAAAATGCTGAACGGCTTGTTTTATTTTATGGGACAACCCAAACACGGAAATAGTCAGAACGATATCTGAAAAAAACGCGCCACAGTGCTCTGCAGTCTCACACAGACGATGATTAATCTCTGGGAATTGGTAGTGAGAGGATTGGCCAGGCGTGTGTGGGCGTGAAAGAAAAGCGTAACACGGCTCTCTATGTACTCTGTACTTTTAATTATGTGCATTTTTTGGCAACACTCGCGACGACGAAAACGTGGTATTCTTTGTCGCTCAATGAAATTTTGGTGGTTCTGCGCTCGCTTTTACCGTAACAATTGATCAATGTCCTTTCGTCCATTATATTCTATTCGCGAGAAAACTTTTTGAAAACTAAATGAATTTTCCTCTCAACATTCGAAAATACATGTAATTGTTGTTTGTAAGCACTCAGTCGTTCCGGAAATTCTTAAACGATCGCGCAGACTAACAGATTTCTGGGTGAACTTGCGGACGAAACGGCATCGATTATCGTGGACTTAAGCGCGCGCGTCTACGTTCACATCTCGCGTGCATTAAAACACAATTAGACGAATAATATTCGTGTCCGCCTCTCTCCGCTGAGTCTAGGCTGGTTCGTTTGCGCGCACGTATACGTACATGCGTCATGGCTCGCGCCGCGGTGTCTTACACCCATCACGATTCCATGACAGAAGCTCTGTTGTGCTCGATCGCTGCGGCCGCGACGTGTCGATTGTTTCTTGTGATTTTTTTATATTACGAGAACTTATTTTCTATTGTCGCAGCATTTGTATGTTTACACGAATGGCGTATTGCGAAAGTGTCGTTTGCTTCAAGTGCTTACGTGCTGCGCCCATTCCTTAATATCACTAGTTTATGTGTGAATTTTTTGAAAAACGATGTTTTCGAAAATGAATTTTTGCTTTGAGATTCAATCAGTGATCTATTAATCACTCGAGCTCAATTTATTTCTAATAAGCTATCAAAGTAACAACGCATGCATTTAATGTTGACGAATGTAAATGTAAGAATCGATGCCTACTTGACTTATACTTCTTCCTCGTGATGGTCTACAATTAATCAAGATTCGTAGAGTGAAAATATAACTTACGTCCGTTTTGATTGTATGTTTGCAGAAAAATGAGGTGGTCGGTACTTGGAACGACGCTTTTCTTAGCGGTGTCGAGCTGCCTAGGGCAGGACACTTCAACCGCACCTGTACTGCCATGGGACAACTACAACAATCCGGATTATTTCAACAGGAACCAAAACGACCCCTACGGCAGAAACCAAAATGACCCTTTCAAAGGTCAAAACGACCCGTTCAGAAATCAAAATGATCTTTTCAATAGAGGCCAAAATGACTTCAACAATAGGGGACAGCCCGAAACAAGCAGAGAGAACTTTGGCTTTAATTATCGGCCGAGCGTACTGCAAAGCGATAGCGCCATCCTGAAAGAAGCGTGAGTCATTCTATTTACTTCGTATATTCGAATGATTTTTATTTTGTAAGGGAGTCACTTGGTGCGAGAAAATTGCGCGTTAATGACCTTTGGTGAGCGCATAGTAGATTAGTGAGATTGCCAGTTAAATCTATCATTAGATACAGTTAAATACAGCTTCTCAATATTTTTTGAGTTATTGCACATGCACACTTAACGAAAGAGCTGCAATTCAAAATCTATTTTAAAAAAATGTCATGTAAGAGTATTATCTATTTTGGACGACGTTTCAGGATAAAAGTCGTTCAATGTCGATAAAAAACTGTAACGAGGAGGGGTAACCACGTTGCTTCGGACGTTGAACAAAAGATTAATTGTAGTCTTAATTAACTGACAGTGCAAAAAAGATCCAATACTCTTTGATACAAACCCTCGCGAGGTCGCTTGTGATTTCCTCGTAAATTTTGAAGTCGATTAAAAGTAAAGAGCACATCAATTACACAATGACACTAGTTTCTTTCACTTCTATTTGACAAAAGTCTTAAATCGAATGTAAATTTTCACGAGCGCTCGAATATTATTTGCGAGAATGATTAATATGATTAATATGAAAAAATGTTCGTAGCTCGTACTTCATCGTGGCATCGCGGATGGTACGACCAGGTCAAGTATACCGCGTGGCAGTGAACATATTGAAAAGTGCGTTGCCGATGATGGTTCGCGCCTCAATTCAACGCAATGGCGTCGAGATCGCAGCTGCCTTTAATGAAATTCGCCAAGGCATACCTGACAAATTGATGATGAAAATGCCACCGACTTCGGTACCCGGTAATTATCGACTTCGCGTGGAGGGCAATTACAATACATTAACTGGTGGGCAGGCGTTCTACAACGAGACTCAGTTGACTTTTACTCAGAGATCCATGACCATCTTCATTCAATGCGACAAGCCCGTTTACATGCAGGGCCAAACTATCAGGTCTGTTTGCTGCGCTCGCTGTAGATATTGCAGCAACGATTAACAAGAATCTTTTGAAATAAATTAGCATCTGATGGATTCCTTAGGTTTCGCACGATACCAATCAACACCGAATTAAAAGCGTTCGACGACACGGTCGAAGTACGCATGCTGGACCCAAACCGTCGTATAATGCGTCGTTGGCTGAGTCGTCAAAGTAATCTGGGTACAGTCTCGCTGTCCTACCAATTGTCCGACCAACCGGTCTTTGGCGAATGGATAATCGAGGTGATAGCACAAGGCCAAGTCGAGGAGAAAACAATACTGGTCGAAGAATACTATCAGACGCGTTTCGAGGTGAACGTCACCATGCCGGCGTTCTTCTTCGACAGTGACAACTACGTGCACGGCGTGGTTATGGCCAACTACACGTCCGGTGCCCCGGTCCACGGCAATCTCACTCTCCGAGCGACCGTTCGACCCCTCGACCGATACCACCATGAACCCATCGTCGACAACAACGACTTCAAAGCCATACCTGACAAGTACTACAACTTCAACGAGTACTACCCAGCCTGGTTCAATCCGGCCAATCTATACTACGAAAACACGCCAGTGCTGAGATTCTTCAATGGGACTTACAGGTCGATTACCAATCGTTAGTGCCAGTGATACAGCCAACGCGATCGCGCTCGATGCTCGCAATCGTGAGCACAGGATCAACTCAATGGGCGCACTATTTCTACTTGCAGGTTTCAGTATCCGATGAGCGAGCTGCTTCAGTACGTGCCGAGCAACAGTGACGGTCTCGAGGTGAACATCACGGCGACGGTCGGCGAGCATTTTCTCGAAGAAATAATCGTTGGCTGGTCGTGCGCTCGCATCTACAACTCGAGCGTGCGGATCAACTTCTTCGGTGGTTCGCCTCAAGTCTTCAAGCCGGGGATGCCGCTGGACTTAAATCTGGTTGCCTCCTTCCACGATGGCTCTCCGCTTCGACCCGAGCAGCTGTTCGGAGCTCAGCTCCAGGTGCGAGCTGACATAGAGATGAGAAGCACCGGCCGAAGGACACTCGAGAATCAAGTGCTCAAAGTCTCCGCGGAAAATCCTGCTATTTGGTCCATGAGGGTAAATCGCACTATTCCAACTATCGAGCGATTCGATTTGTTTCGCGGCTTGAGCAAAAATGTCCGCGATGTTCGCGGCATTATTCGCAGGTCGACTTGAGGAACCAATTGGCTTTGGGTGAAAACCAGCAACGCGTGCAACAGCTGCTCAACGATGTGGTGTCGATGCGCTTTTTTGCCGACTTCACGGACGGCGAGATGCACCAGGCGCATGCAGAGCTGCTCATGCTGGCTCACGAGTCACCGAATCAGAGACACATCAAAGTCTGGACGTCGACGGAGAAGGCCAAAGTCGGCGAGTACCTAGTACTCCACGTGCAGTCCAATTTCTACATAGAGAGCTTCAATTATCTCATCATGTCCAAGGGCACGATATTGCTGACCAGCGACGAGGGAATGCAGCAGACCATCAAGACATTCGCGGTAGCGCTCAGCCCCGAGATGGCACCGACCGCCACAGTTGTCGTTTGGCACGTTGGCAATCACGGCGACGTAGTCGCTGATTCGCTGACGCTTCCCGTGAACGGTATTTCGCGAAACAATTTCACCATCTTCGTAAACAACAAGAAAGCGCGTTCTGGCGAGCAAGTCGAAGTAAGTTCGAGTCTCGTTCGGCTCAGTCTCTCTTTCGATATCAATTATTTGTCGAATCAATTACGTGATTTCCCGTTTATGCCATTTAATTAGGTGGCCATTTACGGCGAACCGGGTGCCTACGTAGCCCTGTCTGGCATCGATCGCTCATTTTACGCAATGCAAGCTGGCAACGAGCTAACCTACGCCAACGTGCTCGAAAAAATGTCGTCGTTCGGAGAGCAAACCAACGGCACTCACGTGCACACTTGGCTCTACCACGCCGGCGATCCAGATGAAGCCGTCTATTTCCCGTCGTCCACCTACGGCATCGACGTCAATCGGACCTTCGAGTACGTGGGTCTGGTTGTGTTCACCGACGCGATTATACATCGTCGCCCAGAAATCTGCAATCGCACGCTCGGCTTCCTCGAGTGCCTCAGCGGCAGATGTTACAGAGTCGAACAGCAGTGCGACGGTATCTATCAGTGCGAGGATGGTACCGACGAAGCTCGTTGCCCGCGGGTACGTATGTACATGGTACTTGCCCTCTCCGTGTACGCAAAAATTGGTGCAAGCGTTTGCGAATGGCACTTCCAGGTGAACGCCACGGACATCGCGAACTTCAGAAAATGGCGTTTCAATCGTATTCAGCGTCAATACGAAAACGTATGGTTGTGGCGAGATGTGAACATCGGTCCCCACGGCCGCTATATTTTTAACATCGACGTGCCCAAAACACCCGTGCACTGGATGATCACAGCCTTCGGCATGAGCCCGTCCAATGGTTTTGGAATGCTGCCCACGGCACACGAATACCTTGCCGTGTTGCCGTTCTACATGAACGTCGAAATGCCAGATCACTGCAGGCAAGGCGAGCAAATTGGCATTCGCGTGTCCGTCTTTAACTACATGCGCTACAATATCGAAGCTACTGTCGTACTCAGCGGTTAGTGCAATTTTGCCACTATTGGCACTGCTAATTACGGTCGATCTCTGCAAGACACATAAATAATGTCGATGCTCGGTAGATTCGAGAGACTACAAATTCGTGCACGTGGAGGACAACGGTATCGTACAGTCGTATAATCCCAGAACGTCCTTCGGCGAGCATCAGTTCTTCATATGGATACCAGCTCAAGACGCCGCGATCGTCTACCTGCCTATAGTGCCGGTCAGATTAGGTGACATCAGTGTGAGCATTCGCGCGACGACGCTGATCGGCTCGGATCACGCAACGAGGACGGTTCACGTCGAAGCCGATGGTCTACCACAGTACAGGCATCAGTCGATACTCTTGGATTTGAGCAATCGCGCCTACGTCTTCCAGTACATGCACGTCAACATCACGGAGACTCCGATCATCCCTTACGAGGAAGATCGCTACTACATTTTTGGATCCAACAAGGCTACCATCAGGTACGCTTGGCGACATTGGCCGAAACGACGCGAAAGTGCCACTCGCTCGATCAACTCGATCAATCTGTTTCAGTGTGGTTGGCGACGTAGTCGGGCCGATCTTCCCGACGATGCCCGTCAACGCGACCAGTCTTATCGGTCTACCCATGGACTGCGGCGAACAGACGATGTTCAGTTTTGCCGCCAACATGTACACGACGTTGCACATGCGTCTGATCAACCAGCGCAACATCACGCAAGAGAAGGACAGCTTCTACTATATGAACATCGGCTACCAACGCGCCCTGTCGTTCATGAATCCGGACGGCTCGTTCTCGTTGTTCCGCAGCGACTGGAACATATCGTCGCCGAGCGTTTGGCTGACGGCCTACTGCGTGCGTATCTTCGAGGAAGCTAGTTTCTACGAGTGGGAGAACTATCTCTACATCGATCCCAAAGTCATATCCCAGGCGGTTTCCTGGCTACTCGATCATCAGACGCCCGACGGCTCGTTCTCCGAAGTCACCTGGCTGCCCGATCGCAAGATGAACAGCTCGTTGAACTACGACGAGGAGAACTATTTTTACAGGCACAGAAACATATCGCTAACTGCGCACGTGCTCATCACGCTGGAAACCGTGAAGGACCTGTCGGACGGACTGGGCGCCAGAGTGTCCCTCGCCGCCGACAACGCCGTCAAGTAAGCTGCCCTTAACTTTCTCAACTTTCGTGTGGCGTCCGTTCGCGAGCTCAACGGCCCTCGTTGCAGGTGGCTTGAGCAAAACCTCCAACTGCTGGAGTTCAAGGGTCGGCCGTACGAGATAGCCATAGTCGCGTACGCGCTGCTGCAAGCCAAAGCTTCCACGGCCGAGATGGCGTTCAATTTGTTGCGAGCCCATCGACGCGAGGAGGGCGGCTTGGTCTACTGGGGCCGCGAGCGCGTCCCAATACCACCGACCAAGACCGAGAATCAGAAGCCGTTCTCGCTGCCGCGGCTGCCCTACAAGTACGACTCGGAGAACATCGAGACCACGGCCTACGCCCTGCTGGTGCACGTCGCTCGCCAAGAAGTCGAGGTCGATCCGATCGTCAAGTGGCTCAACACTCAGAGGCTGACCGACGGTGGTTGGGCGTCTACTCAAGACACCGCCTGGGCCATGAAGGCTCTCATGGATTACACGGTCAGGTCGAGGATCAGGGACGTGAGTCAGCTCACCGTGACCGTCGAGGCAACCGCTCTCGCCGGCAAAAGTCAGACTCTCTACGTCAATAATAAGAATCTCGCGAGGCTGCAGACTCTACAGGTCAGTCACTCCGGGCGCTCGATTCGATTCGGCTCGATCGAGAGGACGACGCGTCGATGACAATATTGCTCGCGCAGATTCCAGAAGCTTGGGGCACGGTGAAAGTCCAGGCGAAGGGCGCGGGCTACGCGATTTTGCAGATGCACGTGCAGTACAACGTGGACATCAAGAGGTTCCAAACGAAGCCGCCAGTGCCCGCCTTCGATTTGGTGACTTACGCCAACTTCTACGGCAGAAATCAGTCTCACATCACGTACCTCAGCTGCTCGAGGTAGGGCTCCATCTTCTTCGCGATCACTTAGTTCGTTTGCGATTCGCTCCAACTGCCTCTTTCAGGTGGACCAACGTCAACGAGTCGGAGAGATCCGGAATGGCGGTGCTCGACGTGACGATTCCCACTGGGTACATCGTCCAGCAGCAAAATCTCGACGCTTACGTGCGAGCGCGCCAAGTTAGGAACTTGCAGCGAGCGCGCTTCCAGCCGTCGAAAGTCCTCTTCTATTTCGATTACCTCGACCAAGAGGAGACGTGCGTCAATTTTACCATTGAGCGATGGTATCCAGTCGCCAATATGTCTAGGTATCTTCCCATTAGAGTTTACGACTATTACGCGCCTGGTGAGTACCACTTGACTCCAACTCTCTTCCGCTTGCTCACAGGCAAATCCTCGACCATTTCTTTTTATCTTTTCAGAACTTTTTAACGAGACGTTGTTCGATTCGCTGCCAACGTATGTGCTCAACATATGCGAGGTTTGCGGTAGTTCTCAGTGCCCTTACTGCCCCATTTACAATGCAGCAATGACACTATTATCGTCGGGCATTTTCGTCATAACACTGTCCCTCATTGCAATGATCAACCAATTTTTATAATCCATCTTATTTTATACTAAATTTTCAATCTATTTTACAGAGAACACATATCTCTTGTAAGACTTATGAAAAATTTGTTACTACCGAGCGCAAATTATAAGAAAGCTATGCAATTCTTGTTTTATCTTAAAAGTTGTATTTGACAAATTTTAAACGTTGACAGATAACAGTGTATAGTCAATATTTTGCAGGAATACTCTACTGTTGATTAAAATATGTTTTCGTTGATAATGATTCACGAGAAGTTTGTTCATTAGAGAGACATCATTTTCGAAATTCTCTAAAGCTTTTATCGGGTATCTTGTCGAAAACTTCGAGATAATGCCTAATCATGGTGTCTTGTACAAATAATACTAGTAGGATATAAGAAGCTCATTGAAAGCTGGTGTACCTTAAGAACAATTCTTCAACAAACTCATATTCCGTCCATTTTTCCTACAAAATTTTTACTTGTAGGAATAAGCGAGAACCTCGAGAAAAAAGATATTTTAGCATTAATTTTAAGAATACGTTATAAAAATCACAAATATTTCAGCTAGATTGTAAAGTAAAGCAAAGTATGCCTCCCAAGTAAATGCAAAAGTTATTAAAGTTTTGCTATCCAACAAAGCGCACAAAAGTAGCAAATATCGCTAATACAAACATGCCTTTTCATATGATCTGCTGTTGATGACGTGGAAGATTGTAAAGTTTCTTAACAAAACATGTCAAGTATGTACGTTTAATTTAGATTACGTTGACATCGTCGACCAAAGATCTATCGTTTTTTATAGATATGAATTGCATACAAAAATGTATAACAACGTCTCATTATTGTAAAAATTTTGTATTATTTATACCAACAGCTTCTTTATGTAAACATGTGTTTTCAATTTTTAATAATTACATATATATATATATCGCGCCTATCAAACGAATTTGGAATTAATATAGAAATTCGCTCCATCGCATCACTTGCAAAGTGACATGAGAATCAATTTACGTATGTTGAATGCGTTAATTTTTAAGTTTTTTAATATTTGTATAAATAAATAAAAAATTAAAATGTAACGTTGCTAATGTCTTTATTATTTATTTATCAAAACATCTCGCAAAACCTTTGTTTTTTCTCCACAAATAAAATTGTTCTTTTGTACATAAAAAATATTATTTTTAGATATAATACTTTTTCGGACACGAAGCAATTAAGCCTGTCAACTCGAGTCACATTGTTATTTTCTAGTAGCAATTACGTAAGTTATGAATTTCATTGAAAGATTCGTCATGTCACATTATCTATTGCATATTGTGATTATATTTTTTAATAAAATATAAAAATTGAGAAAGCTCCAATAATACTAAAAGTCATGGTATCGTTTGTTTAAGCATCGGAATTCTATGTACAGAATAATTTCAATTACGGAATGCATCGCGATTATTATTACTATAACTGAAATTTTAACTTTTCTATTGATAAAAATTATAATCAATTATATTGATACAAATTATACAAACAGAATAATTTGATATTTCTTCGATATTTTTGGGTTTTTTTTTAGATTACTTTGTACTGTATATTATCGGCTTTATTTACAATATATTATTAGCATTGTTTAACGTGAGTCACGCGTTCTATATTTTTGTAAGTACTGCAGAAACTGACTGCCGCCATTTTATTTTAATCACTTTCTCTGTCTTCGAACCAATTTCAAAGCGAAAATATTAATTTCCATATCATAGATGGGAATCAAATTATTGATTTGTACTAATAATTTGAGCATAATTACAAAGCATAATTTCTTGTTTTCCTAAAACGACTTATTAATCGCATATTTCCATTCTTCTTATTCGTATCAATTATTCATAAATTTAATTTACTATTGAAATATAAATCTTGCACCTGTAAATGTATAATGCAAATGCTTGAAAGTATAATAAAATTCAAAATTTCGCGCTCTTATTTACACAACACGTCAACAATTAATCACAACGCTAGGTGCCTGCGATTTATCATTTATTTTATATAGGAGGAGATTAAGTTTTCAAATTCATTTTTATCAATTACTTTATATTGATCGCACTATCGGTAAACAACAAAACTATCGTAGATAAATATGTTAAAGTTATTTCACGCCATATATTGACCCGCAGTATAGTCGGGGAGTCTCACCCTGCACCATCTATCAGTAGCAGACGACAGTCCACGTGACTAGTAAAGCGGAACACTTAAAAAAATTCTAGACGAGTTCATTCGATGCCTAAAAATACTTTTTCAATGGCTTAAAAGACTATTACATAAATATTTTTTCTTCGTTTCAAGGTCATTTGTCCTTTTAACTATTAATTTAAAATATTTTAAAGAAATCTTACATTCGCGCACACTAAAAAAGTATAAACAATTGATTAATTTAATAATCGACATTTGTTAGGACATGTTACAAGTTTTTTCAGTAAATATCATATTTTGAATCTTCCATTTTGGCAAAAACGTGAAATTGAATAAATTATCCATTCAGAGTCATCATATATCATCAGTTTTAATCGCGCAGATCAATGAACTGATTGAATTATTTATTCCAAACAGTAGTTTCTTTGATGTTCTTTAAAGGTACGGCCACATATGGGCGTTCAGACGCTTACAATACAACCACGTAAAAATCATTAAAAGTGCTTAGTTATAACTTATAATGCCACCTCAGTTTTTCCTCGAATGATCAAAACGAATATACCGCTTTAATTGAATTTAACTTAATACGATCCTCTAAAATTAATAGAATGACGATAGATTGTATTGCAAAGCAGTTTTAAGATCAACTCCAGTGTAAATAGTCATTTTATTAATTTTAGAGGGTCGTATTAGGTTCTCTTCGATTAAAGCAGTATGACCGTTTTGATCAGCGGTACGAGCAAAACTAGCATAGTGACTTTTCTATATAAGGTGGCATTATAAGATATAACTAAAGACTATTAGTGACTTTTACGCTGTTACATGCGTCTGAACGTGTCTGAACAGTGATTGCGCATATATGGTCGTACCTTAAGTTTTGAATTTTCTATTACATGCAGGATACGCAATTTGTAAGTGTTAATTTTCAATGTCATTGCCTGCCACGACGGAAAAATATATCAATATCACTCTTATTGACGTGTAGAATATCCATAAATGTTTTTTTTTAAACGAGGATTCGCATATTAATCGGAGCTGTTCATTTTACTGGCAGGAATTAGACTGTAAAAGTATCGATAGTTTTCAATTTTTTTTAAATCTCGTAAACGCAAAATAGTAGATTACGTATCTAGGCCGGGAAAGTATTGGCAAGTCCATAGCACGGGAGAATTGACAAGCGAGATACGTAATCTACTAGTTCACGGTGATTATTTACGAGATAAATAAAAAATGTTTCTAGCACTACAATTCAATGCCTATATGTTTTTTCATTCAGATCCAAAATCAACAGTCCCTCTCATCGCGCGCTCGCACCATACAAAACGCAAAGTCGATGAAAACAAATCTCCGTTGCACGGCCCAAGAAGACGGTCTTACAGGCATGTACGACGAACTTTGGATGCGCGCGGAGAGGTCAGCAATCTCTATGGCGCGGTCTCTAGCACTTCGCGCGCACGTGGCTTTCACGTCGCACGTTTACGAAAAAAGCGAGGAAGGGAGAGAGAGACGCCGCGGCGATCGCGCCACGCATCGTATGTTCGTTGCCTGCCTCTCTTTATCTGTCCGAGAGAAAGAGCTAGACGCGTGTGATGACTTTCCGATGTCTCATTGACATATACATTTTTAGATCTTCAAGTGCTTTGATCTTAAGCGAGTAATATTTGGCTTTTCTCTCTCTTCGCTGTCGTGTATTCGACATTCCCTCATGGCAAATCGCGGCTATGATCAACTAACAATGCAACTGTGTTTGGAAAAACAATCGATTCTAGAAAATGCTGCATTGTAATACATGTTACAAGACCATGTCTATAATTGTACTGCATAGCACGATTGCACGATAACGTTATTTGTAGTTTTGCGCTTGGTGGAACACTTTTCTAAACTTTTTTACTCTGAGCCAACAAAGAGACTTTTACTCGCACCTTGTGCTGCCAAGTCATAGCTTCTAAACACTAATAAAGTAGTACGAATGCATGGATAAGTTCCACGTTCATAATATTCCAACTGTTTATAATATTTGGGATAGTTCATTTCCGTTTTCCTTTTTGTATCCTTCTTGTGCGTACCCATCAGGATTCAATAGTTGCATTTGTTGAAGAGATTTAAAACATTATTATTTCGAATAATTTGAGTATTTTTGACAGTTTAGTATAAGATATGTAAATCTGAGTTAAACTAAATTTTCATTCCGATGAAATTGCTTATAGCGCTAAACTACCATTGACATTTTTTAAACGCTTACATTATCGAGGCTGTTATATAGTGTTTGGATTTTTTACTTATCCTAGTCGATCGTCGTAAACGTAAACCAAATTTTGACCCATGACAAAGCTATACATGTAGCGTCTGTCATTGACATTGTGAAGTAGCTTTTGCTGTGATATTTCATAATTCTTTGGAATAATTCTGGGAATTGCTAATATGTGTACATGCAAACATGTAAAAAACTAATATTTTCTTCCTGAGTTACTTGTAATGTCAAGCAAAAAATAATAGAAAACGAATCTAATATATATTTATTAACGCTATGTATCAACAAGCACAAAAGATCAAATCTAATTCCATTGGTGTGAGATTTCACGCTTTCTATGGGGACACGTGGGAAGGGCGGATGTAAATTGATCTTGAGTCATTTGCCATTGTAGATACCAGCGCCCGGCACGTGGGGCCTTCGACAGTGCAAAAGATACGCGGGGAGAGAGGCACGCACTATTCATACCGACTGGCTGATCGGTTGATTCACGTGAGTAGACGTAAAATTATATAATTAGAGAATGATCTTCCGATGACAAGCATGCGGTTGTTGCGTGTTGTGCGTCTGTCCGAGTCTAGATATCGATGGAGTCAGGGGAGCTGTCAACTTGGTTAAATATTTCTTGCGTGCGATAGCCGTTGCGCTTATTGTTCTTGCTCGTGATACCGAAGTGATTTTGTTGTCGACTTGACGTTCGTCGAGATGCGCGTTGCACACTTTTTGTCCGTTTGCTTGAACCTGATCCACCTTAATCGATATAGAAAGCTGTCGTTGCTGAACAATCGTGAAAACAAGTCCTCAATTTTATGATAGGAATCGCGACAGCTGTTTGTTTCAAACAATGCATATTGTTCTTTTACATTTATCGTTTAGTTACACTTTCTCGAACGAACGTCCACCAGGGTTGATCACGCGAACAAAACATTTTTCCAGCTACTCCGGACTATAAACAAATCTTGGTTGTTATATTAATCATCCTGGTACAAAATAATATACAGCAATGGCATGCGAATTCAGAACAAACAGTCTAACAGTAAATTCCTCCCGGCGACAGCATGACACACAAAAGCCCCACCAAAAAGGACAAAGATCACCTGAGCCATGACGATATTCCCACCACCCGAAAAATGAAAAATCAGTCTCTCCCTGAAGAATCATCCGACAAATCTTCCCACACGGCGCGATGCACGCTGTTCAGGGGGATACAGTCACTCCACACGTGCGCGGTAAATAGAGCTGCTGCTGCGGCAGCATCTAACGAAATATTCGAACTGAAGCGCGTGCGCGCCGCGTCGTCTCGCTTTCCATTGGTTGGCGCCACATGAGCTGATGTCAGACCACGGCGCGAGTCCTGCGTGCGTCATTAAAGCCCGAGCTGCCGCTAGCGCAACGTTCAGTTAACTGTGCACGGACGGACAAACCGCCACCGTCGTGAGAGAGAACATATATATACGTATATATATATATATATATATATATATACATACATACTTGTGGTGCGTCGTCTTCGTTGTCGTCCCGTAGTGCCCGATTATCGACGCAACTGAGAAGAATATCTTGGTCGAGTTCACGCAAGAGGTGAATAATAATCCAATTCATTATGTTTCTCAACGATTCGTCGACTGACAAAGCTCGCGGGTGTGTTATTTTGGGCGAGGGTTGCAGCTGTGTCTCGCGGCCTAGGTTAGGGACGTACTTCAACACGCCCTTTGCGAACACTCGGCATGGCTATCGTGTCGCTTATCGTAGCTTCGCCGACGCTGTGCTTCTTTATTTCTTTCGTTAAGTATATCTCGGTCGAGAGAGAACGCTTGCTTAGCACGAGTTTAGCACGAGACCGAACTTCCGTACACAAACAATCCCCGAGCTGCTCTGAAGAACTAGTGTTTGGGATTCCACGACTTTTCGTCGCTTACATGGATAGTCAAGCGATTGCTTTTTTGTTTTTTACCCGATCGGGCGTGCTAATTAACCGCCATGAATTTTGCGCGGCTCGCTTACGTCGCGTGAAAGTGGAAAACAGTTCTGTTAGAGTAAAATTTTAAAGGTAATTATCTGCCGCGTTGAAAACAAATATAACTCGAACAATTGTGATGCAAAACGTTTCATGATTCACATTTTCGCGCGAAAACACAATTTCAATGTGTAACAACTAACAACGTTTCGATGTGTCAATTAACGAACATTCCAGAACGATAGCATTAACGTCAAATGTGTTTCATTTGGAAAATGTATGTTTACATCGATTAGACACGCGACTGGCGCTCATAGTATCGAAATTTTTCATGAAATTCCCTAAGAAATTGCTCAGTCGATCGATTTCTTTATTATAAGACCGTGCAAGCAAGTTTACTACTTAATCGAGCGTGACGCGTCGATCGAATGTCGCTCACTCGATGCGAGTATATGAGTGAGTTTTTGTTTATTTTCGCGCGGAACGGGGGAAAGCGATACGCTTTGAATTAGGTTATTCGCCATCGCATGAAGAAGTCAATGAAATTCCTTGAATGAGTTCTACTGACGTATATTTTGGTTTGCCACTGACTGTCGGGTTATTTCGACAAGTGTATTGCCAATTGAATCATTCTTTTTTACTCGGATTTCTTTTGACGTGAATTCCGGTTCATTCGTTCGGTGCTAATTTCGCTGGAGTTGTAAAACAGCCAACCTAATCTAATTTACCATCAAAACGGTCCTGAAAATTGTTCAAAATCGAATTTTTCTTCGGTTCGGAACGCTGAATCATGAGACACTGACGTGGACGCAGATTTCCACGCTGACGAAACTGTTTACCCACAAACTTGACCTTACGCGTGCAGAGTAAATTTTCACGTGCAAAAGAATTGGCCGGTCTCTCTCGCGCACGCGCAACTCTACGTATATGACGTATCGAGTTTTCATTTGAATAATTCCATCGCGCTTTTAATTACGTGTTATGAAAACGAGATTTTTCTACATTACTCTTGTAACCGCTAACATTGGAAAATTATTTAACCTTTCTTATTGCATTACGCGCGCACGTTTGATACGAGAATCAGATGGATCTTTCAAAATCAGTGTTACGCAAGCGTTGATAAGTTCATTTATTTTTTACTATCACCGAATATTTCGTACACTTTTCAAAAAATGTTTCGGCAGTAATAATCTTGATGATACACTTGTTAAGGGGTATCAAAAATTTATTTAAATAGTGTGAATCTGTAAGAGATCTTTGTTGATAAACGGAAACGTGTAGAAAATTCCGATCCGTGAGCTACGATATTTTGAATTGCAAAAATTCATAAATGTCTTCCAGACTTGTCAAGCGTGCGTCAAAAGAAGTGTTTGCTTTTCCTTGGCCGGTATGCATTATTGATTTTTCGGCAGTTTTTTTCTGTCCCGAACATGTAAACATTAGCATCGGTGCGCACCTCTTCTTCGGCCAGCACTTGTTGCTCGGGGAAAAAGTCGTGAAATTCCGAGCCTCGTCCATAAAACATAGTATGCATTAGAGCGGAGGGGCATGCGAACAAATTTGCCGTCGTCTAAGAGACAATGCCGTAATTAATTTATCGCGCTACCGGTGATTCCCGTGCTCAAATCGATGTGCTCTGACTTGACCTTTTCTTGCTTTTTCGTTCGTCAGTCGGACGGATCATCAACTGGACTGGTGATAGTACAATTCTCGTAAAACTTTGGACTTTCCGTAGCCGGCAAGTTGCGCGCCTCGTTTTTTTTTTTTTTTATCCTTCTAGCACTTTGAATGAAGCTTGGGCTCGCTTTTCCCATGGAGCGAGCATTTTTGAGCGAAAGGCGGTGCAGTCAAGGTTGACGAAATTGCAACACAACGCCGTGGACGGTGTCGTGGCGCTCGGGTTATTGACTCTCGCGGCGAAAGAAAGGTATCCGGCGACTTTGCGACGAGAAAAAAAGCGATGCTCTCGACATGATAAAACCGAGTGGGGTCTTGTAATATGAAAACAAAATGATGCTATTTTGTAATTTTGTATCGTGATTGCTCAACGCTTTGACATTGTGGAAGAGCGTCAAAGGGCTGGCAGCCGGTGCGCGTTATCGATGCGAGTCTGAATGAACAATTGGCGGCAATTTGCTTGTCGCGCGCGAATTCACTCGAAGGTCTAGTTTTCTCATGCTATAGATAAGCTTGTGCAGTTTCTATCCGTCTGCGCGCATATGTCTTACCGTTTTTCGTTTCAACCGAAAACCCATGGTAATTTGACAGCGTGATTCACTGGTTCACTCTTGAGCCCCTGAGTCATCGAAATATCACGTGTCTTTTGATCCGCAGCCGATTATCTCGTACCTCCTAGCAAGAAGAGTCATCCGCGCGCCCTATCGCCAGAAAGAAAAGACCAGAGCGTGGACTGGTCGCATCTTATCGTCGTCGCTGGCTGCAACGTCACACTAGCCAGCGTGCGTCGCGTTATCTGCCGACCTCGTGCCTATACTCGACGCCCGATGCAACGTTCGCGCGCGTGCACATGCCTCCCGCGAACTGTCTTTTCGCCGTCCACGACTTATTTGCGAGTTCTCGTTTGTCCATGGCTCTGATCGCGATGGACCCGGCAGGACGTCGATTAATCCGCGTCATTGCTCCGTTATCTTTTCTGCATCGACGGCGAGTCGATATTTGTCTAGCTTTGCTGTCTCGCACGTGCCGAACCAGAATCACTAATCCAGTGCTGCCCGTAATTGTGCTCATTCTGTTTGCCAGCCGCGCGACGTGCGAGCTTCTTGAATTTCTCGATGAGTCATGGAGCTTTGCAGTTGCCTTGCGACCGCTCTGGCTTCGAATTATCGCGCGAGCTCTGGAACTCTCGGCGCTTTTCTCCTTAGAACACGCAAATGTACGCGCGAGCGTCACGCCGAAAAGAGAATCGCAGCAGCAACCTCCGGCAATAGAAACAAATCTCTCGATTGTAAAATTGGTCGCGCGTGCGATTACTCAATGAAACCAACTCGCGGCACAAGTCAATCTTCCCCGGGGGTCTTACAGATTCAATTGGCCGACCTCTGAATCCGATGATCGGAGCGGCAATACTCTGCCTCGCGATTGTTCGCCGGTTAAAGCGGACTCTTTAGCCGTCGTTTCGCATCGTCATCGTTCAAGACTGCATGGGCTACGCTCGCACAACCATTTTCCAAATGAGCGAGCTCGCAGCTCGCTAGTAATTTCCTTTATGCCGCGGTATCTTTTTTTCTTTCGCCTTTATCAGTTGTGTGTGCGCGCTGCATGATTTCTAACCGCTTTTCTTTCGCAATAGACATTCCGATTCCATTTTCGTGCGACGAACGAAGCATTTCATAATTTCCAGCCGCATTGTCTCGCCGGTCATGATATACGCATCGCGTCCATGTAGTTGTGCGTTATGTGGAAAAAACTCCACGCGGCATCGATCGCAGTCTCTGTACCCGCGCACACGGCCGCCTACGCGCACTTGAACTTGGCTACCTGGTAAACATAGCCGATTGCTCTTCGTGACTTGGAATTAATCGTAGTACGTTGCGACGATACCCGATGCTGAGCATGCCTTCTTTTTCCTTTGCAGTCTGCTGTCCACAAGGCTTTCGCGTCTGACTCGGATGAGAAATCTCCTGGCGAAGAACAAACTTACCGACGACTAAGAAGACTTTCATTTTTCGTTTTTCTTCGAGAGACTTCAAACAAGCAATATCGTTCTAAAATGCCAGCTAGATTCGACAGTATGAACACACACTTGGTACGCGAACCAATGAACGTCACTAATGGCACACCATATCTTATCGACGATGACGTCGTTATCTCCGGCTTCTCAGGTACAAGTCGATATTGATTCTTTTCGTCGCTATTTTTAAACAAAATAAGCATACCTAATTTGTCCGTTTGGAAAATGATCGTTTGCAATTGCTTTTTAACAAAGTGAAAAACAAAACAAATATTAAAAAGAATAATCGCAAGCTATTCATTGGACTTTACAACACCTCGCGAGAAAAAAATAATCGCTTCGTTTTCGTTTTTCATTTCAATTGACCATTCGAAATTCTAACGACATAATTGCCCATCATCACAGGCCGACTCCCCGAATCGTCAACAATCGAGGAGTTCAAAGAGCAGCTATTCCAGGGCGTCGATCTGGTGACCGACGATGAACGCCGTTGGCCAAAGAACGTGCACGGTTTACCGGCTCGAACCGGCAAACTCAAGGATTTGTCCTCGTTCGATGCCACTTTCTTCGGCGTTCACGCCAAGCAAGCCAACGTTATGGATCCTCAGCTCCGTATGCTTCTTGAGCTTACTCACGAGGCAATTATTGATGCTGGTATTAATCCTGCCGAGATTCGTGGCACGAGAACTGGAGTTTTCATTGGTGTTTCCGATTCTGAGTCTGATGAGTATTGGACTGCCGATCCTGACAAAGTTAACGGTAAGTGTCGTCTATTTGTTTACTTTCATTATGCACTCGATGGCCTTTTGGTTCTAAAAATTTCGAAATTCTAAACTTTTAAATAGTCGATTGCTGGAATTCATAATTAGTCATTCCCGACTACAGTATTATTAACGAACTATCTCTTTACGTCAAAGTAATGTTTGATTGCTAAAAATAATTTACACTCGTATCATTGCTACTTAACAACAATCGTTATCGTTGCAGGCTACGGGCTGACAGGCTGCTGCCGTGCGATGTTCCCCAATCGCATCTCGTACACGTTTGACTTCAGCGGTCCAAGTTTCGCTCTGGACACGGCGTGCTCGTCGTCACTCTACGCCATGCACTACGCGATAACGGCAATGCGAACTGGCCAATGCGATGCAGCGATCGTGGGTGGTGTTAATCTTCTGTTAAAGCCAACAAGTTCATTGCAGTTCCATCGTCTCAGTATGCTATCTCCTGATGGTGCCTGCAAGGCATTCGACGCATCTGGCAACGGTTATGTTCGCTCAGAAGCTGCAGTGGTCATTTACCTACAAAAAAGTCGAGATGCGAGAAGAGTATACGCGACAGTGGTCAATTCCAAGGTTAATACCGATGGCTACAAAGACCAAGGTATCACTTTTCCCAACGGCGCTATGCAGAACAAATTGATGCGGGAAGTGTACGACGAAGTTGGTGTCAATCCTGCGGATATTGCTTATGTCGAAGCCCATGGCACGGGAACCAAAGTTGGCGATCCACAAGAGGTCAATTCGATTGCCGATCTATTTTGCAAAGACAGAAAAACACCGTTGTTGCTAGGATCTGTCAAGTCCAATATGGGTCACTCCGAGCCAGCTAGTGGTCTCTGCTCTATCGCCAAAGTTCTAATTGCCATGGAGAAAGGAGTTATCCCTGCTAATCTACACTTCAAAAATCCTAACAAGGATATACCTGCGTTATCAGATGGTAGCATTCGAGTTGTCGCTGAGCCTACACCGTGGAAGGGTGGACTTGTTGGTGTCAATTCCTTTGGTTTCGGTGGAGCAAACGCACATGTAATTCTTAGGAGTAATCCGAAACCTAAGATTTCACCGATGCTTGATGTCAATGTGCCAAAGATGGTCACGGTATCTGGAAGGACCGAGGAAGCTGTTGCCAGTCTACTCGATGAGGTAACTTTTTCGTTTATTGGTCACTGCGCGACAAATTATTGTTCGAGAAAGCAGCAATAATTGTGTTGTACTTAAAAAGATATATAAATTACCGATTTTACTGGTACTTTTCCTCCGTCGTCGTAAGTTGCAAATTTGCTAGTGCTAGAATGAAAATAAATGTCGATAATAAATTTTATTACGATAACTTCGATTGATGCGTTTGTTTACGTCTATGTTTTTATCTTTTGCAAACAACGCTTCTCTATTTATTTTATTTTAATTATATACTACTGATATTGTATCCGTTGAATGATAATTATAGCTGAATTTCGTTCTCTTTTAAAACTCTCGAATACACAATTTAACAAATATAAATTACTCGTAAATCTTTTTTCCAACAGGCAAAAAGGAACGTAAATGATGACGAGTTCATCTCGCTATTGCACAGCGTACATGCATTGAACATTTCTGGTCACTCGTATCGCGGTTATCAAATCCTCGGTGATGCAGAAGAACGCGAAATCTCACAAACAACTGGTGACAAACGCCCAGTGTGGTACGTCTTCTCTGGCATGGGTTCGCAATGGGCCGGTATGGGCAAGGACCTTATGTCGATCCCTACATTCCGCGATAGTTTGCGTCGTTGCTCCGAGGCACTCAAACCATACGGAGTTGATCTGATGCATCTCATTCTCAACGGCACCGACCAATCCTATGAGGACGTACTTTGCAGTTTCGTTTGTATAGCTGCTATTCAAGTTGCTCTCGTCGACGTATTGTCAATGCTTGGTATCTCTCCCGATGGGATCGTCGGTCACTCGGTTGGAGAAGTTGGTTGTGCGTATGCCGACGGTACTTTCACCGCAGAACAAACTGTATTAGCTGCTTATTGGAGAGGAAGGAGTTTGAAAGAAACAGGTCTGCCCAAAGGAATGGGTATGGCTGCTGTGGGACTCAGCTGGGCAGAGGCTAAAGAGCGATGCCCAACTGATGTTTTCCCTGCTTGCCACAATGCCGCTGACTCGGTGTCTATATCTGGACCCTTGGCGTCCATTCAAAAATTTATTGTTCAACTTAAGGCTGAAGACATCTTTGCCAAAGCTGTGAACAGCTCCGGTGTGGCATTCCACAGCAAGTACATCGCTGATGCCGGACCAAAACTTCGTGCTAGCCTCGAGAAGATCATTCCTAACCCCAAGCCAAGGACTTCAAGGTAAAATTATGATTTATTTAAATTAAAAATATTTAATTTATCTAAGCATTTTTTTAAATTACATTTTAATCATGTGCGTTTATTTATATTACAGATGGATCTCATCATCCATTCCAGAATCTGCATGGGGCACACCATTGGCCCAGCTCAGTTCTCCAGCTTACCATGTGAACAACCTATTGTCGCCTGTGCTCTTCCAAGAAGCTCTCGCTCACATCCCAGAAAACGCAGTGGTCATCGAAATCGCCCCACATTGCCTACTTCAAGCGGTTCTTCGTCGTTCATTGCCAGCGACAGTGACGAATGTTGGTTTACACAAGCGTGACCACAAGGATAATATGATGTTTTTATTGACAAATATCGGCAAGATCTACAACGCCGGCGTTCAGCCTCAGTTAAGCAAGTTCTACTCACCAATAAGCTACCCAGTTGGTCGTGGTACTCCAATGCTCAACTCCATGATCAAGTGGGATCACTCGGTCCAATGGGACGTCGCTGACTTCTCCGGCAAAAACTCAAGAGCTGGTGAAAGTATCGTTGAAGTTGATCTATCCAAAGACACAGACGCTTATCTCGCCGGTCACACAATTGACGGCAGAATTTTGTTCCCTGCCACTGGTTATCTCACAATCGTATGGAAGACCTTCGCTAAACTTCAGGGCGTCGAGTTTGAGAAACTACCTGTTGTCATAGAAGATGTGCAGTTCCAGCGTGCTACCATCATGCCGAAGGATGGTTCAGTCAAATTCCTGATCAATATCTTTGATGGTACCGGTGACTTTGAAATTTGTGAGGGTGGCTCCGTCGCTGTTACTGGTAAAATCCGTATACCTGAAGATGTCAACAAGGAGCAGTTGAACCTACAGCCGCCGTCCATACCATCGAAACCCGAGCTTCTGGAACTCAAAACCGAGGATATTTATAAAGAGTTGCGTTTACGTGGCTACGACTACTCTGGCATCTTTCAGAGTATCGTTAGCTCGGACAACTTTGGTAACGCCGGCAAACTCATGTGGAACGAAGATTGGATCTCTTACATTGACACCATGCTGCAGTTTAGTATTCTCGGTAAAAATACCAGAGATCTCTATCTTCCCACCCGTTTGCAGCAGGTCATCATCAATCCTATCGTTCACAAGGAGCTAATCGAGAAAGCTGGTGAGGGCCGAGTGTCTTTGCCTGTTTATTCATTTCCCAAAATCGGTGTGATCAAATCCGGTGGAATTGAACTAAGAAACATGAAAGCATCTTTAGCACCCAGAAGGCAGCAAACTCAAGCAGCACCCAAACACGAGAGATACACTTTTGTGCCATACGACAACTCCCACGTGCTTGTCGAAGATCCCGAGCGCTCAAAACTCCATGCCCTTACAGTTCTCCTACAGATTGTAAGAGAAAACATAGGTGGAATTAAAATCAAGGTTATAGAGATCACTGGAGAAAGAGCTTCCGAAGCTCTTATGACCCCAACCGTTCTTGATGTACTTTACAACGAACCAATGTTAAGCGTTGATCTTCAAATTGCTACTACGTCACCCGACAGTCACGCTGCCTTTGTTGACCAGTGGAAAATAAAAGCCATTTCTAAGGATGTTCAAACAGCTCCAATAGGTCAGGACTTGCACCTGGTGTTGGCTGCCGATTTGCTGAGTAACAACCAAACAGCTGCGGTAAAAAACCTCGGAGATTCTCTAAAACCTGGCGGCTTTCTCATTTCCGAGGAGACTGGAAGTCTCACCTCGAATGCAGCCAAGAAAGCAGGTTTAGTAATTGTCGGCAAACAAATTGTTCCGGGTAAAAGTTACGTGTTGATGAAGAAACTCGAGGACATCTACCAGCCCATCATCATACAAATAACCGAGAAGAATTTCTCTTGGCTTGAGGGTGTTAAAGCTGCACTTAAAAAAGCTGAGTCCGAACAACAGAAAATTCTCTTGGTCAGTCAAGGTGAAGAGTTACTTGGTATGGTCGGTCTCATGACTTGCATCCGTCAGGAAGCTGGTGGTATGAACGTGAGATACGTCTTCATTCAAGACAAGAACGCCTCAAAATTCTCACTTACCGATGACTTCTATGCCGCTCAAATGAAGAAGCAACTCATGGCTAATGTTCTCAAAGGAGGTCAGTGGGGTTCGTACAGACATCTCAGACTCGATCAACAGACTGATGTGTCGTCGTTGTACGTCGAACACGCTTATATCAATGCTCTGACCAAAGGTGATCTTAGTAGTTTGAGGTGGATTGAAGGACCTCTCAGTTACTATCAGCCTGAAAAATTCCCGGGTAAAAAGTTTTGCAGCGTGTACTATGCTCCACTTAACTTCCGGTGAGATAAACTTATTTTTAAACATTTCGTTATATAAAAAAAAATGACTTATTAGATTATGACACTTGATACTTTTTTGTCTTGGATGATAAAAAAATAAAGTGATTAATTTTTTTAAGATTTTTTTTTTTGGTAAATTAATAAAAATTGTACTTTATTTCCAGAGACATCATGTTGGCTACAGGAAAACTCAATGCCGATGCATTGCCAGGTGATCTGGCAAGTCAAGACTGTATCTTAGGTCTTGAATTCGCCGGCCGCGACTCGATGGGTCGTCGAGTTATGGGCATGGTTGCTGCTCAAGGTCTCGCCACTACGGTCTTAGCTGATCCTGGCTTCATGTGGGAAGTACCAGATAAATGGACTCTCGAGCAAGCCGCAACTATCCCAGTCGTTTATTCCACCAGTTATTATGCTTTATGCGTCAGAGGAAATATGAAGTCTGGTGAAAGTGTATTGATTCATGCTGGAAGTGGTGGTGTTGGTCAAGCCAGTATTGCTATTGCCTTGCATATGGGATGCAAAGTCTTTACTACTGTTGGCTCGCAGGAGAAGCGTGACTTCTTGAAAAAGACTTTCCCACAGGTAATTTAAAAATCGCATGTCAATTTTATACTGTAGGGAATGAACAATACTAATGGTTTTTATTTAATTTATATAGTTGAACGACCGCAACATCGGTAACTCTCGAGACACTAGCTTCGAGCAACTCATACTTAATGAAACCGACGGTCGTGGAGTCGATCTCATTCTCAACTCACTTGCCGGCGAGAAGCTTCAAGCCAGTGTAAGATGTTTGGCTATTGGCGGTCGCTTCCTCGAAATTGGCAAATTTGACTTATCAAATAATGCAGCGCTCGGCATGTCGCTGTTCCTTAAGAATACTTCCTTTCACGGAATTCTTTTGGATGCTCTTTTCGATGTTGACTGCCCAGAAAAGAAAGAACTGGTTAGACTTGTTAGTGAGGGTATCAAGAATGGCGCTGTTCGACCACTTCCTGCTACTGTTTTCAGCGAACAACAGATTGAACAAGGTTAGTTTTAGTTCATTGATTTTATTGAATTCTTAAATATGTCATGAAAATATCAACGCGTATTAATTACTTCTGTCTTGCAACAGGTTTCCGATTCATGGCAACAGGCAAGCATATTGGTAAAGTTTTACTGAAAATCCGCGACGAGGAATCCCAGAAAGTCACTCAGCCAACTCAAAAAACTGTCGCATCAATCCCACGTACATACATGAATCCTGATAAGTCATACATCCTTATCGGTGGTCTTGGAGGTTTCGGTCTGGAACTTGCCAACTGGCTTATCAGTCGCGGAGCCAAACACATTGTCCTCACTTCGCGATCTGGCGTACGAACTGGCTATCAGTCGCTTTGCATTCGTAGGTGGCGCAGTAATGGTATCAATGTTATGATTTCTACCGAAGATGTTACTACGGCTACTGGAGCCGAAAAACTTATTAAAACAACTAATAAATCAGGTATTTCATTTTGTAATTTTCGTCCGTTTCATTTTTAATAGGCATTTAATCTTGGAAGTTATACTTTGAAATTATGGGAAAGTTTTTAAACAAATAGTCTACATTTGAAACCTAACATAATTTATTGAACTTGCAGCTCCAGTTGGTGGTATTTTTAACTTGGCTGCAGTATTAAAAGATGCGCTAATAGAGAACCTTGAAGAAAGTCATTACAAGGTAGTAACATTGCCAAAGGTTGATGGCACAAAGAACCTCGACGCTGCATCTCGAAAACTCTGCCCAGCTTTAGATTACTTTGTTGTATTCTCATCTGTCTCTTGCGGTCGCGGAAACGCCGGTCAGACAAATTACGGCTTAGCCAACTCTGCTATGGAGCGGATTTGTGAACAACGTCAAGCCATTAGCCTACCTGCATTAGCCATACAGTGGGGAGCTATTGGTGACGTCGGTCTCGTTCTCGAAACGTTGGGTAACAATGAAACGGAAGTTGGTGGTACATTGCCTCAACGTATGACCAGCTGTCTCACCACCATGGATACATTCCTACAACAACCACATCCCGTCCTTGCTTCGATGGTTTTGGCTGAGAAACGTAAGTCCTCCGATTCTGGAAGTCAGATCGGTCTTCTAGAAGCAGTTGGTAACATCTTGGGTGTCAAGGATGTTAAGACCATCAATCCAAACAATAGTCTAGCTGATTTAGGAATGGATTCGCTAATGGGTACCGAAATCAAACAAACTCTAGAGAGAAACTATGACATTGTACTTAGCCCTCAAGAGATCCGAGGACTCACGTTCGGCAAGCTCAAAGAGTTCGCTACTGGCAGCAGCGAAACATCTGAGCCATCCAATACGTCTGTAAACACTGTTTCATCATCCACGGAAAGTGGTCCTGACGATATGTTATTCCAATTATCGGGTTCAGAAATTGTACCTAAAGAGACACTCCTCAAGCTCAACACTCGAAAATCTGAAGGCATACCGATATTCGTCGTCTCGGCAATCGAAGGAGTGATCGCTTCACTCAAATCGCTCGCGCAAGAACTCGATCGACCAGTTTACGGACTTCAGTGCACTAAGAACGCGCCACTCGGCACCATTACCGAATTTGCTCAGTTTAACGTTAAACAGATGAAGGAAGTGCAAAAACAAGGACCGTACAGACTCGTCGGTTATTCCTTTGGAGCACTTGTTGCTTTTGAAATGGCTTTACAATTGGAACAGATGAGCGAACAGGTGAATCTCACACTTATAGATGGGTCGCCCGAGTTCATCACACAGCACTGCCAAACTATTGGCAAACAAACTAAACAAAATAGTGAAAATCTCGAGGCTGACGGCACGAGAAAAGCGCTTGCTTTCTTCACCCGGCAGATGAACTCTAACATTGGTTTCTTGAAGGTGTGAATATTACACATTTTAAGCTACACTTCTCTTTGCATCTTCTGCTCTTAAAAATATATTTCTTTAATCGTCTGCATTGTGAGTGATTTTATCAAATAATATTTTTAATCATCAATATAATTTTCTTTTATAGGCATACAGCATTCTCAAAGATACGCAAAACGATGACGAAATGTTCAAGAAAATGGTGGAATTAATTGGAAGCACGCCATTCTCACCTGAAGATTTGAAGGAAGCTGGCACACTGTTTTTCAAGAAATTGAGGGCAGCTAATTCTTACAAACCAACCGGCAAATACCAAGGCCCCATCACGCTTATTAAAGCCAAAGATAACTTCGTGTCACTAAACTCTGATTACGGACTTGCACAGGTAAACTCTTTCATCGATTCATTTTTCACCAGATAGTACATTCTTATAAGTCAGTTTCAACGGTTTTTTGACAAAAAACTTATTCCTTTTTACTTTAATTTTTGATTGATTCAATAGCTTTTACTGAATCATTTGAATAAAAATTTTAATAAAAATCTAATATCTAATCATGTATGTTTTTTTTTACAGATTTGCAGGCAGAATGTGAAAATTGAAGAACTTTTTGGCAACCACAGAAGTATTATGGTCGGTGATAGCGTGAAAAAAATAGCCGAAGTACTTCGGGCTTAGAGACTGTAGGCTTTAAATAACGCATATTTCTAAATGCAAAGGAGATTTTATTCGCTGAGCTCTCGAAGTCTTGAAAATTCAAAGTCAAGCAGACTGTCTTTTGTATAAATGTTTATCAGCGTGAAATGTCTCTTTGCACGTCATCAATTCACATGTCATATGTTAAAAGTTTCGCATTATCTCATAGTCGTCTTGCGTGTACTGATTATTAATGTACAGATTATTATTCATTTTTATTCTTATTTTTCCTTTGCGCCGAATGATCGGGAATAGGGATATAACAAACAACCAAAAACAAAATCTAATTGGTTTGTCTTTTTAAATTTTCTTTTATAAACATTTACATTCAAATTAAAACTTGTAACTTTTTCCACATTGACTTATCATTTTTATGAGCCTTTTCGTACATTCCTATTCTTGCTCATTGTCTTTCCAGATAATTCCGAGCCTTTCATATCATTTAAATTTAGATAGTTTGCTCTTATACGATTTTTCGATGTTCACTAGTGGACAAATGATCATTGTCAAGTTGTATGAGGCAACGTATTTATTGCGAATTTTTTCTAATTAACATTGTTTAATCAATTGTAGATTACGCGTACAAATTGTGTTGAGATGATTTTGAAAAATTTCACAGAAATACATGACTGTCAAAACAACTTATCGTTTTCTAGGCAGTTCTTTTACTTTGAAAAAGGTCTACTAGTGTAGATTAAAGATTTAATCTGAATGTTGCGGTACACATATAAAAAGATACGTTTTTTAAACACATTTTTTTCGAAACAAACGTTTTCTTCGGCATCAAAGCTGAACTAAAGGTAATTTACTGAGAACTGCGCACATTTTAGGTTTCAAGTATATAGTTTACATCAGATTAGATAGTCTCTGTATGATGCGGCATACAGACGAAAAAGTTGTAAGCTCATGTGCATTTATTCTAAGTTATACTCAAACAATGTATAACACATTGTTTCTTGTAGAAACAAATAAAAGGAGTTAAACTATTGGCCTATTGTAATAAATATTTCCTACTCTTAAACTATAGTTAAATAAATAATTTTCTATTGTAAATTTCATATAAAAATTGGAAGAGTCAAACAACGCTTAATAAATCTTTCAGTTCATTATCAAGAAAATTGAATCGAATCGCAGTTTTAAAAATCATTTTTATTTGCATAAAAAGCAAATTAAATGACCATTGTTTATGAATTCATATAAATGTTATCTCATTAGAATTTTTCAAATTAATTAAAAAAAAAGTCTATCGATCGTAGGAGACGTTTCCTGACCTCACTGCAATTGTCTAAGTACAATACACGAAAGCTAACGTTAAAATCAGTATAGGCCATAAATACTTGCATTGATATAAATGCAATGGAAATTGACTTGATAGTAATGTTAAACGGAAATTAATTTTTATTTAAACGTTTAAATCAATGAAAAATGAAGTATTTTCTAACACGAATATCTTTTTGTTCAAATCTCATAAATAAGTACAAAATAAGACTTTTATTTTGAAATTAATATTTGTGTATAAGAAATAGTTGAATTAAAAGATGATAGTAACAATTATGTTTGTGAAAAATGCATTTACTAGGCTCCATTCAAATTTTACTAATGTATTAAGAAGCTTAAATATGTAATATAAATTTATTTTATTGATAACAATGTAATATATAAAAAAAATCTTAAGACTGTCGTAAAATTCATCTTTTAAAAATATGATTATTAATGCTATAATAAATTATAAATATACATTTCAAATAATCAGTAAAAATAGTTCGAAAAAATTGTAAACATTGTTATCAAACATAAAAATACTATGATACACGCGTTATTATAATATTGATACCCTAATTCGATACTCTGAATGTATATAATAATTAAATTATTTACTCCCAAAAACATCAGCTATTAATTGGAATGCTTTCGTTAACAATTATTTATACTAACACCTACATAACAAACATTTTGTGACACTCATAAACTTCAAAAACAACGTTCAACATCAATATTTTCTTAATTTGTAACTCATTTTATACATGTTTTGTTCTCTCAACACTGGGATCGGAGATAGAGAAATATTTATCGCAAGTAAAGGAAACGGTCAATGCATAACGCGTTCCTGAGGTAACTTTCTCGACTGCGTGTAAATTTTCAGCACCGGAAGTGAACATGGAAACTCTACCCTTCCGAGGCTCTATTGTGGTATTGGTATTTTCCTTATCAATGAATATAAATCTACCCCCTTCAAAATCTCGATTGTAGTCGGTCAGATATAACAGTGATGTATAATGGAAAGATTCGTAGGTTTCCTGAAAAAAAAGGCACAGTGCTTTGACTGATTGCAATGTTGGATAACTTGTTAAATATGCAGTGATATATTACTTTATCTACATGTGGATGCCAGTACTCATCATGAAGTGTCTTGGCAGGAACATTTGTAATTTTTGAGAAGAAGGTAGGTTTTGTTAGATAGATCTTATTTACATCAACTCCAAAATGATGAGCAATTGCATGATGTATCTTTGTCTTTACAACCCTGGAAGATTGATTATAAATTGAAGTTTGAAATAAAATTCACAAATTCATGAAAGTCAAAAGTAAATACTTATAAATAGCAAAATCAGGGCTGTTAAAAATCTTTTTAGCTTCCTTAAGACTATAAATGTCTATAAATTGGGGGCCTTTGCTCAAAGCTCCACTCTGAAGATCCAAAATACTTGCTCCCCCATCAGAACCACCAAGCTTAAATCCTCTCTTCGCTAATTGCAGCAATGTGTCAACTTCTGATCCTGAGACTAGTTTATCAGTTACCACACGTCCACATTTTTCAGGAACACAGCCAGGAAATTGAGCTAATTCTGCTTTGTACTCAGGTGAACACTCTACATTCAATGTTCTACTAATCAATATATCCTTCTGTTGAGCCAAGGTAACTACTTTTCCATTTCTACTGTTATACCATACAACAAGCATTATTCCTAGGATTATGATGCATCGAGACCATACTCGTTGATACGGAAAAGTGACTAGCCGGCCATATTTCCTACAAGCAGGGTAAAGAAGCAATTACTTCAAGTATTAGTTTTCAAATTCATATAACAACCACTATCCACAACAGTCTGAGGTTATCGTAGCACGCAATTAAAATAATCTGTAGCTAGAAGTATGTGATTTGCATAAAATTCTCAGTAGTTTTCTTCGTATAAAAACCAATGCCATATCAACGATAATTCAAATGTAACTTACGGTTTTATTTCATCTTGCTTAACGGTGTCGTCAATATTCCTCTTGTCCGCTAGTTTCTCCTTTTTCGCATCATTTTTTCTTCTCTTCGTTGTACCTTGATTCATTTTTTATAGTTTGACTTCTGATTCACAGAATAACAATTATAAAATTCATTATTTAAAACTATTAAATTGATAAAATTAATAAGGTACTGAAAGTGAACACGTTGGTTATACATGCATACTGTGCGCCACGCGTGTACGAATATTATATATGTACATATACACACACACACATACTGGGCGTGTGTTTGTGCACATATATATATAATGAGTGGCGGCAAATTTTGCATTGAGTCTTATGGGTCTTATGGAGACCGGTACAATAAAATTTGTTAAAAAATCATTTCGATATTAGTTTCAATAATTTTGCGATAAATAAAAAATTTACTTATTATAAACCTATAACAAAAATAAGTAATAGTAGGTTCGATACAATATTCAATAAAAAATCATTGCTGTAATGTGAACATGTCTTGAGATATAAAAAGAAAACTATGACTCTAAGTAAGAAAAGTAATAATGCACATATATTTATTAATAATAACAATTTTTTTTTGATAAATATTTATTGTGAAATAAGCAGATTTACTCATTAGCAAAACATTTAGTTTCAGCAAACTTGAAAAACGATTTCATATCATTATTCCTGCTAAAACAAGGACATTCAACCAAATTAAAAATCCAATTCACTTTCTGAATCCTACAAATCACAATTGACATTTATTAAAATAGAATGAATTTCAATCTACTTTAATGTTATTTTTTATTTCGGAATTAATTTTACATATAATAATAATTAATTTCAGGATAGGAAAATATTATAGGGGATTCAGACCGATTCCACTTCAATCAATTAAAATTGTCATATATAGGAATTGGAAATACACTCAAAGCGGATTGGATTATCAATTGGTTGAATGTCGCTGTTTTAGTAAAAACCAAATGACGTAAAGAATATATATGTTAACAAAATCAGTCTAGTTAATAATTTTGATCCTTATACTTTTGCTAATCATAATTTTAGACTTTGACATACGGCCCACAATACAACAATTAACCATTGTATAAACTTATAGATAACTGTTATAAAACTGCTATATACAGCTACTGAAACAACGATCGATATTTATATAATCAATTCATACCATAATAAATATTTTTCAATAAATTGCTTGAATTATTGTCTCGTATAAAAAGAAACTAATAAATCGTTTTATTGATTATTGTACTGAACCTATTTATTTTTGTTATAGTTTACTAATCAGTAAACTTTTTATTTATCAAAAAATTATTGAAATTATTTTTTAACAAATTTTATTGTACCGCAGTTCCCATAAAACTCAATGCAAATTTTAACCACCATTCTTCGCAGCTGTTGTGCTGTGACGTCATGCTAAAAAAGGCCTATTCGCCAAATTTTTTTATATTTACAACAAATGCTATGAATGTAAAACATAAGCTTTGGCACATGCGCATAACAAACTTTCGAATTCGAGCGTACATTTTTATTGATGAAAAATGAAATGTAAGTAAATGCAGTTAATCAAATATTAAAAATGAGGTTCGATATATAAATAAGATAATATAAGAAGATATTATTTAATAAGTAACATAAAGAAGTTAACATACCACGTTTTGATTCGAAAAATGTTCTTCAAATATTCCTACAATATAGCCATTATTGCGCTATAAAAATAAAATATATAAAGAAGAGGTAAACTAAATGTTTTTTAAGATACAAGAGTTTGATTAAAGCTTCTATAAAGTTAGTAATAACTGAAAATTCAAACTTTGATAGTTTACGCTGACAGTACTTTGTGTATGACATTTAGTTTGCACGATTAGACTGTCGTCGATAATAGATTATCAGCGAACAGGAATTAACTCCATTATATATGAATTATTAGCTGCCTGAAGACTAGTTAAAACAAAATTATAAAAGCTCTTCACTTACTGATACATACTGATAAAAGACTCAATGAAAACTTCAAATAATCACTTCGTCTATACTATTTTTAAAGGACGGTCCCTAAAAGAAACTAAGATAAGATGCATATTTCTCAAATAAGTACTAATTCGAAATAAAAGTGAGCTAAAAGTGATATTCAATCAAAAAAGTGAACAGTAATATTGATTTTCTTTCTAGAATAACATACATTCAACGACAAACAACAGTGACTCCGTCAACATTTGGCAATAGAAATACTTTTGCCAAATTCAGCGTCTACTTTTGTGTACTATAAATTTCAATAAGAAAATCAACTGCACGCATGTAGTGACTTTCAAACCAATAATGGTGACATGGGAGTAATGAGGGCTCGAGGCCGAATCTTGAATGACAATGGGGTACTCTCCATTTTCATTCGTGTTTTGATTCAAAATAATTGTAATCTGGCTTGTTACGTTGGACAAAACGTAGTAATTTATCTGTTTCATTACCAATGCGTCAAAGGCGTCCGCCTACTTACGCAGTCCGTATTATGAGAACAAAATATGTATCATTTCGAACTTGTTAGTTAATTAGTAAACTGTCGTATTTTCAACGGTTTTGGCTACACTAGTGAGGATCAGCGTTAGAGCGCTACACAATCTCAGAGCCACGTGTTTTTGTACAGTATTTTTATATCGATTTCTGCAACGAACAAGTATATGTTGTCGATTGACAATATGCATATTAAAAACAATTTAAAAAAATATCAAGATATATATGGAGTTGTTCTGTACATTCTAGTGAAAAAAGTAGGTATTTCTATTACAATGAATTTCCCAGCAATGTGAGTAGGAAGCCAACGATTAGCGCGCAAATGGTTCCGAGAAGTAAACCATTGATCTTCGAGATACACGAAGAAAAGTTAATAAGCAGCGATAAAGCTACTAAAAAATTGAACAGAAAATGTTTCCTTTCGAAATTCAAGTAATTAAATTTTAAGGCAAGCTTATTTTGCACCGCGTGTGCGGAGAAAGCACTTGGTATAGTTTGTTCAAGGGATCGTCATGGCAACGCGCGGTAGCATGGACGTCGAGAAGAGCGATAGTTGCAGTTGGCCATTGACGGTTGTGGCGTGAAGGTGCAAGCAAGTGTACTGCGTAGCCAACGTGGGTCGCAATACTTCCTGCGGGATTTGGTCGCGCGACGTCGACGCCGCTGCTTCGTCGTAAGTAAGGCAAATGAAAAGTGCAGGTGGAAATTTGTATTGAAATTTGTGGAGCTAGTGTATGATTGTTGTCGCTGCGACTGATATCGGATGTGGGTGACGATTGGAAGGTTAATCAACCGTCGTTTCGAGCGTGAAGCATAGAAAGCGGGCGTGGAATGTGATCAACTCGAGCCCAACTGGCAATTATAGTTTCTTTTCTTTCCGTTTCTTTTTACCTGATCACCAGCCACGTTCGAATACATATTTCGCTGTGAATTTGAAAAATCCCTGGTGATAACCGATCGACCGAATTAGAAACAACAAGGCGTTATAGCTAGGAGTTGTAAAGCACGGAAAGCCGACGTTAACTTTAAGCAAATTGTATCGATTGCTCGGGCAGCTCAATAAATCCATTCACGGCACAATCAAACCCCAAGCCTCTCGAAGCTCGACAATCTGACCTCGATCTGGCGAGCCTTTGGGAAAAACACGAGCGAAAGAGCATTATTCAAATGTCAAAAGTCACAGTGGCTTGTCGGTCTTTGCTTCCGTCGAGGCGGCAAAATGCCCCTGCTAAAAGGAGGGCTTCGCAGCTCGCGAGCATGCGAGAACATGCTAATCACAATGCCGGCTCGATAACTCCGTAGTGTCCCACTTCCTTTTCGTGAGTACGCTACGGGGCTCGTAAATCCCTGGCTCTCCCCTGTTCTTTCGATGCCTGACCTCACCTGTACTTTCTGCCTTTTGCTTTTTCTCTGCTATTTCTCGGGAGGCAATGTTTTCTGTTAGCCGATACAAATGGGCAAGGTTTCTTATGCCGAGAGTAGAGCACTGCGATAGGCGAGCGACAAAGACAAATATTAGCTAATAATGAAAGCGTGATAATGAATTGCCGCAGGTCGTTACTTCCGAGAAAACTCGTGAGTCTTAAATATTATTTTTCAAGGGAATCTTCGTTATTTTTAGTGAAATGTTGAAAACCGTGTAAACGTTTTACTTATTTTGTTCAAGTAACTCGAAACACTCTAATCATTCTAATTTTTAAGTATTCACTTGATACGACTCATTTACTCTACCGTCGGAAAAAGACACAAGTAAAATCACATATCCTCGGAATAAATAAACGCAATTGGACATTGTAACAAACTCATAAAACTATAACGAGCTATATGGACAGTCGTTAGCAATGCGATATACGATGTAATAATAGACTTGGTTAGTCGTATTTTTTTCCTTCTTCTACATTTCAAATCTATCAAACAATACCTGGGCATCTATATCGCCTCTTTTCCGCGCCAAAAAACTCAGTGCGACTAACGCGTGTACGAAAGCTCGAAATGAATCGATACATTATTACGATACCATTGATACGAGTATACGAACTTAATCAATTTCATTGTTCTACCTCGTGTTTATCCAGTTCGCTTTCCATTGGATCTTGAGTTTGAAGAAAACATGAAAGTGGGCTTGGCTGGTGTAACCTCTGAATAATTTATGATACGTTCATCCTTGAACTTCATTTATGTAGGCTAAATGAAAAAGAATGTCATCATTGAATAGCCATAGCCTTGAATTATTGATCGTCCGGTTAGAATATTCTCCAACTCATTGTAGATTTTTTGGTCGACCATACAAGCCCCAAAGAAAAATCCATTTGGCGAGAAGAGTACATATATTTTTTCAGCAAGAGAGTCCTATTGTCTCGCGTTGGGCTTGAATACATATGAATTGGTCGATCGTAGCTCAGTTAATACACAACAATTATCCAACGAAAGTAAAATCAAGTCTGCACGTGCGCGTTGGCACAAATGACAGTGAAACATCAAAGTTAATGACACATCAGCGGCAGGTGGTCATCGCAAGGGTGAGATTGCCGAATAAATACAAATACACGGCATAGCAAGCGTTGAGCGATATGTATCGTGTCGGCAAGGGACGATCCCTTCGTATCTACGAGCTCAGTGCAAGTTGGGTCGATAATAACGTGCCCGTGTCGCTATAGAGCTTTTCTTCGTGCCCCCGGCGATATTGTCTATTTTTAACCGAAACTTCTACGGCCCTCGAGTGCGTTAATCTTCCTCGCTGACGTTGCATTGATTGACGTATCCGGGCCTAATAGTCGGCTGAGCGAATTAGATTTATCGTTAGCTTTGATTGAGGCATGATATCGGTGGTAACGGTGAATTGCATACTTGGTTAGCAATACTGCGATCAGGCATTACAGAGTGCTCGTAATGAACAGCAGAGCTCCGATCGTTCTATACCCTCATCTACGTCAGGTGAGAGTGTAGAAAATAAAACAAACTAAAACCAGAATATTCGATTCCTCGTCATTTACGCCACCGCGCTCAACGACTAATTGACGCTCTACACCTGGCATGTATAAAATACTGGCTCATTGATATCTTTTGTCACGAAAAATGCTGACAATAAAATCAAGTAGACGCTCGCGAGTGTTGTACATTTCACGGCTTTTTTAATTGATCGAAAGCATACTAATGTGATTTTTCGAGAGAGATTATGGGCCGCCGAAAAGTGCGCATTAAGGCATTAGAATCGATATGGGTGCGATAACCGTTGCCGTGACCTGCTTCTTTATCTGAGATTATCGAGGACAGCGATCGCAATTTCAACCCAACCCAAACCCGGATCCTACGTTCTTACGCGCACGCGTTTTAATTTTCAATGGAGCTTGCCTTGCTCGGCCACTACTTTCAAAGTTGCAGCGTTTTGCATTTCAAGAATTTATCGACTGGTTGTAAGTGGTTGGTAAGAAATTTACAATTACTTGGTGTAATTTGCAAGTAAAGTTAACGCAACAAAAGCGATCGATGAACGTTCGCTGTCAAGTATTATCAGCACGCTAAAATTCAGCGTTCGCTTTGAGATGTTGAGCAATATACCATGATGGGATCTTACGTGTAACAAGTCAGAGCCGCCCAAGTGCAGACCGTTAAACAATGCAGTAGGCCACGCGTGATCGTGAATGCGCGCGCGTGACGGCATTGACGATCGATAAGCGTCATCGCAGTCGCGCAGTCAGCCCATATTCAAGTCATTTCACACAAGCTCACGTGCTTTGCAGTGGTGCGCGCGATGTATCCGGCTTACAAGAGAAAATCCAGACGCTCGGCGCCTGAGATTAAGCTCGGGCGAATGACTATCTAGAAGCGAACAGAAGGAATCTCCGACAAGCGACAAGCAAAACACGCAAATGACGATGAATCGGTACATAACGTTGAACCAGCTGGGCGACGGCACCTTTGGCTCGGTGGTGCTGGGCGAGCGCATCGACACCGGCGAGAAGGTGGCCATCAAAAGGATGAAAAGGAAGTACTACTCGTGGGAAGAGGCGATGAACCTGCGCGAGGTCAAGTCCCTCAAGAAGCTCAGCCACACCAATGTCGTCAAGCTCAAGGAAGTCATTCGCGAGAACGACGTGCTCTACTTTGTGTTCGAATACATGAAGGAGAACCTCTACCAACTGATGAAGGAAAGGTGCGCTCAGGTTTTATCATTGCTGTCCCTTATTGCTTCGCATTATTCCTTTCCTTTTCCTTCGGCTGCCCATTTCAACTGTTTTCTGACCTGTACTGCTGACAAGTGGCTCCGTATTTCAGGGACAAACTATTTCCCGAGCCGGTGATCAAGAACATGGTGTACCAAGTATTGCAAGGCTTGGCATTCATGCACAAGCACGGATTCTTTCATCGAGACATGAAGCCAGAGAACTTGTTGTGCATGGGCCCGGAGCTAATCAAGATCGCCGACTTCGGATTGGCGAGAGAGATTAGATCGCGTCCCCCTTACACGGATTACGTCTCTACCAGATGGTGAGTTTCGCGATAGCTCGCTCGACGGTATATTAGAATGCGGTTTTGCAATTCAACTTTTTACCAGGTACCGAGCGCCAGAAGTTCTCCTCCATTCGACAAACTACAACAGCCCGATCGACATTTGGGCAGTGGGTTGCATAATGGCCGAATTGTATACGTTCAGGCCGTTGTTTCCTGGCAAAAGTGAGATCGACGAGATATTCAAGATCTGCTCGGTGATCGGCACACCCGATAAAGAAGACTGGCCCGAAGGTCACCAACTAGCCGCTGCTATGAACTTTAGATTTCCCAATTTTACGAAAACGTCGCTCGGCATATTGATACCGAATGCTAGTCAGGACGCGGTGCTGCTTATGGAAGATATGTTGCAGTGGAATCCCATGAAGAGGCCGACTGCTCAACAAGCTTTAAGGTAGACATTTTGTTTCAATGGGAAACAAACTCATGATTGACTGACGTTCGCGTTGCAACGCAAGCAAAGAAAGATTCTACCGTCCACTTGCACGATCATTAACCCAGTTTCGAGCGACACTCAAATTGCTTCAATCAATTTTTCGCACCGCGCGGTCGCGAACTTTAACGTCGCCAACGCGAGCAATTTCCGGTCACGGTTTTTCCTTTGTTCGACGCCGACACAATGTCAGTCGCGCGTTACTTATTCAAAGGCCATCTACATGCGTGATCTTGATCCAGTTAATCTTGGTCTTTACTCTCTGTCCGTCGTTGCGCGTAGGTATCCGTACTTTCAATCTCAGGGCGCGCGACTGATCAACGCCAAGAAAATCAGCGTCAGCTCGGGTCAACGCGAGCTCGTCATGAACAAAGTCAACATCCCGTCGCCGATGGTTCAAGTGAACAACGTGTCGATATCCTACGCCAATGGACACCATCGCGAGCAAGCCTTCGAAGACGCCAATTCAGCGAACCAACAGCAGAGGTGAGACATTCGAGGTTCGTGTGCTTGCATGCTTTTGCAGTGATTCTCGTGAGTGTGCCTTGTTGTCGTTCTTTATTTTCCGTTTGTCTTTTGAATCTTACTTTGTCTTGATTTTCTTTGAAGATTTTTGCCATAACGCTTAGCAACCGAGGATTATCTTCGCTTTTATGTTGCCAATGGTAAGCACAATATCACTTACGAAAATTGTCCGTTCTGACTTGACATCCAAGAGCAAAACTGTCATTGATCTCATTTCGATGTAACCATTCAAGTCAAAACTATTTCTGTAAGTGTTTAGCATCCCCCATTCATCATGAATACAAATCTTGAACGAGACCAACTATCCCGTGAAAGTTTTCTTTCTCGGCTGCTAAAAAAAAGTAAATGAGTGAATTAGCGATCGCAGCACGCGTGATGTCTTGTCGTTTCGCAGAGCGCCACCAGTTGTGAAACCACTGCAGAAAGTTGAGATTCAGCCTGTCAACAACGAGCAACCAGTTTTGCCACTGCTCAATCATAACGGTCGTAAGAGAGGGAACGGCAGTACTCTGCAAAAGTGGGACGAAGATGAGTTTACTAATAATATGTTAGGGTAAGCATTTTGTTAGTTGACACTGGTTAGTTGTGGCGTTTTGCACTGATGCTGATTTTGGGATTCAATTTGATGCCTGATCCTCAATTACCAATAGTTAAAGCCAGTCACTTGCAGCATTGAACAGTCTCTAACTAAATCATCGTGAAAGCGCGCAAACTGACACTCGACATTTACTTGCGCAGAAATATTCTCAATCCCGAAGACAGCAAGAACCGTCTGCTACCCGAGCGCGTGTACAAGGAAAACCGAGTAAATTGGAATGGTAACTACTTGGTAAACCACATAAGCGACAGCCAGTCCAACCGAAAATCAGCCAATGCCAATTGGGCATTACCGTCGTGGTACGGTCAAGTGCCGCACGTTAACCGACCGTGGAACAATAACAGCTTCCCTGGAATAAACATGGCGAACCATCGATTGCTCAACGGAGTCAACGGCAGACGAGTGTCCGCGAAAGTGCCGGCGAGATACGTGATCGCGCAGTCGCCCAGCCAGCTACCGTCCAGGTACATCGCTTACCGATTGCTTTCGTCGCTTACTCGGCTTTTTCATTTCCTTACGCATCGATCGAACAGCCGACGTCAAGATGCTCTGTTCGAGGCTTCGCATCTCGCGTTCCTGTCGATTTGCGCCCTCTGTCTATGCGCTGCCGCTTCGTGGGAGAAACGATTCCCAGTCGCTTTCGAAGACGTTAGCAACCCGACTGAGTTCAAAGAGGCGTTTGTCAGATCGATCGAGAGCTTCCAGAGCAACGATTATTACGAGACTGCACGCATGATGATCATTGGCATCCTATTATTTTTCATCGAGATCTTCGGTAAATTTTGCAAGAAGATTTCCGGTCACGGGACCCTTCGCTTCTTTCGAGGCAAATCGATCGAGCCGCAAATGATGGACCACGCGCAGAGCGCTCGCGTTCTTTTCATGTACATCTGCGACTGTTTCCAAAGGCTTATCGTTATGTGCAAGGAACAAGTTGTTTTCGGTGTTTCGTCGCTCTTGGTGTTTTTCATGATTAAATTCGTACTCGCAAAAGCCAATTGTGCGCCGCATTGTATACCGAAATTTAAATGACGAATAAATTTGTCCATTGGACGAACATACGAGCACAGTATTCGTGTATGGCAATATTTTGACGCTATAACCAAACTTACTTTCACGCCAGTCGCCAACTTTTTGCTTGGTCGATCAAATGTTCGGTAAGCAGTGAAGGAGAAAGCAAAAAGTAAGGCGACTGGCTTGCGCAACGAATCAAGCGAGCATGTCAAACTACGTTGTACATGAAAGCTCCCTGAAAAAAATTTTCAGAACAAGCAGCGAGGCCAGATCGCGTTCGGGTCTACCGTTGAACGGCATAAGTATCGCTGGAGCGGCAGCGCTGCCAGCGCCGAGCGGCGACAAGCTCGACGAGTTGGCCGACGCGTACTGGGCGACGAAGAACGGCAGAGAGCACGTCCCCGAATTGACGGCGGCAGCGGCGAGCCACCAGCAGCGGCAGCACTTACTCGCGAGAAATCGCTACGTCGCCGAGCAGAACGCAAGACAACCGTACCCCAGTGTTTACGGTACCCAACACATCAGTAAGTCGGCCGAGGTTGTATTTGTTAAGAAATATTTTTGTACGTACCGACATTCAGAGCTGAAGATACAAATCGAACGTAGCTACGTCGCGCTATCGATGCAATTTGCCTTAGGACGGGTACGCGTGCACACGTCCTTTCGATGTACGCACGCGATCGAAGACCAAAAATATTTTTTAATAGATATAATTCGAGCTCTTCTTATCATTGGAATATCGACTGCGCAGGATTTCATAGCGCGTATAAGCTTTCCACGTTCACTTATCATGATTCGCTCCAAACTCCTCCAAATTGTTCCGGTCGAAGATAACTTCTTGGGCGAAATATTCTATTAATGAGAGAAGCTTTGTCGCCGCTAGTTCTTGCATAATCGACTATTCGCCAAAGCTATCACACGCTTTTTTGATGTTTCAGAAGCGAACAACAAAACGCTGCTCAATGGATACTTGAACTCGAGAGCGAGCGGCAATGTTCACGGGCGTACCGACTGGACGGCCAAGTATCTGAAATGATTTCAGTCTCCATGCCAGTAAGATAAAACCGACTCGTAAATAAATGGGTGTACTTCGACTGTGATAAACAAAGAATGGCGCATTCGCGATACACGAAGAACTATAGGCAAGAATGAGGTGCTGGCAATTTTAGCAAATTGTACATATATTTTTATCTTTATTTTACCATTATTTTACTTTTCAACGTTACGAGAAAAGCTGAAAAGAGCGCTCGAATCAAATGACGTAGATTACATCTGAATTTTCAGCTTGTCAAAATTTTACACGTAATGTTGTCTATGTTAGACATAAGTATAATAAGTATAATTGTGGATTAAATAATTATAATAAATTATGGATTGTACGATATCGAGTACTATTTATTATCTTCGTCCCTTCGCGGCAAGAGCATTTTGTCCTAGTGCACAGTTATTCCCACCAGAATTTCCGAGTCGTTCGGCGAGCGCTGTTTCGGCAGCTCTCTTTTTTCCGCGTGAAAAGACCTTTGAATTGTTTCTATTTGGGTATTGCTAGAGAATGTATATTTAATATTTGATAAAATAAAATATTAAGGGCGATGTGGGCGTACCGATTCACAATCGTAATTAGGTCATAAGCAAGTGTTAATTGGTTTCCCTAAAACAAAATATTGATCGAGGAAAACTAAGAGAATTATCATTTGTTCAATCAACGCAGTCAAAACACGAGGCGATTATTTGATATAATTTATTATACATGTTTCGATATGTACATAATAATTTCGATCTGCAAGTGGCAGCTCGAGATCCGCTTTCGTCTGGGTTTGACAAAAGTCTACAGTATAATTTATGAACAAAACATTATATGAACGATTTCAAAGCAACAATGGATTAGCGCATGTTCACTCGGTCTTCAATTGACCGAAATTCTAGATTCGATTAGAGATAAAAAATAAAAATATAGAATTAGCTATGAAGCTATCATTCTATCAAACTGAAAAATTCGTTCAAAGGAATTTGTGATGTATAGTTAAATTTAAGTTATATTTAGAGTATTTCAGCAGCTAAAATAATGTTCTTCCTTACAAATTTACTTTTCCCACTTGCAACGTCATTGTCTAAACACTATTATTTCTGTTTAGATTCTTCTCCTATGAGTAACATTGACTTTCAGGATGAATTGTTATTTTTCTTTGCTGTCCTATAGATCAGTAAAATTATTTCTATTATAGTGTTATCGTCATTGCAGCTTTTCATTCTGTGGTAATGCCGTGTAAAATGATAATACAAAAATATCTTGTTCTAAAGCAAATTGGAAGTATTCAATTACAAATATTTTATAGATTAATAGTTATAGACCGCAGAAAATTCTTCCACATCATCGCAGTTTTTTTTAACTTTGATTACAAAAACACATTTTCAGATATACCTGCTTTAGGTGCATGAAATGGATTGATATACCGTTTCAACATAATTCAAAATTTCGTCAAATGTTAGAACATCGCGCTACAACGAGAAAAAGCATCTTTTTTATTAATTTGACAATTCACTTATATACAGTATTTCTAAAGATTCTTTTATAGCTACGTAGTTAAGATTTCTCCAATATTTAAGTATAATTATACGCAAAATAATTTGTATAACAAGCTTTTAAAATCACAGTGCTCTAAACGTTAATCTAACAGTATTTAGTGAAAGTGAAAATTTCGAAAAATTTCTTTTTATTTTATAGTATTCCATACTTTTGTACCAACAATTTTTCTAATTTATTGTACATTCGATCAGTTTCGCTAAATAATCATTCCTCGTAAATATTATATTATTTTTTTTCTAACGTTGAAATAAATCTTCACACTCTGCAATTTAACTGTAGTTATGCACACATTCTTCTCAATGAACAAAAGAATAAATATTTTTACAAGAAAAATTAATGACCGATTGTTGGTTTACGAGTTAATAAATATATAATAACAAATTTGCAACAATTAGCTTTAAATATTCAGTATGAAAACACTGTTAAACTCCACAAACAAAAAATTTCTAGTTATTATGCCATCTTCCGTCACTTTAGATAATCAGTTTATACTTCAATCTCCGAAAAAATATTTCATCAACAAGCTCAAATTTTCTTTATTTACAAGCCACTTCTAAAAAAACTCATCTGAAATGTGTCAATAACTAAAGTAAATGAAGACACGATTCATTGAGAATTAAATCTTCAGTGAGATCTAGCAGCAATGAAACTCATTAAAATACTTTGAAGATCAATTCATCACGTCACATTTTGTTTTTCTACAAGAAAGTAGCTGAATAATATTTGTCGGAAGATTAAATAAGATATACTTATAGTGACATTCTATCAGGAGAGAGTGAGACACACACGTAAAAAAAGCTCCTGATCCTCGGTTACTCGTGATATCACGACTATTCCGACCACGTAAATTCTAGTGTTTGTGGAACATCTACGCACTTGCGTTTTTCTTCACCGAAATATTCACAGGTTGATACATTATCGTGGACAAATTTTCTTTGCTCCCATAAAAGGCAGCTACATCAAATTCTTCGCGAAGATATCTTCAGCTGATTTTGGTCAGGGATATGCATATTTAAGGAAGAAATAGAATTGATATGAAGTCCCATCGCAGTAAAGTATCGTTAGCCAGTCTCTCCTTTGTTTTACGATAAGTTGATCCGAATGGACTAAGTCACCACAGCCTAAAGATCTCCACTTCTCGAATGGAAAGTACTATTAGTAAAACGTGGTGCTCTCGCGTTCATCAAGACAAATTGACTGCGCACGCTCGAAGAAAATGGAAGTGAATTATTGTTACCTGTTTATCGCATGCTCAAGTCAAAGTTCGTCCGCGCAATCTCGCCAAAACAACGTCCAAATGATGTACAGGGATCGCTGGGTCCGAGAACCTACCTATCCACGACCTGCATCTGATCAATCAAAGGGCTATGCTACTTCTAGGCGACTCCCCTTCAAAACCGATCTCTCACCGCGTTGCTCACGCCCATCGTAACGTTCGCCAGGAGGTTCGGCAAGGCGGTGCTCGTGGCGTTCGCCATGTCAACGCCAAAAATAGCCTCGGAGGTGCCACTCGTAACGAAGGCCGTCGACGCGAGGCCGAACAACGTCGTGGCGGTGGTCCTGATTTTCGGCGCCTTGCTCGCCCGCTTCAAGCTTGCGTTGACCTTCTTCGAGACCTTTTCGATGGCCGCCAGAGTACTGCCGAGTGTCGACAGCGTGAACGTCGTTGCGCTCGGTGTCGTCGACGGCGCAGAGCTCAGAGTTGTGGCGGTCGTGCTCAGGAGATTCAGCGTCACGTTGGACACGCTCATGGGCGAGACGTTTATCGCCGCGGAGATATCCGGCTTCGGACAGATTTGCTTGGCGGTCAACGGAGCTCCCAGGAGGGCGTCCAGCATGTAAGCGAGGATCGAGCCAAAGGTCAAACCCGTGGTGTAAGATAGGGTCATGATGTTGCCTGTTGAAAGCGTCAGTTCAATTTTGAAATTCTGTGGCTTGTTGCTCGAAAGATAGTTACTAATTTTAAGTCAATGATATTTCATTGCTTGATTGAAAACGAAATTCGATCGGATGCAGCAATCAAGTCATGATAGTTTTGTAGAAATTGCCGAAGCCAAGTACACGGTCTTGTTCTGCAATGACGAAAATCAACAAAGAGTAAGAATGCTTATTTTACCAGCCAACTCGCGGTACTCCTCGGAAACCTTGCTGGGCGCTTGGACCATGGGTACGCTGCCGACGATGCCATTGGTAATGCCCAGAATCACGGACAAAATGACGGGAAAGAGCTCGTTAGAGAGTACAGGCGCGCGTCTCGGAATGGCGCACATAAGGAACAGCGGAATCATCAAGAATCTCGCACACGAGAAATTCATCAGTTGCGAGCGTGTCCACTGGACAGGTAAAGTTGCCAGCATCTACGATTGTCAATGAAATCACCGTTCGTTGTCGCCGCACTGGGATCGTCGAGGAAACTTGCCTTGCCAGTGAGGTCTGCGCCGTTGAACGAAGTCATCAGTATCACCGGCATCCACGAGCCGAATCTACACGAGATTATCTCCGAGATGATTCCCGGATACAAGCACAGCGTGACGAAATAAGCGATACCGATGCTGGTCATGTAAGGGTAGATGAGCTTCGCGACTTCCATTCTCGCGATCAATCCACCTGCGCGTAAAACGGTCTTTGGTGGTGTGAAAAACTGCATTGAATTTTCATTTCTTTGATAGCTTACGTCTGACTCCGGCAAAGCGCTTGCTGATTCTCGACTGCGTGGTGCCGTGGTTGCCGTGCATCACGATAATATCCTCTACTTTGTAGGTCGGTCCTGCACTGCCGGGTGTCGTGGTAGGTGCATTCGGATCGTATACTGGGTTGCTGAATGAGAATTCGAAGAATTGACCTGCATCTGGAGTACAACACACAACAATCGAGAAGCTGATTATACATTACAAGATTAAAGAGCAATGCTTGACAGCACAAAGGGCTTCTTTCTTCGTACAATAACGATGTAATTCCCAAACGATGCTGTTTATTGATAATCGCGTCGAGTATATAGCGTATCGAGTTATACCGTATTGTACGACTGATTATGTTATTGAACGAAAACGTTGATTTCGCTTGATCACGACATTAGATCAACGAGAAACCCATTCTTAATTTCATAACTCTCTCAAAGCTTCATTGAAGAAACATCCAAGAGATAAAAAGCAATACAAGAAAAAGACACGGACTGTTAGTCATGTCGGCACTGCCGCTAGCGGAATCGGTAGCCAAGGGACTCGTCAACTTCAGTATCCCGTATTGACCTCTGGAAGGATCAGCTCCTTGGTCCAAATCCATCTGTGCCGAAAGGAAGAGGCGTCGATAAAAACTGAACGGTGTAGCTCGGCAAAGGATGCGAATATGGAAAAAAGCTTATGTACCCTCACCAAACCAGCATCTTCCTGCGGCTCGAGCGTGATCTTGTTGCGCTCCTGGCACATGTTTATGTAGTACTGGACGAACTCAGTCTTGTAGATGATCTGCTGCAGGATGAAGCAAATGACGATCGTGAGGATCGACAGCGCGAAGAACATGGATGTGTTGCCGCGCTCGTCCTCCACCAAAGACTTGGTGACTATTCGGTTGACCGACACCCAGAATCCAGCCGCACCTTCATTCAAACATCAAGCGAATTCATAAGGAAATCATTGACAAATTGACAAAGTGCCTTGGTAATTGGAATTGATCCAACTGTTATTTACTTTCACCAGCCATGACAGCCTGGGTGTAGCGGCTTGGAAGCATCGAAGTGTATCCGTAAAAACTGGACTGTTGCACTGTTAACGAGAGAGCAAACAATTAATACGGCGCAATCTCTTCAAGGTGTTGGCTTATGAGGCAACTGTCGCGAGTTTGCGTACCTGTGCAGCCGAGTGATACGACGGCCACAGCTATCAAGTTGATGTTGTAGGATGTGGCGACTCCAAAGACCTCCCACGACACTTCGCAGAGCACGACGAAGTTCAGGGTTAAAAAGGACACCAGATATCCTGCAAGGCAAGCAAATGCAATCGATCATTCGCCACGGGGGATATTCGACAGGTGGAAGCACTGACCGAAAGTAATTCGGGTTCCCAGCGAGAGCGTCTCGACCAGAGTGTTATTCAGCAGCACGGCGAAAAAGGCCGTCATTATGTAGACGACCGACATGTCGAACACCACCGTCGTACCTGGATATCTCGCTTGGAAGTAGTCCACGGCTATGATGAAGCTGCAACGAGCCGCGCCAACTGAGTTTAAAGGGGGAAGCAACGCGCAATAGCCGTCATCGCCGCTCTGAGGCCGAGGATGATCAGCGAGCAGTGCCCGAGCTAACTCAATATCGATCGCGCCTTTTCCAAAACAAACAGCAGCCAATCCCCCGAGAGAGGGAAGACCAAAGGCGAGCCGCGAATCGGGCGCGCAACGAACTACGTACCTGTTGTAGGGCAGCAGGAAACCGGCGCCAGCGAGCACGAGCGACAGGTAGACGAGGTTCCACCTGTCGACCGGCGGTGCGATCCTGGCGAAGCCGTTCTCGCTGTACTTGAACTCGTTCATCCGCCGGGCCTTGCCCAGCTGCACGTAGCCCCTGCTCAGGTTCTCGTCCATCTTCGCTCGCCGCGCACTTTCCTTCCGTCCTCTTGCTCGCGTCGAGCCTCTGCTGCGCGCCTATCGCGCTGTCGTCATCGCGCCAGCGCGACACAGAGAAAGCTCCGCTCGCGGACTCCCGGGAGACTCGCGCGTCGAATAGTGCTGCGCGGGGGCGCATGCACCCTCGCCACCTCGGCTCCGACCGTCGGCATTGATTTCTGCGCGCGCAGCGCTTTCGCCTCGATGCTCCGAAAGCGAGCTTTCGGACGTATCTTCGTCGACGGCTTTTTTTTGCTTCGCACTGCTATTTTGCCTTCGCAGTTGTCGAGGCTTTTTCGACGCATCAATCGCTGGGAATGTCTGTCGCTGATCAAAGCTCAAAAACCTTTATTGAATTTGGATAAGTTGCTCGGTTGACTGGAGCAGTTGCGAGTCTGGCATTCCGAATTCGAACTTGTGCCGAGCATAAAAATGGCTTTTACTGTTCCGTCTCGTTTCTATGAGAATTACGAACATTTCGGATTACTAACGATTGATTACTCGATTGCGTCACACGAGGCCAATTTTATTGAAATTTTAGTCATGAATATTATAGCAATGTTATAAGTTGTTCAACATATTTGAGCTCATATGAAATTGTAAATAGTTTATTTATATTTTTTTTGCCACTTCAACGTATATCCGTGTACATGGGAAGTTTGTTGCCGCGTTCAGAAATACGTTTTGTGCGATATTCGAATTTAGTCTTAGCTTAATGTGAACGAGAGAAGCAGGTCATCGATTCACAGAAATAAACCAAATTATTTTTTTATTTTTCTACTATTCTGCGAATCATATCTTAGGTTTATAAATTATTACCTACACTAGAAGATGATCACTTGAACATGAACTAGCAATATCATATCGCGACATCCTCTTCAAACGAGATTTAATTCGACCAATTTACAGGCTCCAATTTTGAAACGTTTGGATTTCTCGTAGTTATTAGACTGTTTCGTTCAAGGTTTTATATTAATCTTGACTGAACTTGACCATGAAAAATAATAAAATAAGTACAGGAAAGAACAGTATACAACATTACGATCAATTTAACTATACTGGATTGGCAGCTTTGTTATATATATATATATATATATATATATATATATATATATACACACACACACTTAAACGTGAATAAAAAAAAATAAAAATAACTTAGAGGAGTTATTCAAGCGAGCAGCTCGACGCATCCAAAGAACGTACTCGAGTCTTTCCTTATCGGCAATCGTCACCGCTACATTTAACTTTTCTCTGTTGCCAGGTGTAATCACAATATCCTCGTCGTACGCGTTTTTCTACTTTAACATTTTCCAGACTGTAACGTCGTACTATAGTCCCGGCCGTAGAGGGGGTAATCAGTTGCGCGTGCGTACTGCTGACAAGTGCTATTACTTATGAATCAGCTGATACGCCCGAAAACGCGCCAGTATTACGTAGACCGAGGAGTGCGAACGGAGCAGTGAAATAAGATTTCAAATAATATTTATTTTGTTTATTTCGTACACGAGCAGACGTCAAGGCAGAAGGTTGAGATGTCTTTGAACACGGCCCACACCAACGGTGGTGTACTCATCCATGCCGGCGAGTGGTAAGAACCTGACACGAACGGTCTAACTTCCGCGATTATGCAGTTTCGAGAATATGTTGGTGATTCATGACGAACCTCTTACGTTTTCGTGTCGTTACAGTCAATGCGTGTGTTTATTTGAATGATCTTGTGACAGTTTCAAGTTTTGAATAACGAAATTTTTTTTAAAAAAGTAAAGTGATTGCGTCATTCGGTGCAATTGCACGCTCACATACGCACACAAACGTGCGCTGCAAGAAATTTTTATAAACGGCCTTGAGCGTTCTACCATTGTGGGTCCGTTTTATTGATTCGATAATTGTTTTTACCGGCGCTCTAACAATGTTCATACTTTTCTCTACTTTTCGTCGTAGAAATGTAATGCTCCCAGTAAGCAGGTTATGATCGTACTGCATGCGTTGATTACTAACATGTAAACATAATGCAACTCGCCTTATTTGTTGAGTTAATGACGTTCAGTATAGCTTTATCATCAGGCTTTAGAGGAATTTCTTCCAACTTATATTTGTTTAATTTCATTTTTCAGCATACTACTGTTCAGTGACAATGTGACAATGGAGTTTCATGGCCAGGAACAACCCGAGTTCCTTGGTACTAAAAAGGGTAGGCTGTACCTGACCACACACAGAATGATATTCAATGCTAAAGAACAAAGGGAAAAGATGCAATCCTTCAGTTTTCCATTTGTCACGCTGAGAGAGGTAGAGGTTGAGCAGCCAGTGTTTGGCGCAAATTACATCAAAGGCAAGTGCAGAGCTCAGCCACAAGGTGGTTGGGTTGGTGAATGCAAGTTCAAGCTGCACTTCAAGAGCGGAGGAGCTATTGAGTTTGGACAGGCTATGTTGAGAGCTGCCCAGTTGGGTATGATTACACTAATTAAAACCATTTTGACTCTCAAGTTCAGAACGTTATTTGAATTTATCTGCTTATTTTAGCTCAAAGAAATGGACCTGATTTTGGTCAAGACTCTCCACCTCCTTACCAGCCACCATCATCCAACTGGTATGCTGCACCACCACCAGCTTATCAAGCTGCACCAACTGGTTATTATGGATGGATACCTCCAACCAACGTATTTCCTGAGCAACCACCAGGTTATTATGCAACACGTTTATACCCTATAATTCTTCTGGTTTGAACAATTTCGCTTGTGTTCAGTGTGTATTTAATATTTTTTTTGGAAGTAATGCATGTGATTATCTGTATTTATATTTGCCAAAATCTAAAACAATCGATACCAAAGAATGTACCATGAAGATTTAATTTCAAATTAAAAGCTCTATTTATTGAAACATACAATGTACTTTCAATTGACAATATTTAGAATAGTGTAGTGAGGGAAAGTTGTTGAATTTAAGATAATTCAGTGATTGATTCTACAATTTTGGCTCACAACTGAAAATAATATATCCTAAGTTCATCAGCATCCACCTAAGCAACGTTTCTAAAAATCACCCGTCGAAAAATCTCTGATGCTCTAGCACCACGCACATGCACGCTCACATAACTGTCTATCGATCGTTTCCATTAACAAACAATCTGTATCCTGTATGTTGTTGTCTTTGAGCAGCGAACAGTGTGTTCATGACCGACATGCCACCCCCATATCCAGGAATAAACGCAACGTACCAAGGTGGAACAGCGCCGTCGCATCCGATGCAGATGAACGGAGGTAGTAACTTCGGTGGAGCCGCGGGTGGCGTGCCAGGATGGGCAAATCCGCATCAGCAGCCGATGTCCCAAGCAGGTGTGTACCCGCCGCCGTACGCTCAACCTTCACCTTACGGACAGCAACATGGCGGCTATCCTTATCCTAATCATCCTTACTAGGTCAACTCTATTATCCCTTCCTTGCTCACTATCTCTCACATTCGTGTTCGTGCTCATTAAAACACGTAGCTGGTACATCAGTGGCATTGTTGTTGCTCTTCGCTTATATTTGAAAGACTGTTGATACATTATAGAGTATATTTTTTATAGGCATCGAAATTCAATTGGAGATTTTCTACTTTAACGCTGCGCGCGCGTGCGGGTGTGTGATATTCGCCAAGAGAATGTTGACTTTTTTGTTATTTCACTACGTATCTTTGTTTAAACTTGATAAATTTGGATTTGTTATGACAGCTTGAAGAACCATGTTTAAGTTTCATCACTTCTGATTGTTCTGTTTTTGAATTTGTCTTAAAATATATGTTAATAAATAAGGAAAGGCTTTAAGTTCTCTTGACAAGTCTAAATTAAGTCATTAATTTTGCCTATAACATTAAGCTATACCGACATAAAAAATTCCATTAATGTATCTATTTCAAACCTGACATATTCCGTGATACAAACCCTCATCGTCGTCATCTTTTTCCTTCTCGCTTCATTCCGCAAACGTTATCTACCTGTTCTCGGATCACTCGCATCAATGTCCACCTACGTTTTATATGTGTTATATATCTATGAATATCCCAATAAGCTATAAGTCACATGTATTTTATATAATCTATATACCGTTCTTTATAAGAATTCCAATGTAGTTTTTCTTAGTTCTCTTGTGTGATACTCGAAAGCTTTATTATGTGATTAAAGAGAAAAAAATACTTGTCAGACACCACATCACTGTCTTTTTTCATTTTACCTCTCAATCAAAGAATAAAAGGAAAAAGTATTCGGCTAATTGTGTGGCATAATCAACAATTTAGCAATAATTTCACTCTAGCCAGTTAGACACACGCTCGCATATACACACACGCGCGAGCACACGCATACGCACGAACGCACAGAAAAGTGTTTTGAATATTATGCAATACCGGAGAATTACGTAAGAGAGCGAAGGCTACCTACCTCAGCGGCTTTCACTGAACTCCAGCGACTTCGCCGCGGAGAGTCTTTATTATCTCATAGTTTAGTCATAGTCTTGTGCTTCGACTGACAACGTTGAGCGAAACCTCCCTAGCTTTGCTGGGATGTTGGCCTGCGTCGAATTCTGTGCGTTATCCAGCTATTTCACGTGATTTTTTTTTCGTCGCGTAGTCACTGTTATTATTTTTCATTGTTGCTGCTGTTTCATATTTTGTAAAATTATGCCGATCAAGAGTACCTTCGAAGCCGGCGCAACCAAAGTCGCTCCTTGTACGTGCTATTTGACTTAATTTGTTGTTGCAAGTTTGTGGTACTTTGTCCTGTTTAATGACTTACTCTGGTATGTGCGTTTAAGGGATACTGATGTACTCGAGTTATCATTTTAATTTGAATTTTTTACATTTGCAAGTTTTACGGACGGTCAGTCATTGTCATTTTCCAGCGAGAAAGAATAAGCAACGTTCTCAAAGCGAGAGTGGATAATGATATCTTTAACATTTGTAAAATTTTAGGATGTTTGCTTGAATTCTATGTATTTCCTCACATCATCTCAATCGAATAATTCCCCGAGATTTCTTTAGATTTACGGTCCCATGATCCACGTGTTTCTAACACTTGCATAATGTATACGCAGCTTAACGCAATCCCCCTTTTTTCATTCCTTCAATCGATCGATCTTTTACCCATTTCGACACATGCAAGTGAATCTTGCGAGAGAGAGAGAGAGAATGGAAGTTTGTAAAGATTGCCGACTGGTCATTCCTTATGATTTACAATGATACCAATCGAGCTATAACTAGCAATCTTTTATTTTCACCAAATCGAAAGGTCAACTTTGACAGTAAAAACAATGTCGTGTTCATTTTTAACATTCATTCCTTCCAAGTTTTTTAAATGTCAATTTGGATTTTCAGGCATCTTTGTAAATAGTACACTCACCAGTGTTACGTCATTAATCAATCTTTTTTGTCTGTTTTCTTACGTAATTCTTATAATAATTACAAGTTTTATAATTTTATGTGTTATTTTTTTCATTAGACGCTAAGGCTGCAGAGGCTGCGCAAAGTGCATATTACGATCCAAATAGGCCGCAATGCGCGTACGTCCCGCCACCTGCATACTACGTAAGTTGATATTTATGTAAACAAAGTATTGTAAAAACTGTTTATAATTCAACGATTTTTTTTGCATTACAGGAGAGTCCGCCGAGTTTTCAACAAGCTACGGAGAAAAAGGACCAATGAAAAATAATAATTGGCGCCTCGCAATACACTTTTTTAGGAGATGTAATTTTTCTATATATAGACGTTGCATACACAGCATTCTGGCATAATTTAAACACTGTTTTCCATTTTATCGATTCTTTGCATTTAAAAGATGAGTAGAGCGATATTACGTTTTTTGTGCATCGCGGTGAAAAACAGTTTTTAGAGTTTCGCAGCGTCAAGTCGCAAGACGTTCCTCTGTTAATTGTTTCATTTAGTCAGTATTGTAGGAGTTTTTTTTTGTTTGTTTCTCTCTCTCTCTCGCTCTGATTCCCGATAAGTAAAAAGATCGGAAATGTTTATCCTAAAAATTCGCAAGTACAGGTCGATACTTGTTTATAAAAAATTGTGTACTTGAATTTTTATTGCAGTATATATGTTGTGTGTTTAATCTAATGTTAAACAAATCTGATGGACGCGCAGAAATAACAAGGTAAATACACGATAATTATGAAAGTCTTGCATCTCTCAATGATAGATTTTGAGAAAGTATCTATAATTGATATTTGTATATTTCAACAATTTTTATTAAAACAATACTTTTACATTGTATTCTCAAGAGATTTGTAGCAAAGGAGAAGTGTAAATAATAAAAGAAGAAATTAACAATTTTGATTGACATAATATACATGTAATTTGTAGTTCAAAAGTCCTTCATAATAATTCTTTTATTTTTCAGTCTTACGTAAATGTATTTACAAGTACTATAGATAAAATCTTTGTAACAAGCTATCCAATATAAGTTAAAAATATTTTTGCTTGTATATATAAATGTGCATAAAACTTCATTATTTTCTTTAAATATATATAGTTGAGCTTTCAGTTTACTCGCTGTGCTAAGCAAAGAAACATTGCAACAAGCAATGGAATTTGTATTGCAATTGCTTTTATCGCAGTCTGAATAATTATTATTTACCAATGTGAATTTTCCTTTTTTTTGGCACTGTTTTAACGTCATTATATTTGTATAAACGTTAAAATACATATATAATCGGATTACATTAAGTATTCTGTTGTCCTTTCACTCGTAAAAAATAAAGCTCTTTGAGAGTATACAATAAATTATCATTGAAACGCAGTTTTCGTATTATATATTAATTTTCCTATGACCCATCTAAAGTATATAAATGATAAAGCTAGAGATTTTATACTTCAAACGCCATAAAATTTCAAGCTAATTGAAGCGATACGTGGAAGTCAGGTAAATTGATGAAGGCATTTGGCAATTTTCTCATTAACAACTGGTTCCACGGAAGACATCAAAGATTGTTCTAATTTGCATGTATGAAACGATTCCACGTGTCTCTACAATCAATAAAAAGAAGATCCTACGTAACAACAAACGACGTTCTATATGGCAAGTAGGTCACACACGATAAGACAATAGAAAATACACCCGAGTCAATAGAAGCTCGATTAAAAAAACTTGGACATAAGGCGTACCACAGCGTTTGCAGCGGTCTGGTTCAATAAAGCCCTGAAGGTCAGTCTAACCGTACTCGGAAGTGACAGTGAGGCTGAAGTGCCTATTCTCCACCCGAGTACTGTGGTACCAAATCCTTGTATCGAGCAACACTACGTCGCCGGTGTCCACGAGGAAGCTAAAGCTACCGCAGACGTGGTCGCACTCCGGCGTCGGCGCGACGGTCCACGTCTTGCTGCCGATTATTTGGCCCTGCCACATCAGTCTTGGAATGTAGTCCAGCTGTGGGGAATCGAGCGATCTCGGTTAACGGGCTGATGGATCAGGGTGCTAAGCGATCGCGCGGCGTCGCAGGTACGTACGTGCATGTCGGCGCCGTCCTCGTAGCCCAGAAAGATGTAATTGGAATTGGGCATCTCGGCGTCCTCGGGCAAGAAGTGCGGCGGCTCGTAAAACCTCTTGAGCACCTCCATGACCTGCGGATGGCAGTTCTTCCAGCCGACGTACCAGGGCGCCTCGCCGGGCAGGTTCATCGCGCGCCTCTCGCTCATGTGCAAGACCTCGCGGAGGTTATCGAAGTCGCTGCGAAAGTGCAGGAACTGGCAGTCCTCGTGGACGGATTCGTAAGCGCCGGGAATGCGCTCGTAGAGGCTGCGGAAGAACTGCAGGCTGAAGACCTTGGAAGCGAGCCAGTGGCCGGCGGCCCCCTTGACCACGATCGGCTTGGAGGAGTAGGCGTGCTCGCGAAACTCGTCTCGCGTGAGGTTGCCCAGGACCAGCGCGGAGTCGACGCCGCGGCAGAAATCGCAGTCGGAGACCGGCCGGCTAAACTCCCACACGAGGTAGTTGTTGGGCAGGAGGCAGCGCTGCTCCTGCACCGGCCGCAGCAGCAGCCGGACGCCGAGCGAGCGCCCGAGGACGAGGCCGCAGAGCAGCGGCAGCGCGAGCGCCAGGGCCAGCCTCGCGCCGTTCAGCGCGGCGCTACGTGACTTGGTCCGCGCGCGCAGGCCCGCCGCTCGCCGTAGCTCCGCCGAGCTGCAGCCGCCAGCCCGCAGGTACTTGCGCGTCACTGCCACGAAGCGTCGTCTTATCAGCTCCTCCCTCGACGTGCTGCTCATCCTCGGCGCTTCTGCTCTTCCTTGACATCTCCGGCAGGCGCTGTCGGCGGCCGATTGACGCTGCCCGCCGACGGCGATTCATGGGGTCGCGCGCGACGCCTGCAGCACTCAGTCGCCGCGACCGGCCCGCATTTCTCGGCCCTCGCTGCGGCTGCGTCCTCGTGCTTGGCTGCCCTCGGCGTCGGTCTCGATCAGCTGCAAAGCCATTCACGATCACGACTTCGAAACGCCTCTTCCACGGTCGGTCAGCTCGACGGTTGGCTCGCGTTTCCAGAGCGCCGACGAACGCCGCTCCGCGCTCGGTCGCGGCGACTGCTCATTGCGCTGTTGGCAATCGCGTCGCTTATCGCACCTGAGACAAGTCCAGGAATTGCATGACGCACGCGCGAGAACACTGCGCTTGTCGCTCGCGTGACGCAAGCTTTGCCGGTGGACCGTCAGCGCCGCGCAACCTGCCGATCGACCGAGGAAAAGCCCCGAGAAAGATGATTCGCTCACCCGGTCGTTCGCGCACAGCTGCCTTTCCACGGCCTTGGGCCACTTGCTGCCTGTACCATGGCGCACGGCCGACTGCGACTGGCGCGACTGCCTTTCTCTCTCTCGCCCGCCGCGGGTACCGAGCGCGTACTACTCGCAGCGCGTTGCGCGTATAACGGCGCAGAGAGAGGGGAATTATTGATCATACGTGAAAGAGTTTTCGGGAGCCCATCGCCCAACCGACGCGACGAGCAGCCGGCTCTCTGCTCGCTTTTTCCGCCGCCACTGGTGTCGTTAAACCTTCGCGGGGGTTGCTCGCCGACCCCCTCGCACACTTCGCTCTTGGGGGCTCGATTTATTCCCCTCTTTTTGCCCACGAGGGTGAAGGCTGGCTTTGTTTTTGTCCCGCAGGTATGCTCTCGACTCTGTTGTTCGTTGATGGGCAATGTTATATTCGAATAGTAATCAATCTGAATATTTTGAAGCGAAATTGATAAATGACTGATCGATCGGGCTGGCGTACCACTCTGAACCAAGAAGAGAGTACGAATGAGTAATTTGCTGGATAGATGTTCTCAAACTAGCACTTCATTCTTTACGTAACCAGTTAATTGGACGAGATAGCAAAGAGTTTCCGAGGCATTTAGTAACTAATGCAATTTTCAACTTGGTTTTCAACTGAAAAAAATTTGTCGCTCTAGATCTCTAGATCATGTAGGATAATTTATTCCTGCAAAGGCCAGTATTTACTTTTAGAGCAGCATGTCGGATGATGAGATGTGACCAGTACGAATAGGCATTTCGGTCAATTAGATAAGGAAACGGAATGAGCTTGTCGCGTGTCGTATTACGCGCAACCTTGGATATACGACAAGGCAACGTTGCTTTGAGCACACGCCATCCGCGTATCATTAGCATTAGCACACTTGTTCCGCGGAGCTGCTCGTCGCATTCGCAACAATAAAATTCAGTCGCGCCAAGAGTGTAATAAAAGTCAACTCACCTAGCAGCCGAGCACTTGGTTCGAATGCCCACCGTGATTGTCAATCGAATCTCAGTGGCGTGAAAACAGAAGCGCAGCGAGCGTCCAAGCGAGAGCGTGACGAGGCGTCCAAGTTACATCTGCGCGCCGCTCCTCTTCTCGATTCAATGGCAGGCTGCTGCTACGTTAGCACACGCCTTACTACTCGCTCTTTTCTCCAACGAGCCATTTCCTGTCTTTTTCTGTGATGCGTGCGCGCGAGGGTGGAGCGAGCGCGAGATGCGAGTTTCATGAGATTGGAATATCATGCGGCGCAGGGGGATGTTTCGCTGCGGGCTATATACCGCCTCTTTCCCCAAAAGGGCCTTCGCTTTACTCAAATTTCTGCTGGGTTTTTAAAATGATCGTTGTTCAAGAAAGTTTCCTCAGACAAATGTTTATAATCAATATTTATTTATAACATTTCATTCTTATAATCATAAAACTTCGAAAAAAAAGTTTCTTGTGCGTTATTTATAGTGCAAACAATTGTTCCATTAAAATATTTTAAATAATCCTCTATTAGTTAACATATTTTATCGGACGATGAATAAACGAAATTCAAGTCTATTGTTAACAATACTTCACATTTTAACTCTCCTTTTTCTCGATCGTTCAAATTAACATGCAAAGATTTTAAGATTTTTTTTTAGATGAATAATTCAGCGTAAAATCAGCCTGGATCATAATATTTTTTTATAATTTATAAAAACATTACGGCGACATTAAAATAGATTTAGCAAACGATTAAAATTCTAATTGTGAGAATGGTTTTTAAATTCCTCCTACTTCTCAGTAGATTGTACAAAACGTCATTACAAATTGTAACAATAGAACTTACAAAAAAGAATGATTAAATTTTTTTAGAAGTTGCATTAAGTTTGTGCTGCAATTGCTTTGTAAACTGCACATTGACTTTCTTAGTATATTATCGTTCTTTTTTATTATTCAACCAACGATCGTAGCATATGACATCGATTGCCACTGACATAAATTCGCAAAAAATGGATCGTACAATGCGCTCGACAAGAGCATAACACGGCGAGATGTGTTTTCTTGTCATTTTATATATATCACAAAGCATTGTATTCTACTATGAGCTCAATGTTACAGTTTATACCATCTGGTGCTATTGACTAAACTGATTCTCCCTGTAGTATACAAGACTCAATAGACAAATGCAATACATAGTCTTGCAACATATACATATTTTTCGAGATCTTATATAATATTCTATATTCTTTTAATAATCAAATATTCATGATTACGTATCGTTTATTTTCAACAAGTTGCGATTTTCATGAAATATTTTCGATGTAAGATGTTAAATTATCGTATTTTATATAGATATGGTAATGCGTGACACTGCTTGAAAACATTTATAGTTCGTATAAAATTGAAGACACATTGAGAGTTAGGAAAATTGAAAAAAAAAAAAAAAATACTTTTGCTACGTGAAAAAGGTTTGATATCGTATTTTTACGTACGATTAATGCGCGTGATCGTTAAAGTATTAACTCGACATTTAAAAAATGCTTGACTAGTCGTTTGTCTCGATGTTTACACGAGATTACGCTGAAACCAAGAAAGAATGAACAATAATTGTTATTAACATTCACTAACACGTGATCAGAAGAAACACCACTTGCCAAGTACAGCTTCTTTGATTGCAGCAACGTATTGTGAAGGAACCCAGTAGATCCAATATTTGGATGCATCTGTTGTACCCAGTTGTATGGCCTTTAATCAATCATTTTAAACATAAATGTTTCTGTCAACAATTCTTTTACTTATGTTGAAAGCACTGTCTTCAACTCTTACCATTATATGATATTCAGGGTGGTCATGGATAGGTTCACTTTGAACATCTTTAATAGACGTCATTGGTATTTTGTCTGTTCTCTCTTTTGTGCCTATCCACAATTGATCTTGTTCCAACTTGAATGTCAGTCTAACTTTACCTCCACTTTTATTCAACATACCAGACAAAGGGAAGTCAGGAAGTGGTTCCTTAAATTAAATCGACATTTGTATAAGTTGATATAAAACACAGTTGATATATTCACATAAAGCTGTTGTTTTTCACATAATAATATACCTGTGAATCTAATATCCCTGGCATCACATCATCTGGGATTCCCTTATCAAGAATTTTTCGGTGTAATTTCTGTTGTGACAATGGCTCTTTAGAAGTAGCCGTTGCACCTACATCATCGAATGTTGCATCTGACTTTGTAGGTACTGAAACTGCTAACACATCATCTATTTTTGATCCTACAACCATAACTTTGGCACCTGAGAAAAAAATAAATCCAGAATAAGTTCTTAAATTACACAATTTCTTTTATAAAATTAACTACCTTTTGAGACACCTATACTTCTCAGAGTTTGATTATCTTTGGCAATTCCCTTAATCAAAATCTTTTGCATACTGGTTGGTATTGATACAATGCTCTGCAGATGGTCCTTCAACTCAGCGATAGTCCCATCCAGTGGGAAAGTGACATCAATCTTATTTTTATTGCATATTACTTTGAAGTCGATTTTTTCTCGTGAATCCTCTTTCTGTTTGTCGGTAACACCATTGTCAGCAACATTATTCAACATGTTCGAATCATCTACTGGTTTCTCGCTAAACGCCTCTGTGGAATTCGAATTTAAGAGAAGATCCGTAGAATGGGATGACGCAGTACAACGATTGTCGTTGTTATCGTTTTTTGGCAATTCTGCAACAACAACAAAATTGCACAATTTTAACTTAATCACGATCAACCTTATTGTAAACTTTGTGTTTGTTTTCAACATCGTGCAACAGATTCTCATAATTATCTTCTTAAAAATTATCCCTCGTGGACAAACATAAGGTCATTTTGTACATGGATAAATAACAATTATGCAAAAAGACGAAAAGCGCAAATGACAAGTACAGAAATAACGGGGAAAATGCTGGAACGTGGTGTAGGAGAAAAAATATTTTGTAGGTTAGGTCGTTGTATACAAAATTTCTCCTTCACTTTATCCACCTCCAACAAAGACAAACTCTTTTTTTTCACCATTAATTAATTTTCCTTTTTAAACATTTATACAGCACATCACTTACCAATGTTCATTTTGAGAAGCACTCCACGGTTATTGTTGTTGTTTTCTACAAGAGAATCTCGTCTGTTATGCTCTGACTTGCAAAGTTACTTGCCCGATGACGACACGACTTAGCAGAGAAAACATGTAGCCACGAGGTGGGGGAGGTCGACGCTCTCTTTCTCTTTCTCGTTATGATTTGCGTGCACGTGTCTGTGTGTGTGTTTATGTATGGTGTGTGTGAGCGTACTGCCAGCGTAAAATGCAGTGAAAATTCGTTTGAACTATTCGGAAGAAAAATGGCGCTTTGTTTTCTCTACACTCGGTAATTTTCCGCTCGTCGAATTTTATTTTTAACTTTTTAGCTCTCGATGTTACTTGATGTCATTCCCCAATTTGAAAAGAAAGAAATAAATATTATTTTTGTCATCTTTTGTGACAAATACAAATTACTGAGGGAAAAAATCCGAAACCATTATTTTCGTCGGCACTTCATCTCGTTGTTGACATCAATCTCCACGGGCAATAAATTGCATATTTGAAAACAAAGCAGTCGCGAAAAAAGAGTTTCTCTCTTGTAGATAAAAGTGTTGTTATTACTTGTTACGCTGATAAATTTCAAACTCGCCAAAAATTGGCGGGCAAGCATGCGATAGGTCTAAGGCTCGTGGGCTTACGTCAGTACAGAAAATGGCGAGCAAGGGGCAGAAGGGAGTCTAGCTGCAAAGTAGCATTTGAATTCCGCTTGAATAAGTTCTCCTCTCCTCGGTCTCCCACAAACAAATGCGTCGTGGTTTGTTACATCGACTTCCAGGTTGAAGCTATTTGTGCATTGGTAGTTTCGTGACTCGTGTGTAGTGAGAGAAAAGCCGAGAGTGAAGGTGAAAAAGAAATGTCGGGGTCACACTAACAACGGCTTGGCTGTGCGACCTAACCTCACCGGCGACGAGAGGAAAGGCGCTTGCCGCCAAGCTGAAGAGAGAAAGAGAAAGATAGAGAGGCAAGGAAGAGAGAGAGAAAGCAGAGAGCGAACGCCCAGTAACCGCCGTTGGCAGCTAAACAGCCTGCTTTACTGCTGTGTGCAGTGCCTGGGGACTCGACGACGACGATTCTCTCTCTCTCTCTCTGTCTCTCGCTCTCGCGCCCGCCTGCTTTCGTGTTGCCGTCATTGTCGCGTGTGAGTGTCGAGTGTTGTATACCAGAGTTGCGGTAGGGCTACAAACGAAAATGCCACCGAAGAAGAGGGACAAGGAACAAGCGGAGCCTAGCACCACTGGAGCCACAGGGGCTAAAGCACCGGCTAGGATGCAGGACCAGATTCAAGCTGATCACGAACTATTCCTTCAAGCTTTCGAGAGTGAGTATCTATACATAACCTACGTTTCGTTTGTATGTTTAGCGTCGCGAGAGAGCAGAAGGAAGTCGAGATCTGCCATCTTAGAGAGCGATTTTTACGTAACACGAGAATCTCTGGTTTCACGAGCGCTGCAGCAGCGGCAGCGTCGCCGTCGTCGTCGACGAGGCGACGCGTCGGGAGGAGAACGAGGGTGTTTTGGTTAGACGCGTCAAGACTGGCTAGCTTTCTTTATTCCCGCTAATAGCTTTTCTCGGATTACAAAAATTCCATCTCTCATTTCTCAAATTTAAGCTTTTGCTAAAATTCGTTAAATATTTTTCTTCAGCGATCGTTCTTTACCCTTAAAACCAGCCGCTCGTCAAACGTGCAAGGCAGCTGAATACGCACGGACACTTTTCGTACAAAAAAGCTAAGGAATCATTCAAAGCTCGTGCATCGCCAGGCAACGCGTCGAAGGAGAAAAAGCTATGCTCGTTTTTGTCTTTTCCCATGCGCGAGCATTTAGCGGGACTCGAGTGAGCAAAAAGCCAGCGAGACTCTAAAGTGCAGGAACGGTTACGGATGGAAGAGCAGCTCCCCAGCTGATATCTAAAAATGCACTGCTCTTTGGAGTCCTGATTATTGCTTGGCAAAAGTGCTCTTTGAAGTAAAACAAAAAAGTCGTAAGTGGAGCATAACCACATTTGCCGTACGCGCTTGTAATCGGCTTTATATGGCGCGTATGCACTAGGCGGGAGAGAAAGAGAGAGAGAGAGAATGGGAACAACCGTTAAACAGATACTCTTGTCTCGAAAAGAAAAAAATACTTTCTACACACTTTGATTATTGGCTATCTGTTGAACTAATTGTTTGCTCGCTGAGTCGTCGAAAGAAACACTTTCAACGGCAAGCGAGCTCGTTACAGCTGCTGCCGAAAGGTTGCTTCACAATGGGATCCACTTGGATATCTCGTCGGTTATTAATAATACAACACCCGCAGAGCATGTTTCCAAAGCTCGCGCGCGTCTCCGAGAGTCGGCTCAAGAGAACACCTGTCGCAATTGCAGGGGCGTATGACGGACCTTTCTTCGGGACGCAAATAAGCCCGATTTTCATTCTAAGAAGCTTCGTTACGTGTTTCACGAAGATCCAGATTCGCGCCAGGCAAACGTCAAAATATCTGTCTTTGTTGGGTCCAAGAGTGTCATTTGATAAAAGGCGTATTCTTGATATATCTCGGCTTTCATTGATTCGTTACGAAGAATAATCTGTGGTGTGGCGCACCGCACGACGTGCTTGTCGATTGTGCATTCTTCTGATTATTGTGAATTTTATTTTCGCCTATCGCCGATATATTTATTCCATTTCCAAATATTAAACTGTGAACATTATATGGCTGGCTTAAGAAATATAGATACGAACATCCGTATATGAAATTGTTAATGAGCTATTGCAGTTTCGGAATTTATTGTGTACAGTAGCTTCAAATTCATAAAACAGATTGTCTTTGCAATGGATAATTATAGTAGTGTAGAGTCATTAGAATATAATTAGTCAAATTGGCAGAGAATCCATTGAAATTTTTCCGTTGCAAATCGTGAGACTACATCAATTATTTGTTATACTTGATTATTTGAATCCATAGACGAAACGTCTATATTTTCATTTGTATAGCTGTCATTTTGCTGCAAATTAAAAGCAAGGCAGTGATTTAATTTTCACTTAGTTAAATTGCGTATTTGAAAATCGCAACTCAAGTCTTTTTGGAACGCTGAGCGTGCTGCATTTCGACATTTCGATTTACAAGTTGAAGATCAATATACTTCGCTTAAATACTTCATAACGCTGCGTAGACACAAAATATATCACTTGCTTTCATCAAAACGACTTTCAACATCAGCAACTCTCGTTTCGATTCGGTAACTTTGCTAGTATGTTGTCGAGAAATATTGTAATTGCCTTTTATTCTTAGCGTCAAAAATGCGGCACTACTGATTGGCTCGATTTTTCCTACCGCGATTTCGTTTAATTGACTAGTAATCATTCTGAAATTTGGTGGGTTGAAGTAGTTCTTTATTGTAAAAGGCTGATATCCAACAACAAATCAAAGCGAGTTCGTAAAAAAAAATTCGCACCAAGTAATAATATTCATTGCATTCAAATAACTACAAATAGTGCATTGACATTAAGATAAAACAAAAACAACAGTTACTCATTTCGTTTACTGTAAAAATAATATAATAAATCAATATTTGGAGTGAAAGTCAGTTTAACTTTGAAAATTATTGTTATAGTAAATAATAAACATAGTTTATTTAAAGTATTGTAAATAAACGGGATCAGAGAGTCATAGTCTGCCGTATGCGTAACAAGAATAAGGGCGCACAGACGTCTTGCAAAAGCAAGCAACTCCCATTCATCATCTCCCGTTCTGAATCCCAGAAGGATCGGTGATAATAAGTTGGCCCGGCTCTCTTCTAAACTCGACTCGGTTATTTTTACTGTGGGTTCGGCTTTACCACTTGCCATCTGCTGGCCAGTTTTCATACTTCTGTTTTGGCATCATTTCTTTGTCCTCGCGTAAATTTTAATTGTAATTATTTCCTTTTTGTTTCAGAGCCGACACAAATCTATCGTTTTCTCCGTACACGCAACCAGATGTCGGTGAGTATCTTTCACTTTTGTCAACTTTTTCATATTCCCCTTCATCAATAATTCTTTAACTACCCCCATATCATTCCGTTTGCAATGTTGACCACCGATCTCGTTGTTTATTTCAAATTGTAATTTGACAAAAGGGAAATCTTATTTTCACGCTAAATTTTACGTCAAGTTGTTTCGATTGGCACAAATCCGTTCACATACTAAAACTTTTTAGTTGTTTTCTCGCGATTGGTTCGATTCGCTCGAGATAATTTGTGATTCTTATTGACGGTATGTATTAGTTTTGCTTTTTCTATTGAGAATTCCATAAGTTCCTCATTGTTACCTGTCAATCGAAACAAATCAGCTATCATGTAATGACGCCAAGTTTTCTTGCAGCCGATATTTCTACATAGGAATCTAACATACATGAGGCAGCGTATGTCTCGTTCTCACAAATCACGTCGTGATTTCCGGGTCAACTCTATCCTAGATATGCTCATAGACAAGAACGCACAAGCGCTGAATGCCATGATGCGTAGATACATGACACTGACGTTCTTAGGATTTTACGATAAAAAACGTAGGTCTTCGAATGAAACTATTTAAGCATTATTCGAGGCTGGATTTTTCAATGACGTATTTCCGTATATTTTCTAGTCGAGGCACCTCAAGATCCCGTCAAAGTCGAAACTTTCTTGTTGAAAATTTGTCACAAGAAGCGCAAGGATGTTAGTTCGCCAACTTTGCAGGTACAATTATCTTTAAAGTATTATTTCAAATATTATTTTTAAAAGCTCAATGTTTTGATTAATTTTTTTTAATTTGCGCGCTTAAGGTATCTGTAGGAACGAGTGAAGTGCCGATAAATCCATCGGAAAATCAGCCACCACCAAAGGCACCCACAATTTCGATACCCAATGAATCGTTCAGTACAAACAATGGTCACGTGGCTAAAACGTACATGTTACTGCTCAGAGTTCAAAGTTCTTCTAACAATAGCTGTCTTACACAAAATTGTGATGTAGAAGGTAAGCTTATTACATCCTTTTTTTATTCAAAATTTATGAAGAAAAACTTAACCAATAGTAATTTTTCAGAACCAGCTCAGAAACGTCGCAAAGGGACCAACGGTGTCGCTATAAAAGCTGGCAATGAGGATACCAAGCTCTACGGTTCAGAGCTCGTAGTTTACGATAAGCACAATCGTTGCCTGCTTACGGACGGTGATTATGAGTTGAGTCTGCAAGAAGTGCAGCCCCAAGTTAGGGCAAGCCCCAAAAAACATAACTCCTGGGAAACAATCCCCAATATCAAGGATTGTGGTCCGTTTGATGTGTTCAGTCGTGGACCGGTGCTTAAATTTCGACTCAATTGGACTCAAGAGCCGAGCACTGATTTCGTGGATAGGCCCCCGCCGCTTAATCCATTACCAAATGGAGATAACAAGGAAAATCGACCTGGGAACAGTATGCATCTTTTTTATATGAGCACAGAGATAACAAGTAATGATATGTGCTGACGAATAAATTGCTTTCTTTCCAGATGGCATCACTGATAGGTGTTCCACAAATCATAATAATAATACACTGACAACCCCAAGTCCCTTAGCACCTTCCAAAATTTCTGTAACAAATTCAAATAAAATGGAGATTTCCACAGGCAAGCAACAAATAGTTTACCAGTTTCTTTATAATAACAACAGTAGACAACAGACAGAAGCTTGCGAAGATTTGCATTGCCCGTGGTGTTCACTCGACTGTGGCAAACTTTATTCGTTACTTAAGCATCTAAAGCTCTGCCACTCTAGATTCTCTTTCACATATGTCGTAAGTATGATAATATATATTCTAAATTTTTTGGTCAGTGTAGTTCATTATTGCTAAATGTAATTTCTTATTCTGCAGCCAATACCCGAAGGTGCTAGAATAGATGTAGCAATAAACGATAGCTACGACGGCTCGTATGCTGGTAGCCCACATGAGCTGATCTCACAGCCTTCGAACGTCTCTTACTCTAGGACAGGCCCTACGAGACGTACTAGCGTGACTAATCTTGTAGTATGTAGACCAAAACGACCAAAGCCAAGCCTTTCCGAGTTTTTAGAACAAGACGAGAATGATTTGGAAAATTCAAGGACATACATTACTGGGCACAATAGGTAATAAAATAATTATTATATAATTTGATCAAAATAACAAGAGTACATATTAAAATTCATATTAGGCAATTTACTGGCAGGCTGTATCATCACACAGTGACTTGTTTGCCAATTTACCCAAAAGAATTAGACGCGGACTCAGAGGGTGAGAATGATCCCAAGTGGCTTCGAACAAAGACGATGATGATGATCGATGACTTTACGGACGTAAATGAGGGTGAAAAGGAATTGATGAAGATGTGGAACTTGCATGTTATGAAATATGGCTACGTAGGTGATTGTCAGATTCCACTAGCTTGTCAGATGTTTCTTGAAACGAAGGGCAAGGAACTTCTCATGAAGAATCTTTATCGCAATTTTGTACTACATATGAGCAGTCTCTTCGATTTTGGCCTCATCAGTCCTGTAATTTTATATCAAACCATTCAGAAGTTGCAGGACTTGATGAAGGAAGAGGGCGAGGACGGAGGTATTCGTAAAGTTTTGCAGAAATCTCATGCTGCGCAGGTTGAACGATGGATTACTAATGGTAGTCAGAACATTGTAGACGTTGGTAAAGGTAAATATTGATTTCGTTAATATCATATTTATTGAAGAATAGATATGAATGTAAAATGTATTTATTTTATTTTTAGCAAACACAAGTCAAGCAAGTAAAGTAAATTTCAATGGAGAAACAAACTCGAACGCAAGGCGAAAAACAACACTGCCAATGGGTTCACCACCTGGCACTCACAATGGAATCAAGCATCCGAGCATGATGAGTACTAATAAAACGCTTATCAACTCGAAGGATAATCAAACGAATGGAGAATTACCTTCGAGACGTAAAAGTACAAATTCAATAGGTGGTGACGATAAAACTAATGGAAATTCAACGTCGACACCATTGAGACGAAAATCAATGGCTCACGATAGCAATGCTTCGGAGTATCACAAACGTAAGTTGGTGTTGGACGGTTTGCCGGCGAACGGAAATTCCAATCAAAAACCCACGCAAAACGGTGTCATCTTCTGAAGCGCAGGATGCTTGAGAAAATTTACTCAAATGCGTGCACTCTGTTGTTTTTTTTATCAAAGTTTACTATGCATGGATTGTTGAGAGCGACTTTCAGTTATGGCTATAACTTTTTTGGTGGTGCGTCGCTTCGCATCGAATTACTAGTTTGTAAGTGTTTATTAGGATAGTTCTCTTTAATTAGACTTATATTTTTAGACTGTTCGAAGGAAAACGTTCTTGCTTTAATTACGTGATTGAGGTCTTTTCCTTTAAAAAAAACTTTAACGAGCGATTTTAGTGACATTTGAGTAAAAATTCAATAGCAACCAAACGTTACTGAAGTTCTGCTGGCAATCCCGTTAACAATTATATCTGCGCTTACCATCGTTCATTGCGTTTACAATTCTCTTTTGTACAGTATTTGTTGCAGATAATATAATTGCGGAATAATTATATTATAAACGATTAACTGATTGTCGTCGTCGGTAGAGTGTATAAAAAACGATCGCTAAAAAGTGATCATCGCTGTTTTATATTGCTTATAGAGCGTTTCTTTTTTCTTCGATTATATTTGAATCAAGTGTTTGGTAGCATCAAATTCACGAGCCTTTCATATCATACTCTTTGTAACATTCAAATCATTCCACGATCATATAAATTCGTGTCTCAATACTAAAAAAACAAACAGCAATACAAAATTCGAAAATTTGAGTGATCACTGTTTAACTTTGGTAGTAGATTGATACGTCTAACTAACTCTAGTCAACAATATTTGGATGCTGGTTTAGCCTGCAGAACATTAAAACTACTGCCTTTATTAAAAAAGTCTTCAAGAACAAATTAAGCAGCTTTAAAATCGCCTGTACTAAGAGAATACCTTTCGTCGAATTTGCAACTTATTAATTCCATATACATTTGATATAGCGATGCGGTTGACTCGAATATATAGTTAAGTATAAAAAGAACAAAAACATTTTTAAAAAAAGAAATTGATCTATACTTTTAGAAGAAATTCTAATTATTTTTAATGAAATGTTGAAAAAAGTAAATATTCTTGCATTAAAAAAAATATCTTTTTAGAGGTAAGTCAGAAATAATAGTGTGAATAAAAAAGAAAGTGAAATTCAAAACAAATTTAAACACACACAAACGTTCTCCAGAAAAAAAGGTATATATACACGATTTTACACGCTGAACACTTAATTTGAATGTCGAAGTGAATCGGTAGAGTGAAAGTGCCTTTTCTAAAAGTCGAAGAACGTGTCCGATGAATATATAACCTGGCAAAAATCTGACAATAATTGTGAATCTAATAGGTGACTTAATTTACTTTTATCTTTTTTTTTTGTATAGAAAATAAATGTAATTACTATAATTTTTTCTCCTCCGTAAGCAGCAATTTCACGATGTCAGTCACCGTCGGACAGCTCTTTGGCCATTATCTCTCATTGCTACTTAGAAAATAAAACAAGCAAAACCAATCTACCTATTGCGTTTAATCATAACAATGTAAGTGCGTGTAACATGCAATCATTTTTGATCAACAGTTGTCTGAAAAAATGCATCCTTCTTTTTTGCTCTTTCTTTTTTGTATGATTCTGAAAATAAATGTTTGACCATTGTGACACCGCAACGAGACTGGCTTTCTTGCAATGTGAAAATTAACTAATTTTTTTCTTTATTTTCTTCGTTAACGTTGTTTATAATTTAAAAAATTATTATCGATTAGTTTATTAATTATTATTACTGCGAAATGACAAATTGAACTCCGTAGATTCTGTTGGCAACTGTGACACACGTTATTGTCCTCTAATAATTACTGTTTCCATTAAGTTGTATATATATATAGTATAAAATGATAAATTTCCAATAAAAATTCTGTGGATAATAAAAAATGGCTTTGAAGTTAGCCACCAATTTCTATTGCACTCTCCTTAGCGAAATTGTTTACAAACAAACACGTAACTTTCGCGTTGAAGATCATCGCCGCTTCGAGATGAGCGACAGTCATGAGAGCGCAGGTGAGCGAAAAAATCTGACTATAGTTGTATGTGCTCGAAATTTCCCGTGCGCTTGCTACGAGTCCCCCCTCAAAAAATGGATTACCACATAAAATTATTGAGCAAGTGTCATTTCAAACGAAACCGTTGTACGTTAGAAAAAGAAGCCGAAGAAGGAGCTGCCAAAAGTTTTCCACTGAGACGGCATCGTTTCGATAAAATCTGCTTCAAGTCGCTCACAGCTCTCAGTGCTAAAGATTCGTTGGAAAATCTGCAAAAATTGAAGAGGAGAAATGATGGTGGCCCGAGAAGACTTTTCTTTGGTAGGAATACAAATAACTCTGATAAAAGGGCAAAGAAGAAGCTTAAAAAGAGATTCGACAAACAGAATGTATCCGAGGTGAATATCAAACGAGCCACTGACGACGATGAAAGTGATAAGCTCGTTGATATTGTTAGTTCAAGAAATATCGGTAAATAATTCTTAGGTTAGAATCTGCTCTCAACTACCAAAACTGTCGTCATCCCCTTAACGTTGATGAACTCTGTTAGACAAAGACGTTGCTGCAGACAATCCTAAACTCAGCGAACAAATTGTCACGAAGCAAACAGACGACATCCTACACTCTCTCGAAAATTTGAAACTCCAAGGGGAAGATGAAACTAACAAAAATTCCATGGACTGCGACTCCGGCGATGCAAGACCCGATAATTTGTCACTCGAATTAGATCTTACTGGAGAAAGTCTTACCGATCTGGCTTGTGCTCAGAAGCGGAGCGTACAATGGAAACGCGAAGTCGATGTTATTTATTACACTGGAAATTCTAGCGCTGGCAAAGGTGCTGTTTGCTTGTTTTTAATCATCTACGATCGCAAAAAAAATTATTTCGAAATCGTATGTTGTTGAATGGTTTTACTGAGTTCACTTGATAATTGTTTTGTCCGTGATAAACGCAGGCAAAGTGGTGCATCGCGAGAACGAGCCGTTACGCGAGGAGGCCGAACAGCAAGCACGTCGACATCGCTTCATTGAGCTCGCTCTTACCAAGAGCCTGCTATCCGACGTGGGCGCTTGCCAACTACGCGACCCTTGGCTCGTTTCTGTAATACCCAAGTGAACCGCTCTTTGTCTGTCGTCGCTCGTTCGTGTCCTATTGTCTTCTACTTTTTCGTCACATTTACTCTATTTTTTTTGTCGGTTTTACATGAATTTTCGAATATACCGTTTTTTACCAATAAAGTTTTGCATAAAAACAGCATACAGTGGGTTTTTCTTATGAATAATTACTATTCTTATGAACTGCTATTCTTATGAATACGAAGACATTACATATTCATTTATATTATTCTTCTGTGAAATGGGATTATTTTTTAGGAATCAGAGATTTGTTTTTCACATTCTGTTTATATTAAAAAACAACATTATTTTTTTTTAACGGTTTCGCAAAGAAACATAATACTAGTAATTATGTACAAAGATAAATGTTTCTTTGACATTCGAAGATATACAAGAATAACCTGTGCTATCTGCGATATTTTCAGATTCTAAATTTAAATGTAGCTTTCCTTACCCCATTTTTTTAGCTCAAAGGAAGTTTATGTCGAAGTCGATGTTACTTAAATATTAATATTTAATTACATTAAGTATCTAACTATTCGATATTGTTCCTAATGCAAATGTTAACGAAACTTTTTCCTAAAACTTTACGTTTTTGTACTAAATGAAATACTGATAAGAACTATATAAAAAATAATTGAATTTTAAGCGTAATAATGTGAATTTTCGTAAAAAGGAAATGTTAATACATATCACGAACGCTTTTCAATCTTCAACAAGGCCAACTGTTTTAACCTGTCGTACTTGAAGTACTGTGGAAAGTCCAATTTCAGCTCCTCGATTTTCCAATCAAGCGCCGCTCGATCGATGCACCTGAGGAACTCCTCGTACATAGGTGCCACTGCATCGAGGTCAGCGATCGTGAACACGTATCTCTTCTCGAGAGCCACGTATGCCACGCGATGTCGCGCGTCCGTCGAATTCAACAGCCGCGCCAAAGTCGACACGAATCCGGCTGTTATCTTATCGTCGTATATCACTGCAGCAACAGCAAAAGTCGATTTCAGTTGTTTAGTCGCGTGCTGACAATTGTTCGAAAAACTTACCATCGGCTGCCATAATCACGTCGATGGATTTGACTTTGTCCATAATCGTAGGATTCCAACTATCGTCCAGGAAGTTCAACTCGGTCACGCATGTTTTGCACTTGATGCAAGATTTGTTACTTTCGATGTTCTTCTCTATTAGTTTGAGTATACCGCCGAGATCCACATCTAGTGCAAAATCAATCGGTCATGCCACTTATATTTAAAGGATAACCGAGACATAGCGCAATTATTGAGATGGTTTACCCGTGCAAATGACTTCCTTGGCGATCATGCCAGCGATAATAGTGTCGAAGCCGACTCCGGATCCCAGCTCGAGCACGACTTTATTTTGGAATAGTTCCGGCTGCGATAGAATGTAATCGCCGAGCAATAAAGCTCCGCGCCAGATTTGCAAGCCGACCAGTTTCAATTCCGTGCACGTGCTGTGTTCTGCCACGCAAGCAATTCATCATTTTGTTTGCCCGCTTGAAAGGCCTTTTTTTATTTTATTTATGTAATTTTCAGTGATTGCCAGCTATACCGATCGAGATGCTTCCCTCCTCGCGACGTTCCAAAATCAAATCGCCGTCTTCGTCGTACTTGAGTGTTCTGTCGCTGCACTTTTTGCGCATGTGCGGTGGATACTTGAAGACAAATTTCGATACTGCATCTGAAAATCGTGCACGGACTTAATAATGTTGCGTGGCAAAATTGAACAGCACTGCTGTCCGTAGTACTTACTGTTGCCTTCTTTCACACTCTGCAATACCACGTCCTTTTCAGATAAAATTTCGGAGCTTACTTTCTGGGTTGCCATATTTCTAAACAATGAATGTCACTTTATTGCCAAGTATATACCGATCGCATGCTTCATTTTCATGTTACTTGGCGAAACAATTAGAAAATAAGCAAAGTATTCCGATTTTTTAAATTAAAACTCATTTCAATTCTTGTTCAGTTCAGTTTTAATGCTTCCAACTGATACGCTTGAAAGCGATTTTACTTATCGATTATTCGATTATTATCAAATTTTATTTAAATTCCTTTCTCTTTGTTTAGTGATTTATCGATTGTAGAAGGATTATCGTTTGTGAATATCTGCACTCATTAAAATCACATTCGAAAACAAAAACATTTTGAGAAGCAAATAATACACGTCAATATTGCAAATTGCGAGCACTCTTGTCACGATCAAAATCATTAAAATCACTATAGCTGCAAAAAATGAAGAATCGATGCAAGGCCTGCCGAAGCAAAGCGCATACGAGTCTCGTGTTCGAATGATCAATCACCTGGCGTTATAAATAGTCGAAAATGAAGCACTAGCCTCGGACCTGCACGCTGCCAAGCTCTCTCTCCGAATTCGAGTTCAATGTTACAACTAATTAGCGGCCACGCGACAATAACTATTTTATCGGGCGAACGAAAAGCCAACAATTGCGGAAATTTCGTATCAGACAAGACGATCGGTCCGGTGCGTCTGGCGTTGCACTGCGACGCCGCGCGCAATTTATTTCAGAACTTTCCGCCAAGGAAAACCTCAGGCGCACTTCTCTCTCGCTCGTGGTCTTACATAAGATATACTTATTGCCAAAGTGCGCCGACTGATCAGCTGATCCAAAAGAGGTTTGCTGCGCGTCGGGAATGACGGTGTTTCCGCGTTGCAATGTCACGCTGTTCTCGTTCGATGTCAGCTTTCCAATCTACCATTTTCATGTTGTTCATTCATTAGAAAGACTCAACCATTGCTTGTTGGCGATCGATTCACGATTTTCGAAATGCGCCGTTGTCAAACGCGGGTGTCTGCGTCAAACACAGCTCAGTGTCGAATTGAATGACGCGTTGTTGGGACTCGTAATAAGGTCGGTTTCCTGCAAAAGAAACTCGCGCGCCTACGTGTCATTCGCTCCGAAAGTACCCTGTAATCAATAGACGCAATCCGAGTTGGGAGAAGAGCGATATTTCTTCGAGGAACAGGCAAGCTTTGCCTCTTCTGCGTAGGTACTCACCGCAGTTCGAGGAGGTGCACGAGCCGCCGGCAAAGCGGCAACGACCAATCGCCGCTCAACACGCTTAACTCCACGACGACGCTCTGCCACGCGACCTTTCCTCCTCTCGCTCGCTCACGATGTTAATGCCATCCTGCTATCCTCGTTTCGCTCCATGACTGCTCAAGCTAGTTGTTACGTGTGACCGTCATGTTCGTGTGCATGCGCGTGCTTTTGCTTTGAATTTCGAAAAAGTTTGAAAAATGTAGCAATGCAGTATGCTACCCCCATTAATAAGGATTTCGTTGACGAACTATGGCAATTTTCATACGGTTTGTTGGCAAAACATGCCATTAGCTATCTTTCTTATAAGAATATCGAGAATGTTTTTATAGTATTTGAATAATGCTGCACTACTTGGTCGATTAACAACAACATCCAGTATATTGATTTAGTTCGTATTCATACTTGGCATGAAACTTGGTACTCTCATCAGACATTTGCACAAAATAGATTAGGCTTGCGATATTTTAGTTTTCCATATAGCACCCTCTCAACAATTTCTGTGCATCATGAATGAACGACATTTATTCATTCGTAAATACTGTACACACATACTTTCTTTTGTAATAATTATAAGCAATTTCTATTAAAATATGCAAATTATTCGAGTGGAAGTTATTATAAAGACAAATAATAGAGTATTATAATTGTTTATATAAAGTTGATGTAAATATATTTGTTAATATAATTTTATTGAATATTGAAGCCAGCCAGCAGCAGTGTACTATGACAGTCTTGTTGACTTGTCAGCATATCTAACCAACCTCTCTCTCTTTCTTTCTTTCTTTACCGGCATTACACATACGCGCAGATACACATTCAATGTAGAAAGAAGCACAAGAGGGGGGGACTCTGGAGATCTCTTTGCTGGCGCTCGACGCTCATCGGCCATTTGTCCAGCAGCAGCACAGCGTTTCTCATTGGGAACACCAAGAAATTAGGATGAAGTACTTCGTGTTAGCCGCGTTGGCAGTGATCCTTGGCACAGCTAGTGCCGAGATCAAAACCGAGGAGGATGTCCTTGTCATCACCAAGGATAACTTCGAGGAAGCACTCAAGCAACACGATTATCTTCTTCTCGAATTTTGTAAGTGAATTTTCTCTCATCTTATGTGGTTCATCTATGATTCTTCCGCCCTGTTGCGCTCTCCCTCTCTCTTGCGCGATGATCTCGTCCACGTCATCGAATTTTTTTTCTTATAATTTAATGCTCCGCAATAAATGCCTATTGATACTTTCACATTTACACACGTGGCTAACTTATCGTCATGTTAATTATTTATGTGTCACAGGATGTCCTGACAATCAGGGGTAGAGAGGATTACATTTGACTGTAACAGGAAAGAGGACTGTTACATGACTAAGTTTGCAACATATGTTTTTCCCTAAGAAGGCTAAATCTTTCTTTTTCTCTCTCTCTCTCGCTCTCTTTGTCTCGATAACACTAACTACATTTATCGATAAAATAAACTTTTTCGTTGTTTCCTAAAGATATACATGCCAGCTTTCTCGAGAGACGAATTGTCACGACGTTTAAAGTGCAATCACGTTGTTCTTGCATCAAATTATAGTCAATCAAGTTTTTCTCAAGGCGGAAAGCTTAGTCATGTTTAGCGTATCCGAAGTGGTATTTTCTGGCATTTGCAGAAAAGCTCGAGTTGTTTGTTATGTTTTGCCCATAATTCGTTGAATATGCAGATGAATCATTGCTTACATTTTTAGATAATAAGACAATGATTCTACAACAAAACGTGAGATTGATATAAATAAATGAAATTTATCATTCATATATTTTCAAACACATGTTTAGAGCTATATATCTGTTTTCTACATATTTGGGTTATTGGGTTATTTAGAAACTCAACAGTTGTTCACACAAAGTAACCATTTTCTTGTTTTTCTTATCTCTGACTTATCTCAAAGAATCAAAATTTTCTGTTTTTTTTTTTTATTTCATTACTAGCTATTGCAATAACATGAATTATTATAGATGCCCCATGGTGTGGACATTGCAAGGCTTTGGCTCCAGAGTACGCCAAGGCTGCTGGAGAATTACTTAGCCAAGGCTCCGATATTAAATTAGGTAAAGTAGATGCCACCATTGAAAGTGACTTGGCTGAGAAACATCAAGTCAAGGGATACCCAACCCTTAAGTTTTACCGCAAGGGAGTTGCAATTGATTACGGTGGTGGCCGTAAATCTGATGAAATTATCAACTGGCTGCTCAAGAAGACTGGCCCACCAGCAAAGGACCTCACATCTATTGATGAAACCAAAACATTCATTGATGCTCACAATGTTGTTATTGTTGGTTTCTTCAAGGTTAGTGATGATTTTTAAGTCAAGTTTATTCCATAGTCAATATATCGTTACAAGAATTATGTATTGATTCAGAACTTGTTTTTAGGATCAAGAATCTGAAAATGCCAAAGTCTTCAAGGAGGTTGCCAATGCTGTTGATGACCAGGTATTTGGTATCAGCAGTAGTGATGAAGTGTTTTCTGAATATGGTGTTGAAGATGGCAAAGTTGTCCTCTTCAAGAAGGTAATTATAACATTTCATAATCAATTAATCGCACTATTCTTATTTTCTATTCGTAATTAATAATAAAATTTGTAATTTATTTTAGTTTGACGATAACAAGGCAGTATTTACTGATGAATTCAATATTGACAACCTGAAGAACTTTGTTGCTGTTGAGTCTCTGCCTCTGATTGTTGAATTCAACCAGGAAACTGCCCGAACAATCTTCGGTGGTGCGATTAAAGGTCACCTCCTTGTCTTCCTCAGCAAAGAAGCTGGACACTTTGAGAAATACGTTGAAGAGCTCAAAAAGCCCGCCAAAGAATTCCGTGGAAAAGTAAATATTTGATTATTTTCTGAAACTTCAGTTTCCCTCGTCATATACTTACTTTATGGTATTATTCTTTTAGGTTCTATTCGTGACGATCGACGCCGATGAGAACGACCACGACCGCATCCTTGAGTTCTTCGGAATGAAGAAAGAACACGTACCCGGCATGCGTATCATTAAGCTCGAAGAAGACATGTCCAAATATAAGCCCGAGAAGGACGAAATCTCTGCTGAAAATGTCTACGACTTCGTCAGTAAATACACCGAAGGTAAACTCAAGAAGCATTTGCTTACTCAGGACTTACCAGAAGACTGGGATAAAAACCCCGTTAAGGTTCTCACTGGTACCAACTTCGCTGATGTTGCCTACGACAAGACTAAGCACGTTCTCGTTGAATTCTACGCTCCATGGTGCGGACATTGTAAACAACTTGCTCCCATATACGACAGCGTAAGTGATTTATTAGACAGTTTGAAATAATAATGTAAAATACGATGAGATTATTATAATAAAGATATTTTTTTTTAATTGCAGTTAGGTGAAAAATACCAGGACAGTGACAAGGTTGTCATTGCTAAGATGGACGCCACTGCCAATGAACTGGAAGATGTCAAAATCATGAGCTTCCCTACCATCACCTTGTACAAAGCTGAGACTAACGAGGTGCGTTGTTTTTTTCAATTTCTTTCTATTTGATTTTTCCATATAAAATGTTTTATGAACTTTCTGGTTGATTTTAAATAGGCTATCCAATATAACGGCGAGAGGACTCTTGAAGACCTTGCTAAATTCGTCGACTCGGAAGGTGCTATTGGACAAGGCCCAGATGAGGTATGTTGATTAGAATTTCCGAAAAAATATTTTCGTACTTGATTAATCAAAGTTTTATCGAGACTTGATAAAAATTCGTAAATCACGTGCTTTCGATGATTGTTGATAACATTGTACTGTACGGTACAGAAGAGGCTGTGGTAATCTGTGATAAAAGTACCATTTTCGATTACGGTAGTATTATCAGTTGCGTGAGTGCCACTGACCTCTGATTATCAATTACGTGATTAACTAATGAAACTGTAGATAAGAGGATATTTTTATAAACTTCAACTTTTTACTTAATTCATTGTTCACTGTTAACGTTTCAGACTGAAGAAGAAGATGAAGACGATGACGTCCCACGAAAGGACGAACTGTGAGAATATCGCGTACACAATCACAATCAAAAGTTCGTACCGAACAAAGATCAACTCGACAATTATGTCCTTTATGTTGGCGAGAAAAAACGATTTTTTCGCTACACGGATATCATGGCTGTAAACCATCTGTTTAGCCTAATTTTCTTTTTTTATACATATAAGTTTACATATGAAGTGTAACTAGCGTGATTCAATGTGTAAATGTTTTTATTGAAATTTCCTTGTACAGATTTAAACTCGTTTGAAGCTCGTGTTTCATTATTTTCTTGTTTTTTTCTACTGTAACTTTGATAATTATTAAAGTTTGATGCGGAGACCAAGATTGACATTTGTACTTATGTCTCTTGTCTTCCATCGGCGTCACGACCGGGTGGAATGAATTTTTGACACGAACGCATACAAAAAAAATATTTTTAATATTAAGAATCCCTCTTTGTAGCCAGTGGACATTATTTCAAGGAACTATTTTTCCGAATATCTTACATTCTGACTTTGTTAGCCATTCCGGTGATACAGCAAGATAACAGATATATAGAATGTACGTATGCGTGAGTGCAAGAGAGAGAAAAATAGAAACGCATTATTAATTCTTTAAAAACAGCGCGAAACTCTGCCGTTAGTTGGCGGGTGCCTTACAAATTTCACTGTTCAGAATGTTATTTTATGATTTATGTATAATAAAAAAAATGAAAAACTTGACATTTCTCAAGATTTTCAATGACTGATACGATGCGTTTTTTTCCAATCAAACACAAAAAACCAATGACACATGAAACACGTAGCGAATGAACGATCCATATCTATATAATATTTATCTTTTACTTACTGAGTATGTGATTACATGGGAAATATATGAGCCAAATGTTTTTTTGGATATAATTATAACTGTAGACCTTTGTCTTTTATATATCTTCGTGTATTGATAAAAGGTTAAAAGTGATAATTTAAAATCTTATCGGAATTTGTTTGTGGCTGATGTGAATGTTATACTGATAAACAATTATGAAATGAAGATAACTTTTAATTTATTTATAGGATGTATAACATAAATTATTTTTTTGACCGCTGTAAAAAAGTGAAACACTTATATTTTGTGTACATTTTTTCATTCGCTATAAAGATGCCAATTTTTAATAGAAATCGTGTGGTTAACATTTCCAACGGAACTCCTTTATCCCTAAATTTTTATGAGAAACTATTTTTCCAATGATTATTTGTCAATAATTTTCCTCAGGCGGATGGTCAAATTAATGGAAATAGCATAGAAGAAATGTTCAGTTTGCAAGAGCTCTATGATTACGTGAAGAAAATGGTACGCACCACCGAGTTGGCAAAAAGAACTTTGCAAATGGAGTGCGAAGAAGCAAAGTTTGCGTTGAAACCTTGGCCAATCGAAACTACAACTATCAAACAAATTGATAGGAACATTTGCATTTGCGAAGAGGTAAGATCAAGATTCATGGAATCTTCATTTTTATTATTTTTCTTTCGTGATTAAGTTAGGAACACTTTTGGCAGTATCTGTTTAACGCTGTTTGCTTTTTTATTAGTATCCATTTTTGGTACTTTAAAGTCGAAAATCTTTACGAATGAATATCTGACGCAACAGCATCTTATCAATATCACATGTCATTCAATATTTTGTTCTTTTTTTAAAACAGAATTTTACTGGTGACTACGCCGATAAAAATGCTTAGTTTCCATTCAATTTATTTATTTAATCTTCACGTTAGTCTATAAATATTTGAATACCATCCTTATGAAATATCATTGTGTGTAATATATTGCTTTGAATTTGTCTTCAAATGAATGCACATTTCCACGATGATCAGGGGGTGAGTTCAGAAGAGAGAGCTGAAGAAATAGCCACGGAAATCGGTCGTGCACTCTTGCACTCACAGCAACTGCGAGAAAAACTTGCAGAGAACTTGCGCAAAGAGCGTCAGGCGTCTCGGCACCCAGACGTGCGCGAGATTTATACGAGCGCGTTGAAAAAGCCTCTGAAAGAAGCCAACACGAACAGCCGCTACGCCGTGAAGGAGCGCCCGCGCAGAAGCTTATCCCAACATCCGTTGGAGTCGAAAAAGCCTTCGAAAGAAGCCAACACGAACAGCTGCGACGTCGAGAAGGAGCGTCCCCGCAGAAGCTTGTCCCAACAATGCCTGTCGGAGTCGAGAAGCAATCGATCTCGAAGTACTTCGACTGTCAGGCCGACAAAGGAAAACGTCGGTGGGAGGAAAACGGTCACGAGCAAGACGCAAATTAAAACTTCCAAGGACAATGTTTTGGCACAGATCACGGGTTATCAGAGGCCAAAGAATCAAACGAATTTCATACTAGCAAACAAGCTGAGCGCCAAGGGCACCAAATCGTCCTCTACTTGCAAAAAAGTTCAGTCCAAGTCTCAGGTAGATTTGCGCAAGATTAGTGGCAGGTACTTGGTACTTCATTTTATTAGATAATTAAATACAACGCGAAGCTTCTAATTTTTCAAATCATAACATTCAGCAGCACGAAAATCAATCCGACAACCTCCGACAAATCCATATCGACGTCCGTGGAGAACGACGAGATCGAGACACTGGCTGAGCTCGACCGCTTGATCAAAAAGTTCGCCAAGGAAGCGACACTACGCATCAAGCACAACTGCCCGATACACGCGCAGAATCCTTCGAGAGTGATCGAGGAGAGAATCGTTACTTTGGTGGATGCAGTCGACGGCCTCGACAGGTTCGGCGTACCACCGAGGCTGGTCAAGATTCTCAAAACGTACCACGCCTATGTGAAGATCGAAGTCATTGATGCCAACTTTGCGCTCACGAAGAAACAAGAAGGGGCCGCTGATACTTTCTTGGCGCATTTCGATAGAATCGTAAGCAGGGTTGATTTTTAATCCAAGCTTTCTGCAGACAGTTTTGCTTAAATTTCTCATTATGACGCGTAGGGAAAGAAAAGGCACCTTACACCAGAGGACAAATATCTAGACTTGCTGAGAGAATATTCCGTATTGTTCAGAGACTTTTCCTATTCAACATTGAGCCGTCATAAAGTAAAAACATTCGAGTCCAAGTTTAAATCTTTGGAATCGAACTATAACGAGTGCGATGTCAAAAATACGGCTGGCAAGGTAAAATACGCTAGGTCTTCGCCTGACGACACGAACAATGATTTGGCAGTAGATTTGAGAAATTGGATTTCTAATGGCGTCTGGAATTATAGCTGCGCTCCTGAACTTAAAGGTAGTACATAAATGAGACAGTTACCAGTGAGCATAGTTTTAATCGACTTTTCTTTTTGCATTGTAGACATTTTTGGGAGTCACATTACGAGATATTCAGACAGAAACCAGCTACTGCTTTTTTTCAGTCTCGTTCAGAATGTTCAGCGCAAATCTTATGAAAAAGAGCTGATAAAACTGCTTCTGCAGTGCGTGATACCTAAATTTAAAAAACTATTTGATCCTAATAGTCAAGAATTTATTGATATTTATAAAATGATGATTTCCGTAACGCAGATACTTAATCCAAAAGCGCCAGTATTGGCTAAAACAGAAGACAGTTAACGGTTATAGATTTGCCTGAAAAAATTTCGCGTTCTTTTTTCTAAAGTCCAATCAGTTCTAACTATGTTCTAACTTACACAAATTTTATAAAAAAATTAATTTAATTTTGAATAAACATTATATTGGCTAATTTTTCAGTTCAAGTGAAATCGAAAGCAAGAATATTTAGATATTTATTCATATCTAGTATGTAAAAATGTCTGTAATTTTAAGATGTCAATAAATAATTATAATTGAAAAATAAAAGAATTAGTTTCCTATGAAAATTAGAAAATTAAATTATTTTGTTAATATTATAGTATCTCCATCGGTTTTAGCTTTGTTTCCTTGCTGTAAAATATCGATATACATTATGCTCCGCTATAATACAAATCCTATCATCTTTGATATACAAATATTTACTTACTAGTGAATATTAAAACATTTATCAACGCGATTTTGTAAACGATTGTTAGAAATCCCAAATTTGTAGGAATAAAGGATAAGTAAAAGTTATTTTTCGCTCGAGAAACTTTCAGTGAAAATGTTGATATAACAATTTATTCACAGTCAGTCAAGCTGGAGTTTCGGCAGCAAGAATCAGAACCACAGAAAGCGCCAAAATGTATCAAAAAAACTGTATGTCAATGAATACATACAAAAATTGTTAATTTATCTATTTAAAATAATTCCAATAAAAAATCATATTTTCTTACTCGCGATCAATAAATAGTATAGTGAAGAGCGAAATAGATAGCAATACAAATAAATGTTAGTATTTCTGTCATTCGTACTAAAAATCCTGATATTGCCGATGTCTTTATAAGTACTTATAACATGGCTACTTATAAAGGTTAGATAATTACACAATCAGTCAACGACATCATTCAACATACAGTTTCTTCTATAAATCTTGCACATTGCAGTTCCGGTCCTCGTTGTTGAGATTTGGGCTAATCAATATTAGATATAGTAAATTTGAAAACTAAATTTTTATTAAAAGTTTCACATATAGAAAATAATAGTTTCGATGTAGAAGGACATTTGTTAAAAATTTGAAATACCTGTACAACTCTTACGAGTCATATGAGCGTTATTTCCACCTTTTGTTATTTTGCCTTTATTTTCGAACTGAGTAATAACTTTACGAAGTAATGTTGATAAATATTTTACGATCCTGATTTGGTCACGATCGAATAAATTATTTTATATAAGTGAGCTTGCATTATTTGTTCTTGTAGCAAGAGGCGATAATAGATAGGCTCTGCTAGATAGGCTGGGATGTTAAAGAAAGTTGCGTGGGAATGGAGTATTGACGTCTGTATTAAGAGCATTATATTTCTTTCTTTTGGACTATGGGAACAATTGAGGGTAATGAAATGATGAATTATTTCCTGCTCAAATCAACAATAATACTATTTTTATTCATTGTTACTCCGAAGTTATCTAGTTTATCCAGTTAGTCCCGCTAAGAAATAATTGTTTTCTATCACACGAAATGTGGGAAATAGAAAATAGCTGTAGTAATAATATTTTTATTGGCGAAATTGCCGCTTGTCGAAGTTTTAGTGTACCTCTAACGGAGATTTGAGATTTTCAGTAAGCGTTCTAAAAGTTACATCTCACCAAATCTCGCATAAAATATTCGTTTTTCGTTGTATAGCTCATAATTAATTATTTAAAATATAATTAAAAAATAAAAATAGAAAAAGCTCTTTGTTGCGTGGTTCAGTTGTCATAAATGCCAAAGCTATGTTTCGAGAGAAAATGTGGACGGCTGAAAAATTACGAGGGATAAAAGACGTTTGGAAAATAATAGCCTATGTCTTATCGATCCAACAAAAAGCGCGCAACCAAGCTACGCCACAGTCACGCGGAAACTGTACATGCCCGAAAGTACCTTTGGCTGCGAGGGCAGCCTGTCTATTCGTTATTGACAAGCGCAATTTCACTGCAAGAATGATGTGAGCAATTGGCAAAAGTTCAACCGAACGCACTTGGCAAAGTAGATTCGTTCGGAAAGATCGCAGGCGCGCGCGTGACAACGTTAACCTAAAGTCTTGGAAAGAAATCGCAAGTATCGCCGTCGTAGCTTGACAGATTAAGAAGCATGGAAACGCAGTTCGTATACGTGAAAAAGCGCTCGGAATTCGGCAAGCGGTGCTACTTCGATCAACAGGACAAGCTCGAAGTGGACATCAAATCCGACCCGACGCTTGCGAGCAATTACATAAGGTTGGACCCGGTGACGAGGGGCACGCAATGCGCCAAGGTTATCGCCGCTCACGAGGTATCGTGCGTTTTCGTTGGATTCGCCTAGCGACCTGAAGGCGTTCGTTGTTCTTTGGAATGTGTTGGGCGCCAGGTGAACACGACCACGGCGACTTTTCGGGAGAGCGGCATGTTCCACGTGGAGGGCGGCTGGCCGAAGGACATCAACAAGGACGACGGAGAGCAAACCGTGCGCTATCGCAGGAAGATCGAAAAGGACGAATTGTACATCCACACGATGCTGCAGATACTGCCGGTACTCGTGCACTCTCCCATTATGTCGCATGCTGCTAGCGCAATCCCATGAGCGTTCCTCGTGCCAAACGGTAGCCGATGGAGCACACGGTGCTGCAGAACAACGCCTGCAACATCTACGAGCAATACTTCGACGACACCGAGGCGGCGCAGCTGGTGCAGCGAACGTACTGCCGCACGGTGAACGTGTATCGCGACCCGCTGGCGGTCAAGCGGCCCGTGACCCACGTCTCCTGGTCGCCGGACCAGGGTGCGAGACTGGCCGTCAGCCACTGCAGCACGGACTTCAAGAGGCTGGCCAATTACAGTCCCATCTCCTACATTTGGGACGTCGGTGAGCCAGACGACCGCTCGGAGCCGCGAGTACCCACGACCCACGACCACTGGCCAACGTTTCAGAGAATCCCAACAAGCCGTTCGCCAAGCTGAAGCCCTCCTGCCCGCTGCTGGCGCTCGAGTACAATTCCAAGGACGCGAACGTGCTGGCGAGTGGGCTGATGAGCGGCCAGGTGGCCTTCTGGGACGTGCGACGAAGCTACGAGCCGGTCGACACGAGCCTCATGGAGAACAGCCACCGGGATCCGTGCGACCAAGTGCTGTGGATCAACTCCAAGACCGGCACTGAATTTTTCAGCGCCTCCAGAGACGGTCAGGTAGAGGCTGGAAGGGTGGGAGGGAGGGAGGGAGGGAGGGAGGGAGACCGACTCGCGCTAACGGTCGACGCGGTTGCCGAGTAGATCAAGTGGTGGGACAGTCGAAAGCTGCAGAGCCCGCTGGAAACACTGGTGATGGACCTGACGAGACCCGAGGAGCAAGCCCTGGAGCGCGCGGTCGGTGTATCGGCGCTGCAGTTCGAGCCGTCCATCGGCACTCGATTCATGTGCGGCCTGGAAAACGGTCGGTATGCCGCGGCTTCCACGGGCGCCGGCCGCCGATCACGCTAATACGCATTCGCACGGCGGCAGGCACGGTGATCTCGGGCAACCGCAAGGGAAAGACGCCGACGGAGAAGCTCGCCGTGAGGTTCAAGGCGCAGTACGGGCCGGTGATCAGCGTCGAGAGGAACCCCACTTTCGTGAAGAACTTCCTGTCGGTGGGCGACTGGACGGCGAGGATCTGGTCGGAGGACTGCCGCGAGTCCTGCATCATGTGGACCCCGTGAGTGGCCCTCCCCGTTCGCGGCCCGCTCGCCGAGCACGCCTCTCTCCACGGCTTTCCGTCCGCAGAGGGCACGGCGTGCTGCTGACCGGCGGCCACTGGAGCCCCAGCCGGTACTCGGTGTTCTTCCTGACCAAGATCGACGGCACCCTGGACGCCTGGGACCTGATAGTGCAGCAGGATGGCCCGGTTCTGAGCGCCAAGGTAGCGAGCGAGCGAGCGAGCGAGCCAGCCAGGCCGATGCCGAGCGCGACGCTGACGCCCCCGATCTGGCTTCGCAGGTGTGCGACGAAGCGCTCACCTGCGTCCGGCCGCACGAGCAGGGCCAGCTGGTGGCGCTGGGCAGCAAGAACGGCTCGGTCTACTTGCTCGAGTTCTCCGAGAGCCTGACCACCAACCAGAAGAACGACAAAGCCCTGCTGACGGCCGTAAGTGTAGCCAGCCGTAGCTCGCCGGCGCCGGCCTCACAGCTGTCGGGCCTGTTGCGCAGCTGCTGGATCGAGAGACGCGCCGCGAGAAGGTGATCGAGGCCAAGAACCGCGAGCTGCGCCTCAAGATGAAGACCGTGCGGCAGGACTCGTCGGAGAACTTGGACGCGTCGGCCAAGAAGCGGCTGCACGACCTCAAGGACCCGCTGATCGCGCAGTGCGAGCAGGAGTACCAGGCGCTCATCGACGCCGTGAGTGCAGAAGCGTTCACTCGGAAGCGCGCCGCGCAGCCTCGCCGCGGCCGGGCGCTCATCCTCCTCGTCCCGTTCGCAGGAGCTGGAGAGGCAGGCGTCGCTGGACAGCGCCGAGGTCAACAACAACGTGTACGCCCCGTGAGGGCCTGGCCAATAAACAGAGCCAAACTGCCGGCGAACCGTCAGTCTTGTCTGTGCGGCCGAGCGCAAAGGCCAACAGCCCCATCTATATCCCCCCACGAGCGCGCGATCGATATTATTAAGTCGGCCTGCAGCCCGACGTTGCCAGTCGCACACCTGTCACGGCAGCGCGCCGCCACGGCAAGCAGCCGGCGCAGTCGGGCTTTTCCGCCGCCGCTGTCGCGTCGCGTCGCGTCGCGTCGCGTCGTCGACCCGCGGACGCTCTCGCCGGGGTGCTGCTGCGAGCGCGCGAATCGCCGCAACGGAGTCCAGTGGCTGAGCAGTGCGAGCGCTTCCGCGCGTCCACGCGATCGTGCGCTCCGCGTGCCCGAGTGCGAGGCGACCCGGTGCACGTCGTTTTTCCTTTTGTTGAATCGATATGCGCCAACGCCGGACGGCACACTCTTGAATTATTCATGCACCCTCGGCGTCTTGGCGAGCGGCATGACATGCTTCGAGTCGCCCGCGAGCGCGTTCGCCTGGCACTGCTATATTAAAGCCTTTTGACGAGCGCTAGCTTGAGTTTTATTCAGAGTAGATAGCACACTGCGGCTGCTTCCAGTTTTTCCAACTGAATCTGCACCTTGGGCTGAATTTCAATGGTAAACACGAGTATTCGATGCTGCCAATCTTATTTTAGACTTGCAAAGAACACTCCGCGAAATTAGTAATGAAGGCGCAAAGACGAGGCAAACTGGCTAAATCTCGGCCGGTCGAGAGCTCCGAAGAAGAATCGACCTCCGACGAGAAATCCGACGACGACCGACCTACTCTCGGCTCCAAACTCAACTTGCTTCGCGATAGGCGCAAACGATCGCGTAGAAAGACCGACCAACCGGATAACCCAGCCCAGCAAGGTATCGCGCAGTCCTTGAAACGCACGTTTGGCTTTTTTCGGAAATCGGAAAGATCGAACGAAGATGTCGAGACGGCGGTGGTGATCGAGAGCGCGAATACTCCAGCGTCGGCTGGCAAGAAAACGATGGACGTCGTCGTCGACGTGCACGCGGAACACGAAGAGCAGAAGGCGCGAGTCGTCGCGGAGGCTAACGCGTCTGACGATCAACGGTCGAACAACTCGTCAGCCGAGCACCAATCGAACCAGATAGATTTGATCGAGCAAATGAAAACGGGAGACGAGGAGAGGCCGAAATCAGACTTCGTCGATACGGAGACGGAGGAGAGCGATTTGCAGGAAGAGGTCGAGCTGACGAGCGAAATCCCGCCAACTTCCGGCGGTAGACGGAAGCGCTGGGACAAACCGGAAATATCGACTGGCAATCTTGTCGAGGACTTGGCGAAACCAAAGCGGAGACAGTGGGCAAAAGGTGCTGCGAGCGCCGAAATACGAAAAGTCAGCGGCAAGAAAATCGTGGTGCCGAAGAGGTCGTCGACTACAGAGCCGTGTAAATTAGTCCCGCCGCCAAAACCTTCTAGGTTAGTAATCTGTTGATTGAAATTGAAACTGAACAAGTTAGAACACGCGTATTTTTAATGTTCGTAGACTTCCGAAACCGATCGCAGCGCCAAGAACGAAGAATGCCAAAAAAGAAGATATCGTTCGTGGTTTCGACAACGATGCATTATCATCTGATCACGATGAAATTTTGAGGATAGAAACGGTCAGTAATCATAGTCCGAGGATCAAAATAAGCAGCGTGAGCAGCGAGAAAATCGAAAAGCCTTCGATTTTGAGCGAGGAAGTAGAAAAAATCCCTATCGAGAAAAAGGAAAGCATCGAAGAGATCAAGGTAAATGTGACTTATCACGCGAGCTTTGATGTCGTCGATTGACGTGTTAAGTTTAATTAATTGAAAATCGTTTGAAATCTTTGAAACATTAATTTCGTCTCAGGAATACATACAAGATACCGCCGAAAATACAGAAACCTCTGCCACAAAAGATCCGTCGGTTAGCGGAACGCCGAATTCTCGCGAGTTCATGCAGAGAAAAACTTTGATAAGACGGCGATCGAGCGACAAAAGGAAATCCTCCAGTGATAAGCGATCAGAAGACGAAGAAGAAGAGGAAGAGGAATTGGAAACTGTACTCGATGCGATGGACAAGAGATCGAGGTCATCAGGCTCCAGTAAGGTAGAAATTATACCTTCGAGATTTTTCGATAGGGGAGAGTCGAGTGACGAAACCACCATTTCTACAAATGAAGAAATGCACTCGGTTTGTAATTTTATTTTGCTAAATATCATGTAAAATATTGGCTATTGGGTTTAATTTAAATTGATCATGTAGCCAGGACGAGAAGTTCCACGACCGAAATCGCGATCAAGATCGAAGTCCAAATCATCTCGTTACGAAAAAAGTGATGAGAAAGATAGTGAGAGAAGTTCACGAACGAAACGAAAGACCCCGTCCGCTCGAAATTCACCCGGAGAATTGTCAACCAGTCGTCGAAGGCTAAAGTCTCGCACGAAAAAGCGTCGCATAAAAAAAGACAAGCACAAACTTGAAGAAGTGGAGGAAGAAATCAAATACACATCGATAATGATTCATAGATCGGATATGCTCGAAGCAGACTACATTACGAGGCATCCGATGGTCAAAGTTCATATAGTCTACGCTGATGATGGTGATTATTTGAAAGTGAAGAATAAAGATGATGATGCGGCGACTAATTTGCAGCCGATAATCTCCGCAAAGTTCGATTTCAAAGAGAAAAAGTCAATGGTCCCGGTTTGGGAGGAGCAATTGATTTTCAAAATGGACTTTAACGAAATTTTATGCGACGGCAAAGGTTCCGTCGTGGTTTTGTTCGAAATCGTCGATTTGTTGAGCTTTAACGAAGCCAATTTACATTATCATCAGTTTGGTTTGTATTCCGATAAGAATTTTGATTAATCTTTAATTATATTTATCAAATTTATAATGAGCATGCGACAGATCATTGATGCATTCAAAATTTAAATTCAGATGAAACTTCTGTTTTAAGAATTGAGTCTTAGCCTGATATTATGTACACTAAGAAATTGTTTCTTATTTGAAATATTTGATTTTTGTAACTACCTATTGCATTGCGTTGTTTAGAAAACAAGTCGACACAAAAGCCTACATTTATTTCAAATGTTTAACTCACTTTGTGTACAGGCAAAGAATCTTGCTGGTACAAAGTGGCTTGGGCTTTTCTTAGGCCGATCGGTGTTAACGGCACTCAACACGTCAACAAAATCGTTCGACTACAACTTTACAGACCGAAGAAAACTTTCAGACGAGCGAGTAAAACGAAATGCGATGTAATGTATTTCCTACTTCATTCCTTTGCCATTCCAACAGAAAAATATTTAATTAAATTATTTCTCTTTTCAGGTGTACAAATGGTGGAAATCCGGCAGCAGAGACAAATATCCATCCAGTCTATACGTCAGCATATCCCCCATAGACCCGCCGAAACTCGAGCCCGTCTTTTCGGAGCAACTACTTCAACTGCACGATCTATCGGAGGTGCACAGTGATTCTCAGAATTTACATCCCGTCGGAAAATCCGAGGAAGTTCCCGAACCGCCAAAATGGACCCGACATGCTGCTCAATCGTGCCAGATACCCAACGAGACGTATTTCGAGACTGAAGCGGGCGATAGTGGGTGCTTTTACGTAGTTTTCAGTAACGATGGGAAGTACCTTGCATGTGCACTCTCAGATGACTATGATTATCCGATTTTGGTTTATAAGGTAAGTCGTGAGAATTCTTGTGTAGCTCCATTTTTAATGTTAACCATGTTTTACCGATTATAGATTGACGAAATGAAAATTCACGTGCGATTCGCTGGTCACAAAAATTTCATTTACTCTCTAAGCTGGTCGCACGACGATCACTTTCTATTGTCAGTGTCTTCCGATCAGACTGCGAGATTTTGGGACGTCAAGGAACAAATCATCGAAGACGTTCAGGTGATCATTTTAATCATACATGCTTAGCTATACATTTTTCAAATTGAAAAATTCCTCAATGAATTTCGGTTTGTTTTAGTCATTGCCACATCCATCGTACGTGTACTGTGGCAAGTTTTCTCCGGAGACATCGAATTTTGTTCTGACCGGCTGCTACGACCACGTTGCTCGAATTTGGGCTTATCAACGTTCGCACAGTTATGAGCTCGTACAAGAACTCGAGGGTCACAATGGTTTCGTCAGCTCAGTATGCATCCATTCTCGCGACGAAGTGATTCTTACTGGCGACGGTCTCGGTGTAATCATTATTTGGACCGCCAAGAAAAGTCGACGATCGCTTCTCAAACGCGAGTGGCAATTAACAAGAAAAGTCAAAATTAAAGAACTAGATGGTATACCCATCAATACAATTTTAGTACATCCGTTAGGGTCAAGATTGCTCGTGCATTCCAGAAATTCCGAACTGACATTATTAGACGTGATCAGCGGAGCTATGATAAAGAAATTCGAAGGTTTAAAAAACAATCGAATACAAATAACTTCGTGTCTCTCTCCCTGCGGTAGTTTACTTTTCTGCGGTGGTGAAAACTCGATGTTGAACGTGTGGAGTACCGACAGTGGCAAACTCATGGCTACTTATGAAATCAACAGTCACGAAAGAGCTATTACATGCGTGGATTATCATCCGTACGATCACGTGTTAGCTTTTGCTGTTTACGGCGCGCCGATTCCTGCGAAGGTATTGAAGTACGATCGAGATGTCGACGGCGTGAAAGTGGGATTGAAGTTATTAGCGATGACGACGAATATGATGTCGGTGAGCTCATCGGCAAGATTTGGTAAAGATCCAGAGACGATTGTGAGAAACGGTGTAAGGAATTTCGAGTTGTCAGCAATGAGTTTGATGCATCCATCGACTATCGTGTCGATCGACCATTTGCCTAGCGAGTTCAAAGATGAGGACGAGGCGAGAAAGAATCTCAGGGGTAAACTGCAGAGATTCATGGAATCTGGACCGAATCTCAAAGTTAAAAGTTTAACCAGGCTGAATGGAATTATCGAGAAAATCGACAGGATCCTGATGTATGCTACCAGTCAGAAATCACAAGATTTGGATGTGGAATCAGCGAGAAACTCAGTGTTCACCGTCGAAGAAAAACATCCGAGGAGTCGAATGGAGATGTTTGAATTGCAGGAGTTACCAGTCGAAAATGTCCAGAAGAAGAGAAAGAAGAAACATCGACAGAGGTCGAGAAGCGCCAGAAATGCCTTGTCTCCAACACCCAACGATTTCGAGTTTTCTAAAGCTTTCTCCGATAGCGCGGCATTCACGCGAAAAGTGTCGAAATTCAGCGATGATTCTTCTACCTCGAACCGATCGGTCGTGCGTGGAAATTTCACTGCTGAGAGACTCGATTTAAAAGACATTGGCTATAATGACACAGAGTCAGGTTTTAAGGATTCACTCGATACAATTGTCGATGGAAAAGAGGAATATCCGAGTGAGGAAGTCTTGGAGGATGTGGAATCGTTAAAAAGCGACGATACTTATATTGTAAAAAAATCATCTGATGGTTCGGATAGAAGTAACGCAACATTTATCATTGAGAGTGAACTGCCGGTGCCAATGTCAAGAAAGAAAATCGGCAGGATTCAAGTCACTTAACGTGTTCACATAATATGCATAAGTAACTTGTAAAAATAAGTAATAATAACTTTTAATTGTATTGTAGATATATAACTAACGTAGAAAATGTAGAATTCCAAGTTTTATATTTAACAATGGCGTTTCTATCGATTCATACAATGCATTGATAACTTATATAAAATATTAATTAAGCACATGGCAGTCTGATGAGTATTATTAAAAGGTTTGTAAATTTTATATAAATATTTAACGTATGCAATAATATAATAAATCATGAAAATACCTGAGAAATTTTTCAATTTTTTACATAGAATTAGAAAAACCAACCATGAATAAAAAATCTAATAACAATATGAACAAATAATTATCCTAGAATTTTTTTGGAGACCACACAAAAGCTTAAAGAAATACACAATTCACACAATTGGAAGAATTAATGGACTTCTGCGTACTTCCTTAAAATAATTATTTAATTACATCGTAGTAAAATACCAATTTTTTAAAAATCTTGCTATTATATGCAATTTTATGAGCTAAGATAATACTGATGTAATGAGTGTTAATATAATTCGGTTAATTTGACAAAAATATGGATGATCATTTTCATCAATTTAATAATAATTCAAAGATTGTGATAACGACAAAGTATTATGATTCCGCAACATCACTTGTTCCAAATACATAGGTCGATGGAGCTTCGATGCTTTAGTTGTCCTTATAAATCCTTAGAACACTGTTTGAAAAAACGTAATTTGTAAAGAAATTTTATTTATTTCTTTTCCAATAAGTGTCCAACAGTTGCGTCACTGTCAAATTTAAAGATGTATAAAGCGCTGCTAACACAAAGTCATTCATCTGCGATATTCAACGTCGATCAATGACAAGACTGGACATTGTCAATTAATATTCGTTGTTCCATCCAATTTCGCAGAAAAGATAATAAACGTTCAATCTTACGGAATGATTGCATAAAAATAAAATATTAAAATTAATGATACAAAGCTAATGCGATTTACAAGCTTATTGTGTTGAATTTACCCCTCTAATGAACTTATAGGTGATATATACGTAAGAGTGTTGAAATATACTTTGCGTGTGAGCGCTCTGTGTGTCATTTTGGCGCACTATTCAGTCCAAATTTTAAACGTCTTAGAGCAACTGATTGTTTCACGGTAGTACAATCATTGTTTAGCCGACTGTTGCTTCGGTGCATCGACATCAACGTATTTTCTACCAATAATTTCCTAACAATGGTGGTAAGTAACTGTCTTTAAGGATTATTATAAATATACTGAATTCTTGCGTGAGAATCAAATCGACGGAATTACTAAGAATCTTTCGAGGTTGAGCGTCTCATAGAATGTTGTATAGATTTTTTTTCATATGTTAGTTTTAATGATCAACAATTCGAACTATTCCATGAAGAACTATGGTTTAACCGATTTTTTCAGCTACTCAATATAAACGGCATAAAGCAATTCGATCCTCAGCTATTAACCTACATCGCCACCAATAACAACGCCAAGGTTGTGGACATGCTCAAAAAAGTTGATGCAAGGAAGTTGAGAGATTGTTGGGGAAAGACTTTGCTGCACTGGAGTGCAGACGAGCCCGGAAACCCAGAGATAACAAGGTATTTGATAGAGAAAGACTACAATATCAATGCCCAGGATATCGAAGGCAATACACCATTGGGATTGGCTGTCGAGTCGGATCAAATGGAGATTATAAAAGTACTGGTCGAAGCAAATGCCAACATCTACATTCCGAACAACAGTCGCTTGAATCCCATCGAATACGTGCTGCGTTATTGGAACTTATCGAACACAGACATCGTCAAATGGTTTCTGAATAAACTGCGGGAGGATTGCGGCGAGAACAAGCAGATGTTAGTGGACAAGTTGATGGATTTCAGTTGCCCGATTTACTTCGCCGTGCTGCTGACAGACTCGGAGATAACGCAGAGGATGTTGGACCGCAAGTGCGCGATCGATGCTCGCTGTCCCGAGACATCCGACACCGCGCTGCACGTGGCGGTCGCGCAGGCGGACTTGGCGAACGCGAGGCTACTGGTAGAGCGCGGACTAGGCGTGAACTGCAAAGGCCAGCAGGACGAGACGCCGATATACCGGTACGAGACCTACGACAGCGACACCGACGAGAAGATCAAAGTACTCCACTTCTTAGTGACGAGCGGGGCCGACATGTATATCTGCAAAATTATGGGGACGCCGCCCATGGAGAGGATAATGTCTTGTGCCAACAAGCGAACCCTCGACATGATGCTGAACTTGAAGAGCATCGATCTGCGCAGGACCAACAGCCGCAGCGAGACAATACTGCACTTCGTCTGCAAGAACGACAGCCCGGATGCGGGCCAAGCCCTCCTGCAGCTCCGCGGCCGGGATTTCGACATCAACCTGGCTAACGCGTACGAAGAAACGGGCCTGATGTTAGCGACCAAACGGGCGTACGTGAGTACGGTCAGATCTCTATTGCAGCTGGGCGCCGAACTTGAGATCGAGGACAAGAACTTCCGCACGGCGATCCATCTGACTTATCGCTTTATGAGCGATTACTTTCCGGAACCGCTGAGCCGGTTGCGAACGATCGCCGACATGCTGCTGATGCACGGCGCCGATCCTCAGCGCTTGAGAGGTGGAATCTTGCTGGAAAAATTTAAGCAAAAGGGAGACACGTACATAGCGGAGAGCATCCTCGCGCGCCTAGTGGAAATGGAGGATCAGGACGAGTCCGCGATCACTTCTCACATTCGGCGCACGATCCAGCGCTGCGAATACTATCAAAATTACTTTGATGAGTGTAAAGTCAATCTAGAAAAGATGAAATCGGTAACGGTATTCAATACGATAACGCTCATCGACCTGCTAAATAGATTCGATTGTGCAGCACTTTCGAAACTCGTTTGCTTTGATGAATTCACCACTACGTACAAGCTGACCATGTCCAAGAATATCGACTGGATTCCGCATTATTATATCTTCGTTATTCAAAATCGGGTCATTATCCCCGGGATAGACTACACAGTCAAAAACCTTACTAAGAAATTCTTAAACTTGATGAATTGAGCTCAGGTCACGTTATTGCATGCTCGCCAAAGGAAATCGTCAGGAAGGAATTATGTGGATGCTGATCGTTCGGACGGTATGATCAAAGCAATTTTCGTAAGACTCGAGTATCCCTTAACTTTTGTATCAGTCAAACGTAATTCATTCAACTTTGCTTTTCAATAAAATAATCATTATATTAATTTTGTCTATCATCTCGCCACGAACCATCCTTATCAACGGCAAGTAACGGCAGTCTCATATTCTTTAGACTTTCACAGTTTTTAACTGTAACCTACGCTATTTATCAGTGTAAACTTTATGACTGCAGAATAATATGATTCGCTTACTTGTACTGGATAGACTACGTAATTAGCGTATTGTCAACCTTCGAATATTTGAACGCCTACACGCAGAGCCACGCATAACAGGATTAGATCGCTGTTCAAAACATAATGTATTATCCACTGCCAGTCAATCCTAGCTACTATGAGTCACAGTAGCTAGGTATCGACTCGAGGATCGATCCGAGGAGCTTTCTTTCGATCGCCGAAGTAAAAACTCATGTGACGGCAGTGACCGGTGGAAGCGGTTGCATTGGCGCTTCTGTATGTCCAAATACGTTCTAGCGTCCTTCGCAATGGTGGTACGTACAAATAGTGAGCGTTTGTTTTGAATGAACCGTATTCACAACGGGGAATTACCTCCATAGTAAAACGAAAAATAATCTTCAGTTGGACAAAGAAAATAATGATCGACTGACTGTGCAGTGCAAAAGTAGTGTTTCTCTTATTGATTGAATTCAATGAGTTGTCGTTCATAGTACACACTGTGCCTTCAACCACATTTCTAAGAGCTTCCAATCGCACATTTGAGCGTTTCTTTCAGCTGTACGTGAAAGATGGCGAGAGGCGATTCGACAGTCACCTATTAGACTTCATATCGAAAGGCAAATATGAAGAGGCTCTGATGATGCTGCAGAACATTGATCCGTGTAATCTGTCCGATAGTTCCGGGAGGTCGTTGCTGCACTGGACTATACTCCGCTGTGAAATCAATGGCGGAAATGTGTACATGATACAGTATTTTATCCACAAGGGTTGTAATATCAATGCTCAGAATGAAGATGGAGATACGCCGCTGCTGTTGGCTGTGAAGGCCAAGCAAACGTCAGCCGTGAAAACTTTGATCCAACTGAACGCTGACATCTTTCTGCCGAACAATTTCGGCTGCACTCCAGTTCAACACGTTCTCAACAAATATCCGTTATCCGAAAAAGATATCGCGAAGCTGTTTCTCCGTAAATTACAATTGCATTGTGGCACAGACAAACGAATGTTCGCCTTCAAATTGATGAATTACCAATGTCCAATTTACTTCGCCGTGCTGCCGAGAGACGCGGAGATAACGCGCACAATGTTGGACTCTGGCTGCTTGGTCAATATTCGCTGTCCCGAAACATACGACAACGCGATGCACGTGGCCGTCGCGCAATCGGACTTGGCGAACGTTAAGCTGTTGTTGGAACGCGGAGCGAATGTTAACAGCTTGGGTTGCGAACGGAAGACACCTTTGCAACATTACGATGTTTCCGCCAACGATACGGAGGAGAAGATTGCAATGCTGAAGGTCTTGATGACATGGGGAGCATCGTTAAGAATTACCGAAGGCTCCGTAACACTCTTGGAAAAATTCATGCGCAGAGGAAAGAAAGGGACTGTACGCGCGTTGCTTCAATCTCCAGGCATTGATTGGCGGGCGAGAAATGCTTTGCGTCAAACCGCCATTCATTTTATTGCGTGCTGCAATAAAAATCCAGACGTAGAAGAGCTCATTCCATTGTTTCGTGGCAAAAATTTTGATATTAATGCACTTGATTGCAATGGCAATACGGCATTGATGCTATCTGCAATGGAAGGACACGTGAAACAGGTCGAATACCTGTTGAAATTAGGCGCAAATCCAAATATTTTGGATCAACATGATCATACTCCACTTTATTACATCTGCAAGCAGTTGAACAATGCCCAGCGGAAACCAGTCGAAAATTACCGGCGAATAGCCGAACTCCTGTTAGTGTATGATGCTGATTTTCAAAACACCAGGTATAGAAATTTTCTAAGTATATACAGCGAGGGCTCTAACGACCCCTATATCACGGAGAGCCTTATTGCTAAGTTAGCAGAAATGGAGCTTGTAGATGCAACTGTGCACAGTCAGTTCACCCGCCATGACATGGAAGAGGTGCAAAGATATCGCGAGTATTTTTATTTCTGCCAACAGAGTCTTGAGCATATGAAATTAGTGCAAGTCGACGGTTTTTTTACGTTATTTGACCTGTACACGGGAAATAACAAAAAACAAATTATACGATACGCGCGAAAACGTGTATTTGCGACAGCGTCTCAGCCGATGATCATCGATAATTTCAATTCGTTTCCGCATTATTATTCCAGTATTATATTGTGGCGAATGGCTGCAGCTGAAAAAGTAGCTAATTTGGAGCTACAATCTATGGATTTTATTTCCATGAGTATGAAACTATATCAAAGTCGCGTCATTGCTTGCAAAATTCTTAAATATTTAGACGAATACGATATGATAAATCTGCTGGGATTGGTGTAAATAAGGATAGCTTGGCTTTTTTAATCAAACGTTTTATTTCAATATTTCAACTTACTACATGAAAACAATTTTACTACGTAACTTTTAAGAATATAATTTTAATAGATTTGACTCTATGATCAATATCCACATTAATTCTGCTAAGAAATAAAAATTTTTTAATGCAAGAACAAAGTATTGCTTTTGGCTTTTATTTTCCAAATATCAATTTATTTTCACGTGTGTATTTTATAATTAGAAAACTAATGCTGTCCTTCAATGAGAATGTCAAACTACACCATTATTGTAGAGATATTCTAAAATCTTTTATATTTAATGAAACCAAAATATCTTACGTAACCGTGTAACTTTCTTTCTCCTGCATTTAGGAGCTCTCTCAGTAAAATTGTGCATAAAGTACAGAGTTTTATTTTATCTTTCATTAAAGAAAATTAGTCAGGCTTAGTTCATTCAAAAGAATTCCGTTTACTTATCGAAATTCAACCACCGATAAACAAACGAGTCTTGCAATTAAGAAACGTAAACCTTTGCCTTGTGGATTCTTAGGACGACCACAACTAACAGATAACTAGTCAGGCAGAAATTTCAATTGTTTGGCTGCTCTTATCCGAACATAAGGCCACGATCTCAGTCGCTCAAAGTCCCGCAGCTACGCGTCCGCTCACGGCGTAATTATACAAATTCGGATGTATATGTTCACCCGCATTTTCGTTAAGGTATCTATGTCTTTTTTACGGAGTCAAGGGTGACTAATTACATTGACCTGATTATTATCGCGCAGCGCATGATACTCGCGATCCCAAAACTGTGACAACCTTGTGACTCACACCATGTCAATCGGGTCCCGCAGCGTAGGGTTGAAAGGTCGCGCGCACGATGTCTCAAGGTAAGTTATCCCCACTTGGGACAAGCTGCTTATTAGTTATGACACGCTATAAAATGGTAAAGCTTCTCGCCGATTGACACATTTGCAAGCGGCGGCCGATGCTCAAGCAGCATGGCTCGAGTTGTCATTACTGTTGTGGCCGTCGCAGTTGTGACTCTTCAGACCTCCGAGGCGACTATTTTTTTACCGGCAAACGTGAGTCTCGGAAAGAAATATTTGTGTATTCGCTATTGACTATTATCAGTCGCAAGCTGTTATTGTTAGCGCACGAATGTTGATGTTGCAGACTTTTTTCGATTCGCTTCCAGCATTCCAGACGACCAATTCAAACACATCTCTCAACTTTTGTAAACACTGTGGTGATTAAAGATTCATAAATTAAGTAACAACTTGATACGACACGGTCGGCCAATTTTTTCAATGCTTACAGCTTGTGGAGTCAACCGGCGAACGAGAATAGTGAACGGCGAGATAACGACGTTCGAGGAGTTCCCATGGGCGGCTCAAATCAAATACCACCACAATCATCACTGCGGAGGCAGTTTGATTACAGCAAGACACATTCTCACAGCTGCCCACTGTCTCTACGAGTAATTTCTTGAATTCTGATGCCAAGAGCAATTAGCGATTCTCGTTGTAAACAATTACTCTGTTTTATTGCTAGGTTTGACCAGAAGTCGTTCACCATTCATTTGGCCAATGGTGCTACGTACAGAGTTAAAAGGGTGAAAATACACCAGCAGTACGAGCATGCCAATAACGACAACGACATCGCGATCATCGAACTGAATAGGGCCGTAACATTGGGCGTAGCTGTGACAACCGTGTGCCTGCCCAGCGCGCGTGAGTGCAGCCTGAGTAACGATGGCGATTTCGGCTTGACATGACATTCTTATGCGCGTACATTGCAGCGACGTTCAAGCAGTACGGTGGACGGACAGCGGTGGCCATTGGCTGGGGAAGAATCGGATCCAGCGAGCCCGTTAGCGAGGATTTGCGCAAAGTCGATCTGCCCATAATGTCCGATGAGGAATGCTTGCAAGCGGATTACCGCAAGAATCGCATCACCGACAACATGTTCTGCGCTGGATACTTCGAGGGTGGACGCGACTCTTGCAAAGTGAGTTGATCGTTGAGCTAGCGAGTGACGCGGCGCTTCGCGTGTCGATTACGTAAAATCAATTATTTCAGGGCGACAGCGGCGGTCCACTGCTGGTACGTAATGACGTCGGCGCAATGGAAGTTGTCGGTAAGTGCTCAATTTATTTCCTGAGAGTAGCTGCACCTTAGCAATAAACTTGTTCGCGTCACTGCGCTGTTAATATTTTCAGGTATTGTTTCATTTGGCCGAGGCTGCGCCAAGCCAAGATTCCCGGGGGTTTACACCAAAGTCTCCAATTATTTGGGATGGATCGGACAGAATTTACGCAACGAATGCCTTTGCTCGCCAGCTAGTGAATTATAGCGTGACAAGATGCACGGTGCTGCACGTTAAACAAACTAACGCGAGAATCATGTGATCACAATAGAAACTCGCTTGAGAATTCTTCGAAATGAAGAAACAAAATTCAGTCCCTTTGATAATGGGTGTATTGGAAAATCTAGTCAAGATATTTATTGAAATCATAAATAAAATTGAAAAAGATACCTATAATTAACGACTTTGGTATTATTTAACAATCAACATTTTTTATTTTTTAATTATAACTCGACAAAATTAAAAAGCGTTAATTTGCATTGCTTTATGTAGCAAGGAACATACAGAACCTAATCATCTGGTTATTTATATCAGTCACTGATTATTTGGATTATATTAGAGAGAACTTAAGCAGTGAATGCTTCTGCTGAACATCAAATAAATCAGGCTAGAAATACACATATAAGATGACTTATCTCTCATGTAGTACTTATGCTGATATAAAAAGGACACAAACTTAGTACATAGGCTGCGTCAAACGAAACATAACGTTTGATATAAACAGCAGCATACAAAGATAGACCTGTGTAATCTCATGATTATCTATGCAATATATTTTCTGAGAGAAGAGATTGTGTATCCCTTTTCAAACGATATTGTCATAGTATATAGTTAAATGAAGCTCGAATGTGCATTATATTTACAATCTAAGATTCTAAAAGAATCTTAGAGTTCCAAATAAAGTTTTCTTTAATCGGGTAGACTACTCTCAAACCACCACAAGTATCTAAAAATGCGTAAATAAACACCAACGTTTTGTTACCAAGATTAAAATATATTAAAAAATTATTTATTATAATTTCTGTTACTCTTATTCCGAAATTGCTCAACAAAAACTTAAAAATACTTGCGTAAAATAAAAATTAAACAAAATAATGAACTTGGCGTGAATAAATTATACACGCGACACATAACAAGAACCAGCGCGCACGCATCAGGTGGAACTCATAGATCCAACGGGAACCGCACGATCTTTATACAACACTGGATCTTTAACGGAGTAGGGCGGCTCGTTGTCCTCGGAAACCCAGACAGCGCCGGATTCAGCCTCCTCGATCATTTGGACGATGGCTTTGCCAACGTTCTCTGGCCTGTAAACGGGATAAGTCGAGAATGTACTTTCGATCAATCGTTTGCAAAAAAAAACGAATACAGCAATATAACGGCGCATACTGTTGGATGTATTTTGAGCACTGGAAAGCCTCGTCGATGAATTTGTCGGGGATGATGTTTAAGACGTCTTCCTTGATGTTCTGGTGCAGCAGACTAGTTTCCGTGATGCCTGGGCAGATTGCCATGACTCGCACGCCAAGATGCTGATAGTGATCCTGAGAAACAAGGACGTTCACTTAATCGGAAATACTAAAAGGCTTTGCATTTGAAAAGCAAAGTGCACCTAATTACACTCACCTTCATGGCTTTGGTGAATCCGTAGACGCCGAATTTGCTCGCAGTGTAGATCGGAAAGGCAGCCGCAGTTCTGAGGCCGAAAATGGAACAGACGTTGACGATGGCACCGCCTTTGCCATTATGATGACGCCCCATGCGATCGATACCGATAAGTGTGCAATTGATCGTTCCGGTCTGAGAAGAAAAATGTTGGATGAAATACTGCTATTGAAAAATGACAAAGATTGGAATGACCCCTTGAGCGTGTACGCGCACAATATGCGCACAGACAATAAAATATCGCGCATCAATAGATTATTGTACAGCACAAAGGCGCTCTTATTTTGGACGTCTTTTAGTCTCAGATACGTGGATAAGCGTATTACATAAAGGCAAATGAGCTACTTAGCACTGATTTGCATTGACAATCGATATCGATACTCTTCGAGCGTGTTAGCAGCGACGCGGAAGAAGCGCTTCGGGTTCGCGTTTCGAAGTCGGAGGAAAGCGAGAGAGAAGACTCGGCCGAAGTCGGGCAGTCTGCAATTCGGATGGAAATGGAAATGGAAATAGTGTATTTGTCCGTCTGATAAGCTATTCGGAGACAAGATTATTTACCAACACTACGCAGGAGAGCGCAATCGTCGACGGTCGTGTTTACGTTTTCAAAGCCGACTCGGTCTGCGCGCAGTGCGTTATCGCGCGCGGCAATAAATCTGCCTACTTACCAAGTTGGTGTCGATCATGTGGTGCGCTCGCCTCTCGTCTACGATGTTGGCGTAATTGACCAGGATGTCGACCGATCCCTGCATACCGACGATCTCGTCGTAACGCGCCGCGAACTCGCTGGTGATGGTCACGTCGCAGGTGTAAAAGTCGGCCTTGAACGTGCCGAACTCCTGCTCGATCTTCTTCACGCAGGCCGCGGCTCTGGTGTGCATCGAGTCCAGATCGAAGATCGCCACGTACTGTGCGCGTCCCAATCTATTTTTAGCGAATTCCAGAGGAGAGCAAAAAGGTCAAGGTCGATAGGTTACCTTAGCCTCGTGCCTGAGCAGAGCTTGGACGGCGGCGAAACCGATGCCACCGGTTCCGCCGGTCACGATCACGACCTTGTCCTTCACTTCCATGGCTGCGCGACGGAGAAAGAGAGCTGCTACTGGCACGAGAGCACGCCAACGACTAAACTCACTCGATCCAAACAGACGTCTCGTCTCGTTCGCTCGTTCGCTCGCTCGGTCGCGCTGCCTTCCACTAAATTGGACAGATAGACCAGTCACCAGTCGGAATTGATGGAATTTCCATTTTCCATGTCTCGGTCCACCAGGACTGCCAGGGACAGAGAAATCTGGGGGGGGGGGGGAGACGCAGGCTAATCGCTTGATCTACTGATAGTCTTCCATGAATCAGTCGCTGACTTTGAGAGTCCAATCTTTATATCCATCCGCGTCTCGGATGTGGCGATAATGCTAGACCAAAATCCTTATTTTACTACTGCAATAAATGTGCGGCAATTCATGCGATGGCCGCTCTAAACTTATGCGTGCGCCTCTGTGTAATCTTAATTGGCGTATTTAGTCATTGATGCGACTTTTAGATCTTCTTCGACACACTATTATAACGGTTTGTTTGCTTACTGTGAACGTGATGAGACTAAGACAGAAACAGACATTTATTACCCTGATCTATCCGACAACTAAACGCTTTTTTGTTTTTTTCCAAAAGTCTCATTGTTAATTTTATTACCGTTAAAGATAAAAATTATTTTATATCTTCATTGAAAAATCAGTTTCAGTGGGGATTTTTTAATCTCACTGATAAGCTTGATTATGCAGAACGTACGTTTATTTCAATTGTAGCATACTCCGAATAATAATATAAGCGACAATACAATTTTTATAAAAATAAGGATTGTCCAGATCGTAACATATTTCTATCCAACATTTTGATATAAATTACTGCAAAAACATGTCCCTTTTTAGTTATCCACTTGAAGGTTATCGTTAACGTGTTAAGATTTCTGGCTCTACTGCAGTTAATTATGAACAATAAATACTTGCTTCTTTCAGAAGAAAGAGTTTCGCAATAGACAGCTTTTTCTCTCCTAATATACACGTCAACAGCAAAATTCACAGCAAATAAATGTGAAAGTTTAATTTATTGACAATAAATTGAACAAAATCAATTAGCAAGCACGCAAAAGGATCTGCCATTCGAAAAATCCGTAAACATTGAATTAAAAAGTTTGTCAATGATCGAGATCGTTTTTTTTTCGTTGATTTTATAAAGAATAAATACACTAATAGAAAACTAAAGTCTCTGACCTAGTGATGCCATAGAAATAGTATATTTCGATGTATTTATATCTCGCTGAACACGAATCCAGCCAAATATTACTTGATCGTCACTTTCCAGTTATTTTTTTATCACAAAAATTAATCAGAAAAAGTAGAATACGCGTTTTCTCATGAATTTACTCATATTTACTAGTTTTATTACATTTTAGAGATAATTCTAGTTTTACGCATTGAGAAATTAACTAAAAAGACCTTGATTTTTTTTATTTGTAATTTGAAATTCGCAAATACCAATAAATCGTTTAAACATAACGAGTAATCTGACTATTCACTATAACACTATCACCTTTTTGTTCGTGGTGAATGCAATCAATGTGGTTTAGCGGATAGATCTCGTTAACTACTTAAAAATGCAAATATTTCGTAAGTCAAATTTAGATACAATCTGACCATCACTCTGATCATCGCTGATATCTATGCCAAACTTAGATAATACTTGTTTCGATGAGCTCGATCACTATCCCTGACTTCGCGTTGTCAGGGAAGACATTGATGAGGCCGCCTCGAAAAGCCTTAGAATTAGGATAGGGAATTCCAGTGTTAATAATTTCACTTCAATAAGCAGTGATTTATTTAATATATGTCGTCAACACTCTTGTTATATTTTATAATTCTTTAATATGTTTAAACATTATAAACAACCAAGTAAGAATATAGTTCATTATTAAAACAAGATTATTTTGCACTAGCTAAACGCTATCACCCTAGCCCGGACAATGATCTCGACAGCAGTCACTACAAAATTGTCTGGAGCGCATTGTGATGTGTGCGTACAGCAGATGATATACAACATAAAACTATTTAGATAATTGTCAATTTCGCGGAGATTATCAAAGTCCAAACTGCTAGAACATAGATTATGCGCAGTAAAATATATTTGTGCTGGTTATGCCTGGGCAAATGTACACAATCTGAATCCAAAGTTGTATTTAAGTTGCATAAAGCCCGTATAATGCATACTTTAAAAAAAATTAGAAATCAATTAGTCGATCGCTTTATTCTACCTTCGCGCCTTAGACGGAAGCCAGGACAGAGTGTCTCGTACCTGCATATAGTATCCCGAGGAGAAATGAACCAATATTCACGATTTTACATTGACGTAATCGAGTGCATTCGTAGTATACTTCACTACTGCTTTGTAACTTGCATTGAGTAGATTGAATTGAAGTTGCAACTTTGCTAGATTCAGGGCGAAAATCAAGCGTTACCTACAAAATTAACGTCGATTACGAGGCTTCATTAATAAGAACGTTGTCGTCGTCGTAGGGCTTTAATCGGAAGATGGAAAACGGCTGAAAAAATAAGCGAGCTTCCCTTCTTTTCACTTGCAAGTACAACTGAAGACTGTACCTTTTAAACTATCGGGATCAGCAGTACTACAATAGAAATTCTTTTTCAGCAATATCAAGTGATCAATCACTGTAATACTGACTGTAGCGATGAATTTTGCTTCCTTTCGCAAATAATTTGCGAATGTTGAAAAAATACCAGCTATTCCACCAGTAGCAGATACCATTACTTTATGACGGTGATGTTTCACCGAAGATAGATTTTTTGTGATTACGGAGTTGTCGTTTTCCTTCTTATTATCGTGGTAATGTTGGTTATTATTGCCATGCATGAAAATGTTTGCTAAAGGCAAAATAATATTAGAGTTAGGTATGGTTTCACAGATGCTAATAGGAGAGAAATAATTAATGGCTATTTAATAAGCGTATTGTATGATTTATTTGATGTATATTGCTACATGGTTATACTTATTTTTAAATCATATAAAAGGCGATAGCTCGCTCATTATCATTCATATGAAAAAATAAAAAATCCAAGCTTAACCTTAATTAATTTATTTGTATACGTTTCCAATGATCGACAATGTTCATGATGTACGGTGGTTGATCTTCCTCGATAACCCAGACATCGCCGCTTCGTCCTTGGTCGAAGACGACGTCAACGAGACCATTGGCAACGTTTTCAGGCCTACGTGTTGCCAACAAGACCCATGAATAAACTCATAAAATTATTGGTAACATGCTGGACTTACGATTGAGACGAAGGAAACAATTGAAGTGCTCCACTAGTATCGATAAAATCCAATCCTTTAGGAATGTCGTTAAGCATTCCTGTGTTTGTTGCTCCAGGACAAATTGCAATAACCCGAACACCGGTCTTATCGTAATGTTGCTGCGTGTAAAAAGTGCGAGTTCAAATAATTAAATCGATCGTCTGCAAGTAAATGATAATCTCACTTTCATCGTTCGCGTAAAGCTAACGACGGCGTGCTTGGTAGAGCAATAAATGGGCAGAAAAAGGTCCGCTAATCCTAGAATCGAGGCGAGATTAATGATCACACCGCCTTTTCCACCTTTGTGCTTTCCCACCCGTTCGATCATCATTAGACTGCTTAACACCACTGCTTTCTGGAAATTCAGATGATTTGGCTTTTTCAATTTCAAACCCAATCTTATTTTCAATATATACATTATTTTTTAACTTACGTAATTAATATCAATCATACGTTCTAGAGCATTTTCGTTGATAATACCCGCGTTATTTATCAGAATATCAATAGTCTTGTATTTTTCGTGAACCTTGTCGAAATTGCCTGTTGATCAATTTCAAGATTGCATTCGTTTAATTTTAATTTGTTCATTAGTTGCAGTATGATTTTACCTTTCAACTTCAAGGTGTTTGTAACATCGCAAGAATAAAACTCCACCCTATTGCCGTGTATCTCTTCTAACTCGAAGAAAACCTTTGCTGAATTTGGAGTTACCAATTCGAATAAAGCGATGACCTGTTCATTCAACTCAATGTGATATTTATTATTTGAATGAATTTTCGAATCTTCAAAGCAATCAAATCAGACCTTTATCTCTGTTGTTAATAATTTTTTAACAATAGACAAACCAATCCCACAAGTTCCACCAGTAATAACGACGATTTTTTCTTTAAAATCCATGTTCAATATTTTCAATACTTTAGCTTACTGTTTTGAACGTACGAGCAAATTGCGGAAAAAGACAAACTCTATCAACTGAGAAATATTAATTAAAATATGGACGCGCTTATATAAGCGTCAATTCTTATTGGAGTTATCTTGCTTGGAATGATAAAGCTTTATCGAATTTTACAAAGAGATATGAATACTTTTATTCTGTCATAATATTATAGAATAACTTTCAATGAATAAATAAATTTTTATTATTAATTTCAATGAAAATTTGAAATGGTCTTGAACAACATGAGCTTAGTATTTACTTAAAAATTATTCAATCTAATTTAAAGAATACTTGTTTTTTATTTTATGCTATGTTACATTCCACTATTCTAGATGAGAACTTAGTAATCATCCATATATTTGACGGAATAAGATGGTCCATTTTCTTTGGAAATGTAAACATTTCCGCTTTTTCTATACTCGATGATGTACTCTACATTCACTGGTATTATATATCGCTACTTCTTTTATCAGTAATTGAAAATTTTATTTTGATAATATAAGTATATATTGACATACATGTTTCACATCGATCGCTTGTTCAGCGATTGGAGCGTTAAAAGTATTAACATTATTTTTTAGAATTTCGATGGTTCCATAATTAATTAATATTTTATAAAAAATATAAAATAAAATAATTTTGTTTTCGAATGTTTTTTTTATTTAACTGACATACATTAATGTTCATCACGTTTACTTCGAATTGTCACTAGTTTGACGTATAAAATCATATCTATGGTAGTTCACGATTATAACAAATTTGACAAATTCATTGCGATATATAAAAAGTATACAAAAATAAAATCACTTGTTAATCATAATATGATATGCATTCCTTTCTTTCCGGTAAAACTATTTCCACACATGATTTTAAACAAATGTTTCCTTTAACGTTATTTTCGAATTTGCAATTTTCCACGCAAGTATCCGGTTCACTTTGTAACAGATTCACATCCCCTGCTTTAAATTTAGATTTAGTCATTTTTTCAGATCCTTTACGAATTCCATATTCCTTGCAATTTGTAAAGGAACAACTATTAGCTGATAATTTAGACTTATGATTAAGCTGAAATGCAATATGTTATTAATTATTAAATATCCTAATAGTAATTCTACAGATAAAAAAATAAAGAAAATATTATTACCTCCAATCCTTCAACACAGTTATCAAAACTACATTCTGATAGAATAGTTTCAGCTGAATTACTTACAACAATACCAGTCCCCAAACCAATAAAATAAGTATTATGAGCAATAAGTCTTGCACCAGGTAGAATTACAATCCCAAGTTTAATTATACTTTGATTACGAACAACAATATAACAATTGTTTAATTTTAATAATCCTTTTCTTACAATAATTCCAGTTTGTATTGTCCTCAATTCTACAGTAATATTTTCTAAAATAACCTATCATATATAAAGATCATCATTAATGTATTAAAAAATCAATGTATTATTTAAAAATATATATTAAATTACTACTTTACCTCATCCCCTGAAAAATCTAATAAACATGGTCCAATTCCAGTTGTCCTTGGAAATATAATATTTGATTCTGCCTTACCAGTTCCTTTTAATACTCCACCGTTTTCTAAATTTCCAGCATTTTTTATTTGATGTTCTCCTTTGCCAATAATAATGATATCACCTGTGTTTGCTATATCTAAAGCTTCTTGTAAGCAATTGGAAGTTCTGGAAAATTAAAGTTTTATTAAAAAATAATGAAAAACAGTTTATGCATTTTATACAGAGTAAATAATTACTTTGTAAACATATTAGAAGGTAAGAAATCTTGAGTAGATTTTAATGCTTCAATGGTTTCTTCCAAGCTTCCCCCAAGCCAAATAAAATGAGCTTCTTTTTGTTGTCCTCTATTTTCTCGTCTTTTAATTTCTATTTCATTGTTTTTACTTTTCACAAGGAATTCTCTCATCGCTGGATTTTCTAGAATTACCATTTCATCTTTTATTTGATGAAGTCGCAAGTGCAATTTCATTAATTTACACACTATCTCTTTCTCTTGTTCCTCTTCATCATCAGAAATATCTAATCCAAGTTTGTCAATTTTTTCTTGTATATCTTTACCTTCCCTAATCAAAGTTCTAATTAAATCACTTGTTTTCTTGCTCACTATACCTTTTTTCATGTCAAAGAACAAAGTAAGTCTGGTGTCCAAATGGTTTCTAAACCAATCACAGGTTTCGTCGTCATCAGCATCCCAAGGCATCCACAAAAAGTTATAGAAGAATCTCAACATGTCAATGCATTCGGCAATAGTATCCATGTGATATAACATATCACGGTTCCTTTTTAAAGGGTAGAGCTCTATTAGTGGTACATTATACTCAAATGGCAGATGTATATCATCTTGAACAGCTCTAATTCTCACTAATGCTGAGAGATCATCAGACTCTATTTCTGCTACAACAATTAAAACAATCGTGGGATAATGAATATTCAATTCATGGCAAGTTAAGTATGGGATTTTCCAGAGAGCTTCCCATCCAGCCTCAAGAGCAATATCTGTTTCATAACTCCATTCTAGTTTAACTTCAGATGCAGGAATAATTTTGTCTTTTTTGTAATGGAGCACTTTTGTAAAATATTCGTATCTCTCTAGATAACTTTTTTCAAACGTATATATTTCCATTTTAACCAACTTATAGAGGAAATACAATAAAGGTTAATAACTTTTTCAGATTGTATTTTGATGAGCTGAGAAAATAAGCTGCATTCAATAACCAATAAGTTAAAATCCGAAGTTTTTGGATTATCTAGCACAGATATATGCGTATGTATGTACAACGTATTTTCACTGTCAATCAAAAAATTATATAATAATAATATCAACAGTTTATTTTATCTTAGTTTAATAATAATATAGTGTTTATTTCAAATACCTATAGGTATAGCACAATAGTCACGATATGCCACAACGCCAACACACTAACACAAGTCAGAAGAGTTCATTCACAAGTAAACTGTGTAACTGTCAAAGGCTTTAAATTCAAACATGCACGGAAACCAGGGATAAAGGCGGTAAATTGGAATTATCAACTACATAGATAACATAAAAACGTATTTATAAATAAATCGATTTTTCAATTTTGATTTGAAGAATATTTTATTTTATTCTTGCGAGTGAATATAGCAGTATTATCAAAATAATCAATGTCAATGTTAAATTTTTATAGTTTGAATTAATTTTGTTATCTCGTCTTTTCGTTCAAGGGTTTCAATGATCACCGTTTGAGAGCAGCACCGATCAATTTCGTATATCATTACCCATTCCACGTTTATGTGATATTGTGATTCGTCAATTACTGTCACAATACACACATGACATACATGTGTTTATAGTTTACTTATGTTTTATTATGCCGTAAGTTTATATTTTACTAGATAACGTTTTTGATTAATTGACCGAGCTATACATGTTTTTTAAAGTAATAGGAAATTAAGTACGTCTATTTGTTTACGTAGATAGAGTTTCGATGTACTTTTTGTTAAAACAATACATACTTATATATTTTAGTGAATTTAGCATTTTAACCTACAATTTTTCAACTTATCAATAAACACATGTGTTCGTAAATTTGAAAAAATATTATTTTAGAGATAATTTATTAATTAAAAATTAAGCTATTTTTTTGTTTGACGGAGGATTAAGCAGTAAATCTTTAATTTAGTCGTAAATATTAGAATTAATTATTTAATTAATAAATTTATGAAATCATTTATCCTGCTAATTTTTAAAAAAATATTACAGATAATCAATAATTCCATGCTAAATTGTGCATTTTACAAAGGTTAGTTTCTAATTTTACTATTAATAATAACATTTACATTTTAGGTCTTCAATTTAAAATACTATCAGTTAGTTAAACTGTGTCAGAAGCAACGTTTTTTATTGTCACCAACAAAGAGGTTAAGATCTGAAGTACTGTTTACGCAAAGCCCAAGCATGGTGGAAACTAAAATGCTCAGTCAGAGCCAATCTGACAGAGAAACGCAATTTGGCAATGCTCGACAATTGGACCCATCTAACAGCATTTTTGTCTTCAAGGATACACTGTCAGACTATGAAGAGCCACCATCAGACAACGAGGTAAGCCAGTCAAATTTAATTCATTTGTCTAAGTGGAACCTAATTTATCTATTCAATGCAAGCATCATATATTTGCTTATGCCAGACGGCAAGCTTTTACTGCAGAATCTAAGACTAAACAATTCTCTTTGTGGGCTCATATAAAATTGAATTTTTATTTTTGGTACATCTATTCTTTGATTTTCTGAATAGTTGTCTAAGTATTGCAGTTGTTATGATTTATAATAGTTCTGAGATATATTGGAAGAATAAACAACCACTGGATTCGAACTTTTTGATTTCTACTTCATTATAAGTTATATTAATTCAATTGACATATAAGCTACTAAATTAGCTGCTGTATGTATTATTTTTTTATAGTATTTCAATGCTATAACAAATCGAATACAATGGCTCAACATATGGTAATTGCTAATACAGAATTCCATTAATTAATATTTCGTCACAAGCACCTAACGAAGATGTAAATTCACAGTTGGAAAAAGACAATTAGCAAGGCACTTTGCTCGTCTAATTGTGCTTTGTGAAAACAAACGCGACACATTGTGAGTGATTTTTTTGTCACTCGCGTAATGAACTGCGCGACGCGGAAAAGTCCGTGGCATACGCGCATAAATCCTTGCGGGTCATCTCAAATTTGGGGTCTCTCTCCGCTACGACGACGACGAAGACGACAATGCCGCATGTCTGAAAATATCCTACCTAGAGAGCAACCGACGTCGCTCGTGTGCTTTATGGCTATCAATCACTACTCCGAAGAAGAAGAAGACGAAGAAGAAGTAGAAGACGAAGAAGATGAAGATGAAGAAGAAGAAGACGAAGACGAAGAAGACGAAGAAGAAGAAGAAGAGAAACGGAGCAGAGTGGGTCCCTAAAATAAACCCCGAGAGTTGAGAAAAGCGCAGTGCAGCGCACCAGAGCGCCATCCACTAGCATCTGCTACACTTTTTTCTTATCTCTCTTCTACTTTTCTCCTCCGCAGTGGAGGCGTCTTCTTCGGCTTTCAGCGACTTGGCGAAGTTTGACGCCTACAGCTCCCAAGTCGACTGTCCTTTCTCCGGTTTGCGACCAAGTTTGTTGGACGGCAGACGCGCGTGTTGCCATGAATCACTTTTCATGTTAATCTTTACCGCAGATGACCTATAGCATTTTGGTGTGATTTCTCATAGCCCTGCCCTGAAAGTACTTGCGTTTTATTAGGAATTGAGCAGCTTTAAGCTTCATCGAAAGTTATTTGAAATTGAAGTCGATGGAAATTTGGTAATTATTGTTCAACCTGATGTCGGAGCAGCATGCAATTTGTTTATTAAAAATGTTCAATATGTTCATGACTCCGTGACACTCTGTCCGAACAAAAGGAAATTTGTTTCATTCAAAAATGCATAGCTTTAATTTGAAGCAGATACGGTAACTTGCACAAAAATTGGTGAAGATCTATTGAAAGTTGCAGATGAAAATTTGACGCAACGAGAATAATTTGTGAGCACCGAAAATCAAGCTAGCACACTCGGTACGGTGTTTATACTGGCACGTGCGTGTACAAATCGCACGACAATGCGAAATTGCTAACCAGAGCGCGATTCGCTAGAATTGTGAACCTTCAAGCTCGTTTAATTTATGTAGCATTGCGTCAGAATTAGCATGAAGCCGCGTTTTCTTCATGCCAAGAAAGCGAGTCGTTTAAAGGGGCCTCGTATACATATATATGTGTGTATGTATATATACGTATATATATACATATATATATATATATTAATAATCCACACGAATAGAAAATATTAGGGTCGCGAGTGGTGCACGACCGGTACAAAAGGACGGATAACCCTCCGGCATTTCGGAAACCCTGGCGCCGCCCTTTGAGGATTCCACTGCGCCATTACGACGCTATTGTCGCGAGGCCACAGCTTTCTTTCCCTTTGCAGGGAAACGACTCCTGAGCGTTGCGCGGCGAGTTCGATAGCCAATTGTTGCTGCTTGCAAGGCTTGGTCTTTTCGTCGCACTTCGGAGACAATCTTCTGTATCTTAATCATTTTCAGAAATATATCACGTGGGTATTTTTACGCCGGTAATTATAGCAGCGTCTATTTTCAGACGTCTTTGTTATATTTTTCCTTTTTTCAAGCTGAAGTTATGATTCGAAACTTCAAATGTTTTGACCTTTGAAGCACCGTCAATTTTGTAACGAAACTCGCTCTTCTCATCGAAATATAAGTTGCACACTCTCGCACAGGCGCTTGACTTAATGAAAAACTGCCATGCACAAAAAAAACAAACAAATTTGAGTGAAATAATATTGATAATGATTAGTAATGCTGAAAATGAAGAAAATCAAAGTGTAAGGTGATGTATATCAATCAAGTGTATCTTAAAAGTGAAGTAATGGAGGTCTAGTAGTGCACTCAGGAGCAACACGGCGAACGCACTTGAGTCATAGAAGCCGCGCTAGGCGAGCAGTCTATATTTGCAATGACGAGGCAGGTGCCCGACTGTCGGCGAGCATTCTGATGCGTTTTGACACCTCTCGCGAGCGAGCGATGTTTTATGGACCGCGAAAATCGCGCTCTCGCTTGAAGTTTCACTTGACTTTTGTCTCTCGCGGTGGCTCGTCGTTACGGAATTTCTGCGCGCCCCGCGGCTATTTCGACTTTGATAGATTGAGGTGCCGACAATGTTTTACATTATTAGACATCAAACATCATATGTCACGGCGGGGGTGATTGAAGAGCGTGCGTTGCCCCTTGCCAAACCCTGCGGCGGGTTGAGGGCTCTGAAAAAATGACTGCGCGTAAAGTGATTGAAAAAGTGGTGTGTGCATTCGCTTGGTTGGACGAGTGAACTTGAATGAGTTTTTATTGAATGCATGTTGTGGCTTTGTGCACCTGTCATCTTGAATCTCTTTGTCGAAAAAGATAGACATTATATCGTGTTCTTTCAGAGATTTTTTGAGTAACAAATTTAAAAGAAAAGATTTATCGCTGTAAACAATATTCATATTATTAGGAGAGAAAATCAAAGCTTACTTTTTTAAGGTCGGAATAGAAGGGTTAATTTGGCATCGCGCGTAATCGCGCGATCTGTTCTGTTGTACGTACGAAAGCTACTGTAAAATGGATCGTGTCATCTAATGCCACTATATGCAGAAGTAACATAAATTACATCTGTAAAGAACGACAATCCGAAGCTACGAAGAAGCGACCTTACACAACTAAAAACCACATTGCAGACAGACAGAATGGGCCAAGCGAGTTGAAAAGCCATGGCATCCAAAAATAACCGTTCAAATTCTCACAAATTAGATTGAGAGAGAAAGTGTTTCAGTATAGCGCGATCGAGAGACAGATAGAGCAAGAGTAAGAGAAGCAAGGCAAGACGCGTCGTTGTCGTAGTTGTCGGTGCATCGCTCGAAATAGCCTCCGAGCAGCTGGAACGGGTCTTGGACGCTGAGAGAGGGGGAGAGAGAGGGAGAGAGAGTTTGTCTAGTCGAGAGAGTTGAGCGTTTTCAGAGAACGCGATCAATCGCCACACCACCATCACCACCACCACCACCACCACCACCACCACCACCACCACGTTACACGATAGATTACGTAATGGGCTAAATATGGTTAACTCGTACGCCCAGTAGTTTGATGTTTTTGCCGGTTTCGATAAGCGATTAACCGATCAACAGTTTACACCAAAATTTTACTTTTTATGCTTGCCTGGCTTGAAACATTTATGCTCATTTTATGTTAATGATTGATGAGCTTGTGAATGAGTTAAGTTTTCCAACTACATAATAATCTGGCTTATTAAGCATCATATAGGTTTATAATGGAAACGAATTTCCAAAAATCATTGTTTGAATTAGACTTTTAATTATGTAACTACCCCAATAATACAACCATAAAATGCTTGAACGTTATAAACGTTATTAAATATTAAATGTTACATGTTTACTTTTCTCCATCCTCATTGGATTCGAAAAGTAATACGTTTAGTCTTACAGTATCGTAATGTATATATTCAGCATCGAAAATTCCAAGCATTATCCCAAACCCTAGCGAAATAATTAATCAGAGTGACATCGACTTAATTCCATTACCTATAATCATATAGAGAATACCGATTGACAAGAAAATTATTCCTTCATGAATCAAAGGTTATCTTAGAAACACTCAAACTTAATAAATTTTGTAACCAATATTTCAATATCCACTCTGTCTGGGAAATCTTAAAGGCATGTGATATCATAAAAATTATAATTACGGTGCAAATCAGCAAAGTTATGATTATAAATGAGCTTTTTCGATGGCAACTATAAGAACATACGGTCTGTTGCAGTATGCTATTACTATGTTAGTAGAATAGCTTTTCTCTATAACGAGGTTCTCACCGAACGTGGTATATTACTACACAATCTATTAACGTATTGCTCATTATTATAAACGGTTTAGTCAGCGACGCGTCTTTGTCTTCAATAATATTATAATGTAGTTTACTGTTTATTGTAATCGATACAAATTTTGAAATGTCCATAAAATGATTCTCTAACGATGGAGGTGTCATCTTTCGTCTTTGTCAGCACATAAAAATATGTAGATCAGCTATAAAACATTAAAAGCTTTGCGGCGGAGGTTAGATAACTTTTTTAGGAACATGTTCGTATATTCGTTAAACGTTTCTTGCACGATGACATTCGAAAAGAGTTGACAAAGAATGAGTCCAGGACAGCATCGATACTTTGGTAATACAAATATAAAAAACATAAATAAACATAAAAATGGAAAAGTGCATAAATTTAAGTGATCAAATATATTGGCATATTCTTTTTAATCCTCGCGCTATCGATGTACTTTTGAACGAGACAAGAGCAATGGAGCCTAGGAGTAATCAGTGAAAGTGCCTGTCCAGCCGAACCCCGCATCGCAGCCGTGTTACTGTTAACTGTTGGTCGCTCGCTATCTTGTTCATAGATATTTCACGAATGCAGATGTCCGTGCGGCTTCGTGCAGCTTCG